AATACCCCCTAAAAGTTACTGATGACAACTTTGTATCTTATAATGATATGCATTACAAATCATAGGACAGGGTATGTAACTCACTTATCTTTTTACAGGTTTGTAGCACAAAAATAGCTGCTTTTCTGACTTCCTCATCATTCGCATCTGTCAGTAGAGAGATCATCAGAGGCAGTCCTCCACCAAGCATCAACTCTGACTGATGCTCCACTAGAGAGAGAGAGAGAGAGAGAGAGAGAGAGAGAGAGCCAGACGATTAAAATGTTAGTTTGCTCAATTTCTTTACAAAATTCAACAAATAAAACATGCACATATCAATTTATCCACACTCACCACATGCATCCGTACAGTGCCCAAGTGTCAACACCACAGCCAGCTGGTCTTGTGGACTAAGGTTTGGGCTGGAGAGCAAGAGGAGGAGGTCTGGTACCACCCGCAGCTCAGACAGAACAGGTGCTAAAGCCTCTGGGTAAGAGAATGAAAGACGCCCCTTGTATCACTGTGTTTACACTCATGTTTCACTGTGTTTGTGCATGTGTATATTTTACCATTGTCTGCGATGCAGGCAGACAGTGTTCTGGTGATCATAACAGCAATTTTACAGGCCACAGAACTGTCTTTGCACTGAGGCACCACACTTGCTAAAGTGCCAGTGAGCGTAACCAGTCCTCCAACCAATGCGAAATACTCCTGAACACATGCTGAAGGACAAACAAATACAGACATTTAGCATTATGTTGCAATAACCTCGCCATCTGTTTATCGGCCATTTGGAAGTACCTGCTGCCCTTTACATTATGTAAACATTTTCAATTACTTGGGGAAAAAATCCTGCTATGTTAATATACATTAAAGAGTTCATATCCTTATTCTTACATTTTTATTTTTTCCCTGATATCCACTCATAATGTTTCGTGAGGTTTTATGTATCTAAGACAGTTCATTTTCCCATGACCTTTTTTCAATCTCTCTTTACCCCTTAGAATTAAAAAAGCTGTTTTGGTTACTCTGTCTTAATGAGCTTTGTTCTGATTGGCTTTTCTGCATTTTGATTAATTCAAAAAAGCAATCCGAAAAAGCAAAACTTCTGTATGAATGGGCTAAAATGCTAAAGGCTGAACAGGTGGATATATGTGAAATCACAAAAACAGTGAACTTAGTTTTCATATATGGATTGTATGGACTGGGGAATGTTTTGAAAATGTAACAATGTTGACATACTACATTAAACTCTGATTTAAAAAAAAGTGAATTTTTATTCATTATATATCCTTCAAAGTTAAGAATGTTTATTTTTTTCTGCTCTTAAAATAACCATTGTAAACTTGTTGGATACAAGTTTTTTCTATGACAACGAAATACACTTGAAAAATCACATTCAATAGGTATAACTACAGCATGCACCTCTACTACATTGTTTCATGCTCAATTCAGGAATTTGTACTCACTGTTATTGGCCACAGCCATGCCAATGAAAGAGCAGATGGGTTGTGCCAACTCTGCCTTGGATACAGATACCTGCTGCAGCCATGTTTTTACTCGGGGAAACATGCACATGCATGCATTCTGGTTCTCCTCTGGTACAGAAATATAAAACAGGAAAATAAACGTGTGCCCAGTATGTTTGGTACCTTAACTCTGTTTCAATGATGTCAACTGTTTTACTGCAACTGGTTACAAATTTGATGAGAGGGCTTCAGTCTGAGTTAATGACCCTGCTTCTTATCCTACTGCACTGATTAGGTTCCATTACATCAGCAGTTCTGATGCATAACAGTGTGTGCATGTACCATTCTGAGGGTTGTTGACACAGCCACAAAGAGCACTGGACACTGAAGCCCACAGTGGGAGCATCTCATTAGGCCCATCAGAGACTGGAAAGCTATCCCTGACAACAGATACAGAGAACAGTCCTAAACATTCAGAACGCTAAACGTGTGTATTTATGAGTCCTTAATTTTACACAGACACCTCTGTATTATTTAATCAGCAAGCTGTCAGTGTTAGATATGCTTACAAATTAGTTTTGCCATGCCTCTACTTTTTGTCTTCCTCATGTCCTTTAAAATACAAGTATCTCAGACCTGGTCTCTTTATTTAAAGGGGAGCTCTAGCCAAAATGAAAAAGTAACTATTGCTGCATCTGTTGTAAACATGTCTACTTGCCTCCAACAATGGCACCACAACAGTTTTGAGAGTACGATTTTTGGTTTAAAGACTAGGAAACCCCTCTTCTAATGATGCAGGGGCATAGCCTCGGGGGTGGGAGGAACATAATTGCAGTACTGCAGTTATTATATAATATGACTAATTAGCACACGAAGTGTTAGTTTTGGGCCAGAATACCCCTTTGACAGTCATATTTTATTCTCAAATATGGATTCAAACCATACAGAATCTTTTAAGCCACCATGCAATTCTGATACTGTAACCTGAATCATTTTCAACAACTACGATTATGAATAAGAGCAAGAGACAGAGAAAAACACTGAAAAGTTAGTGTACCTGAATAATGTGAGTAGAATATCAATGCATCCAGACGCCTTTGCAAGGCCTTGCCCCCGTCCTAAAACACAAAAGTAAACTTAAAACAATCTATTTGGGTCTAGTAGGATATTGGAATTAATTAGAGAGAGAAGTCAGTGAGGATTAGAATCCTCAGAACTTTGGAATTATTGGAATGTCTGGTGTGCAAACTCTGAAGCAGCAGCGTACAAAACAAAGGCCATCTATGGATGATTAGCTCTCATTCTGTCTGATTACAAGACCAATGACTACTTGAAATGCTTAGTACCATGTGACTGGGTATGATGCAACTAGCAGCAAGTCTTACTGTTGTTGGAAACCAATACACAGAGCATATATACTGCCACCCTCTTCTGTGTGTGGGACACTCTGTGTTTCATGCACTCTGCCAAGTCACTGAATGTCTCCTCCCTACAGAGGGCCTGCTTACAGTTCTCTACAAAGAAAGAGGTAATCATCTTTCAGCCTTATGACTGCAGAGGTATTGGAGTTACAGTGGAGAGAAGTAAATTCAAAATTAAAACGTTTCTTCCATTAAAAATTGTAATCATAGTCTGTTATTCTGGACCATCATAAAAATAAAACCTTCCTATCTCTATAAAATGCAAACAGAAAGTTTGCAAAGACATTCACAGACACGCACCATTAAATTCAGCCAAGGACCCAAGTGTGAAAAGAGCTGTCTCTTTAACCTCAGGGTAATGGCTCGACCTGGAGAGGTTATAAATGAACCTCATGCCTCCTATTTCTTTGAAGAACTCTGTGTTGTGCTCTGTGGAATGAAAAAGAAACATACAACACTACATAAGACAGACACTTTGTGTCTCTGAATAAGTGATACATTCTGGCGATGTGTGAATATGATGTGAAACTGACCATTCTGTTGACAGATTGAAACTATAGTAAGTAGAGCTTGTTTCTGAGAGTCCGGACATTTCATCTGGTACTTCAGACACTCAAGTAATAAGTGGAGATCTGTTTTGATTGCTGGGAAAAAAAATGTTTATCACACATAATTCATCACACTGTACATCACTTTTATTGCCTATTATTGTACCCGCATTAATCCTGCCCATGTGATTTTTACTGAGAAAGCTTTGGCTACACCTGTGCAGATATATGATTTGGTAGAATAACTGTCAGACATTTTTTCCTTATAGAGATATCTCAGTCTTTAAAAAAAAACAAGTTGTCTGAACAATTTTTTTAAGTAGGCTAGTATTTAAAATTCATCCATCTGCACAAAAAGTTCAAACAGAATATCATATTAGTCATTCCAAGCATTTAAAGTATTCTTACCTAGCAAGATGGATTTCAATTTATTCAAATCTACTTTTGGTTAGTCTTAAAAAAGATTAACAAATGGTGCTTGTAAATTAAACGAAAAACCATAGTCAGGCACTTGGCATAATCTGTTTGGAACAACAGTCTTACATGATCTGATATGGCTGAGCATTAAGAGGGGCAAAAGAAAAGAAAAAAGTATTACTGCCTCGTAGAGGGGTATGTAACCTACATTATTAGTACCTGATACATGCAAAGTCTCTCTTTGACATCATGACTGACTTACCATGTAACATTTTTAACAGGGACTCTACGTATTTCCTTGTTCTGTGTCACCAACTGCAGAGATCAAGATCACAGTAACATTATTTGCTGACCCAAGTGTCATAAAAATTAAGACAAAACTAAACTTGATTTACCCTAAAGCTGGAAAGCTATTCTCTGTGAACAGCAGCAGCTAGCTAGCTAGCGTTAAGTAGCTAACAGATTCTGCACCAAAGGATAATTACTGACATACTAACGTTAACTTGCCTAGTAAGTTTACTTGTTATTTTGTTTGTTATCGCGAAATGCTTAACTAATATAATTTGTTACAGAAAACGAACAAAACAACAACTAAAATTACATTTATGCATGATTTCTCTGTCTAGCTGTTAGCTAACCTAGCTAGCTAGCTAGCGTAAGTTAACATCACGCGCTAGCTAGCCAGATAACTTAAAATTTAAAATAAACGAAAACAAAACTAACAGCAAATGATCAGTCACAGGAGTCTGGACTAATATCAACAAGACAAAAGGCGCTGCTACTATTTCGGTCAGATAAACGTGAGCCAACTATTCTAAAAACATTTTGGGCAAAATCTGCCATCGGAGTCACAGTCACAGATCGTGTTTAACAGCATTATTTGCTAGTGAAATATTCCCGCCGCCACTCTGGTTGCGTGACTTAAGGCATTTTCTTTGCGTTGAATATAAACTGCTCCGTAAAAGGATATCTTACAGAAAACAGTGTCTGTCTGGTCACTGAATATCACCTTAATGCATTACTGGTCCCTAAAACAACCTAACTAAATGTTGGCCATTTAGCTTGCAGGTTTTAATAAATTCACCTAAGGCCTCCAAAACTACACTTCCCGGCGTGCACTTTTGAGGACACGTCACTGACTACGCATGTCCGTTTGGACCATTAACCCGTAAACGAAATGTAGAGCGAGAGACGCTAGACCCGGGGCGGAAATCATTCATTGATTTTGACAGGTGTTCTGTGTTTTCCACTTGTTTGCTTGTTTTTCTGACCTGTTTTATTTAGAGAGCAAGCGATTTAGTCTACAGTAATACTATTCGATAGAGTTGAACACTGTATTTGTTGAGTTTTAAAGCTGCGGTTAAGTGTAGCAACTTTAGCTAGCTAGCTGGCGAACGTTTGCTGACTTGATAATCGTTAACCAGATAGGTTAGCTAACTTACAGAAGTAGTATATAGAAATCGGCAGCTTCATATTGGAATTTTTTATTACTAGTTTTCTAGGCCGCATCAAATCAAGGCTATGAAGATAACGAGTTCTGTGCAAGACGTGAATTGAGTTAATACAGTTTGCAGTAGGGATAGAAACACTGAAAGCATCACGTCACTAGGCTTAAATTATAACTACTACTAAGTTAGACGTTAACATCAGCTAACTTAGCTCTTGATTTCACAGGCTGAATTCCATGTAAACAAACCAGTATAGTATAATATTAATTCTCTTACTGACTAGTGTACAGAGACGATGCATAAGAAATGAATAAGACCTCTTTAATTGTAATTCTAATCAAAATGTCAGTAAACTCTAATTGTCCTGAAAGACTTGTTGTAAGAGAATGGTCATTAACGGTTTGTGCATGTTTCTTTGTGTATTTTTTCCAGGATTTCCAGATGAAGGAGCTCCAGACTTGCTTTCTGTAAATACAGGCAGTGATGTCTTCTAACATGTGCACAAGACTTTTGTGCCATGTTGGCAGTGGCAGACTGTCTGTCTGTTTCTCAGCTGGCTGGTATGCTCTTTCTTCCTTGTCCTGCCATTCTAAAGTCTTGCACTCCCAGGCCCGGGCCAGCTCCTCTCATGGTAGAAGGTCAGATGGTGACTCAAGCCAAGGCAGAGTGCAGGGACTGTCTACTCCTATACGAGAACTGGACTTCCAGTTGAGCAGGCTGCAGATTGATGGAGTACTGCGTGCTAATGAGCAATCTGTGCGTATTCCAGAGTTTGACAGGCGTGGTGGTCCAAGCCCTGTGCTGAAGTTTGAGAGTAATCAGCTTGCAGCCAATTCTCCATTAGAGGACAGGCGCAGCACTGCCACTTGCTTGCAAACTCGGGGCATATTATTTGGTGTGTTTGATGGTCATGGTGGTCATGCATGTGCTCAGGTTGTTAGTGAGCGGCTGCATTATTATATTGCTGTGGCGATGATGTCTGAGTCTGGCTTGGAAGACCTGGAAGCTGCAATGGAGACCCTACGCCCTGTGCCCCCGATCCTGCAGTGGTACAAACACCACAATGACTATAACTACCGCGAATCTGCTTCTCTGTATGTCAATCACTTGCGCGTTTACTGGCAGGAACTGCTTGCAAGTGAAGAACACGGTGATGGAATGAGCCCAAGTGAAGCCCTTAGTTATGCTTTTCAGCGCTTGGACACGGATCTCTCCTTGGAAGCTCAGGTTCCACTGGCGAGTGATCTTATGCGTAACACGGCTGTCCAGGCTGCTTTTGCAGGCTGCACAGCATGTGTTGCTCACGTGGGACCCGAGGGCATATATGTGGCGAATGCTGGAGACTGCCGGGCTGTGTTGGGGGTGCAAGAGAGTGATGGGAGTTGGAGTGCTCTGCCTCTTTCACAGGACCACAATGCTGCCAACACAGCTGAACTACAGCGGGTACGTTCACAGCACCCATCGAGTGAGCACCAAACGGTCATCGTAGATGATAGGCTGCTGGGGGTACTGATGCCATTGCGTGCATTTGGGGACGTTCGCTTTAAGTGGTGTCGTGAGCTGCAGCAGAGCGTGCTGGAGAGTGGAGGCTGTGACTTGGAGGCACTGAACCTCTATCAGTACGCTCCGCCGAACTACCTCACACCACCTTACCTAGAGGCCACACCAGAGGTCACCTATCATCGTCTCCGGCCACAGGACCGTTTTATGATCCTGGCGTCGGACGGTTTGTGGGATGAACTGGACAACGAGGAGGCAGTCAGGCTGGTGGCAGAACACTTGACAGGCATTCACCTGCAGGCACCGGTCTCTGCCAGCCAGCGGCAAATCAGTCTGGGACAGATGCACCAGTTGTTGCTACGCCGACGGGCACGTGCGACGCCGGCCCTTGACGTGAATGCAGCCACTCATCTGATTCGCCATGCTCTTAGCACCAATGAGTACGGAGAGATGGACCAGGAGAGGCTGGCAGCCATGCTCACACTGCCAGATGACCTGGCACGCATGTATCGAGATGATATTACAGTCACTGTTGTATATTTTAACTCCAGTCTAAACAAACCATCCCGGAATAATTAGTACATTTATGAAGTCCACTGATTAACATTAATCATGTCAGTTTATTTATAGAAGCTAATGTAACCTAAGTAGTGTTTATTAAAATATAAGTATATGTTTCCTGTTATGTCATTTACTGGTATGTTCAGTGTTTCTCTGTGATCTGTTGTGAGCGTTTAGGTTGCTGTTTTATCACACACACGCACGCACATACATACATATATATATATATATATATATATATATATATATATATATATATATATATATATATGAGTCATAATACATGCCATGGGTTTGTTTGAGCCAATTGTTCCTTTTCATACACATTCCTTATGTAAACTCTGACTGAAAGGGGTTGGATTTGCCCTGAACAACGGCTGTCACTTTAAAACCTTGTTTTTTTTCTGTCTCTCTTTATATATAGATACTTCCCTTATTGGACACAATATTATTGTGGTGATCTGATGAGTTGTTTAATTTGTTGTCTGTGATATTGAGACCTTCTCAAGCAACATTTCTAGAAGATGGAAGATGTATATTCTTACAGCATATGTGTTTAATTTGTGAGTGTTACATGGTCTATATAACCTTAAAGCAGGTCTTTCTGATTTTTTTTTTTCAGCAACCTAATTCTGTTTACTTTACTGGACTTTTTCCAAGAAGTTGTTTTCACTTTGCACTTTAGTGAAAGCTCACTGTATGATACTGTGTCCATGCAGCCAAAACAAAACGCTAATTATCAGTTGGTAATCTGATAGTGGTCATAGTTATTATCATCTTTATTGGTACAAGTCATATTTGATGCTGTGAACTTGTGACATTCTTTACAGTTTGCTAATAGTAGAATGGTATTATGTTGTTTATGAATTTGCACAACTCATAAGAGCTTCATTAAAGTTTTTTTAAGAAGTAAATCACTCATATAGCACTTAGAAGAAAATTCTTTATTTTCAGTGAAGGTATTTGTTGAGTTAATTTTTGAACTAATTTCAAGTGTGTCCATTCTTTTATATGCTATCTTTCTTTTTTTGTTTCCTTAACCCTCAACTGTTTTAAACCCATATACATATTCATGCAAGATTTGCCTTTCTGGTTATTAAAGAGTTTTTATTATCAAATATATATATATATTGTTGTTGTTGTTCTCTCTCTGTCATACATTTAAAACTAAATCAGCCACAAGGCTACTGAACTACATTTAGGTGTTTGAATAGTTCAGTCTTGCATGGCTTTGCTAGACTTTATTTTTTATTTTTATTTTTTATTTTACCTTTATTTAACCAGGGAAATCACATTGAGATTACAAATCTCTTACAAATGAGCCCTGGCCAGAAGGCTGCACACAAAACAATCAACAAAGGAACAACATGACCACAACCAACAGAATCAAATCAGGGACAAAACCTAATTAAAAACAAAAACAAACAGAATGATAGTTCTTTAACAATTATCTTAAATTCACTTAAGGAAATAAACAGCTCCAGTTTCAAATGTTTCTGCAGATCATTCTATGCAGATGGAGCACTGTAACTAAAAGCTGCCTTGCCACATTCAGACCGTACTATAGGAACATCCAACTGAATATAACTACTAGAACATAAATTGTATCGAGACTTGTTTGTTGATATGAATGCAGGCAAATATGAAGGAAGCTGACCAAATTATTGCTTCACAGACAAAAATTAACCAATGAATTTGTCTTCGCACTGAAAGTGAAGGCCATCCAACCATTTCATAAAGTTCACAGTGATGAGTTGAAAATCTAGCGCCTGTTATAAATCTTAATATTGAATAATAAATAGAATCCAGTGAGTGCAGTGTTGTCTTTGAAGAATACCTCTAAACAATATCACCATAATCTAAAATAGGAAAAAAGGTAACTTCAACTAGCTTTTTTCGTGCCTGTTGATTAAAGCAAAAACTGTTCCTAAAATAAAATCACAACTTCAACTTTATTTTAAGATGAAACTAATTCTATTCGTCTGCCCTGCAGTGTGTAAATTCGTGGCAAAGATAATCTCTGTATCAAGTTTTTAGAAAATAACATCTATTTTGTTTTTTGATCATTAAGAACAAGCCTTAGAGAGCTAAGATTGTGCTGAACAGTCACGCATACTTCCTGTAAATTTGAAAGAGCCTCTGCTGGTGATGAAGCAGAACAATAGATAATAGTATCATCTGCATAAAAATACATATCAGCGTTTAAACTTGATATCTGAATTCCTTATATTCATCTCGCACTGCCCTGAGGTGAGCAGTTACTAGTTACACTTACTCAGTTACATGTATTCAAGGAAACAGTTGATGGATTTGTAGCATTTAGTAAAGGAGTCTGCTTTTGAATTACATTATAGTCATTGACATTTTGTTGCTAATTCCTATTGGGGTTTATTTTATGAGGCTAACATTTGATGTTTTTCATTTTATTTTATATCATCACAGGTACATCAAAATGGTATAGTGGCACCTAACAAGCATTTTCTATGCTGAGAGGTGCTGGATGTTTTAAGCTTTACTGCAGTTCTATAAGTTTGTCATTACTTAGGTTTTTTAACTTTTATACTTCTGTACACCTTTCAAAAACCGTCAAAAGTAGCAATATTTTTCCTTGAACATGGGATTAGGTTACTCTACTCACCTCTGCCCTTTTACCTATTTTAAAGAGCCGCTGTGAACGATCGATCGTTATCAGTCACAGATGCAGTTTTGGCAACAGTATTATAATCTCAACAGGAGTCACCAGAGGGCCTTGTTAAGCCAGGGTGGCGTAGTACGCATGCGCCCAACGCGCTGAAATTCAAATGTTTGAAGCAGCTTCGCGGAAAACAGCCGTCTGTTAGCCTGTAAGCTATATCTGTGAAATCGCGGAGGTAAGCCAAAACAAGACGGAAATTCGCTAGTCTTCCAACAAGACATTAGTAAAGTAAACGAGTTTATTTCATAATTTTCCATGGTCATTTTCGTGTATGAAACTTGCCAGCTTAGCCATATTAGTTACGTTAACTACGCTAAAGTAAACATCCAACTGACAAACGACCGGACTGTCGATAGCTTGAATCATTTCGGTTTAATAGAAGCGCAGCAAGAGAAATCAAAAAGTAGGCGTTTGTATTACTTTGTATTAGTTTAAACGCAGTTTACAGAGTAAAGTTATTCTAGGGTCCAGCTAAATGTGTATAAAGTTAGCTACGAAAATACCACAGTTGTGGTTGAGCGCAGTAGCTTAGGTAGTTAAACCTAAATGTTGGCTAATGTTCTTCTGTGTTGCCAGTAAGAGAATGGACAACGACGGGCCGTCGGACAAAACCCAAAAGAGGCAGAGAGAACCCTTGGAGGAGAATGTGTTGGCCTCGAATGGTGTGTATATTTGTCGCCAAATATATTTCACACTGGTCTCTATTTTTGCTTTTCACTTACGTCATAGACTTGTGTAACTGTTAGAGTTAACAATGTCTTCCTTGTCTTCAAATGAAGCATGATCTTTAACCTATTGATTTTGTGACCTTTACTGAATAAACGTTTACTGTTATTAACGTTCATGAGAAACCTTTAGACTTCTTTTTGATTGAGATAAAAATGTGAGCCCTTTACCCCTGGTGTTTTCTTTTTTAAGATGCAAAATGGTAATATCATGAAAACTGTGGTAGGTGACAGTGTTGGTGTAAATTTTACAGAGCTTGAGAATGTGCTGAAGAGGAGGCGATTGGCTGCAGAAGGAGTTGAGAATCAGAACCCTGTGCAGCCACTGGCAGGTTCCCCAGCCAGATCTCGACGGCTTGAGTTAGAGGTGAAGCCAGATACACCGGCCATAGCATCCATTCGTCTCAGGGTGCAGCAGCTCACGCAGAGACGAGATGGTGAGTCAGGTCTGACCTCTGCTATACTTACTGAGTTTGTATTTTGATGATGTAAACCTCAGTTCCAAAGAAATTTGGACAGTATGTGAAATGCAAATTTAGTGGTTTGCAAAAAAGACTAGTATTTAAACAAAGACAATAAATATACAATGCATTGGGAACTAGTCAAGCAGTTTAAGACAATGTTCCTCAACAAGCATTTGCAAAGATTTTGGGTATTTCACCTTCTACAGTGCATAATACCATCAATAAAATCAGGAAATCCAGACAAATCTCTACACTAAAGGGCAAGGCTGAAAGCACAACTGCATACAACCTTTGATCCAATAGACGACACTGCATTAAACAAGTCTTGCTTCTGGGTTTGAGAATATTTTGATGAAGCATTGTCAATAAGTGGTGTTCGTTGCTGTACTATGCAGGGCGGAAGCTATATGTCAACAACGCCCAGAAACGCCTCGACCTCTCCGGGCTCAAACCTGTTTGAATTGGGCTGTGTTATAGTCTGATAAGTCAACCTTTCAGATTGTTTATGGAAATAATGGACATCATGTTCTCTAGGCCAAAGTAAAAAAGGACTGTCTGCATTGTTACTAGTGTGAAGTATAAAAGTGTTTTCTTGTATGGGGTTATAATATTGCTTATGGCATGGGTAACTTGCACATTTGTGAAGGCAACATTTAACACTGAAACATACACACACATCTTAGAGCAATATGCATGCTTTTGCTGAAGAGTTATAACGAAAGAAATTCTGTTTTCAGTTTGCAAATGATCATTAAGTGTTGTTAAACTGACGAGTAACTAGCACAGTGATAAACGTGCTTCTTTCCCAACTTAAACAGAAAAGTATTGCAGTTTCTAAATTAAAATACTAATATTGTGTTTTTGTACTGTTTTCAAGTTCATACATGAAACTGAGTTTACTATTCACTGCTTTCTTTTTCTTATAAGCATTTCACATACTGTCCCAAACTTCTTTGGAATTAAGGTTTGTAATTGTTAACCCAAAGGATTGCTTTTGTATAAACAGGTGTGGCTGCATTGGTTCAGCGCTGTATGTCAGACCCAGGGGCAGAGAGTCCCTCCAGCAGCTTACTTAGCGATGTCTGTCACATTGGTAAGTTTTCACACAGGTCTGCATCATCCTACATCTTTATTCTTACTTCACATAACTAGTGGTGAAGATGCCTAAGGGCTGAAAGATTAATTGTTTTTATATCGCAGTCACATGGGAAAATTTAACTTAACATGGAGACATTGCAAACTGCTTCTAGGTGAATTAGACCATTCAGAAGAAACAATACAGCTATGTTCTGTATATGTGACATCACAGCCATCAAACTACCTGGTAGTCTGATGCACTTCATGAAGCGTTCAAGCTTCATGCCAGAAAAAGTGGATATTCTGGTCTTGGCCAAAAAACATGTCTGGAAGTTAATTTATAGAAAATAATTGCATTTAAATTGCAATCACAATATTGGTGAGGAAAAATGAGATTTTCCTCAAATCGTTCAGCCCTACGCTGTACCAGCCTTCAGTCTTAGTTGTGCTGAAACTGTCCTTTGAAACCCAATTACTTGCTTCCACTATATCTAATTTGAATTAGGATGCTGAAGCAGTACAGATAGATATTTTTTAGATATTTACAGAGAAGATGTACCTACACATGCTTTTTGCAGAGAGGTCTGACAAGATAAACAATGGTTAAATGGTCTCTATATTTTTGACCTGTGTGTGTGTCTGTGTTTAAGGTGAGGGTGAGTTTACCTCTCGGTTGGAACGCTTTAAGACTCCCACCCCAGACAGCAGTCCAGTCCCCTCCACGCCTTGCGCGCGCCAACTTTCCAGCTTTGTGCACAATATGCAGCAGCAGCTTAATACCACAGTGACCCCCAGCACTAAGGAGGCAACCCGTATCCGTCAGGTAGGGTTTGTGTTCTACACCACCAAAATGATCTGTATTTATTGTCTGAAACTGTTAATGGAGTTGAATAAAACTTAACAGTAATCACATGCCCTAATAAGCACTTATTGCTCCATTGCTAAGGCTGCCTCTGGCCTGGCTGACGTGTATGTGTGTGATCTGTTCAGGCTAGAGAGGATGAACTGAAGTTGCTGAGAGTTCAGCCCCTCACAGAGAACATGTGGCTCAAAAGGAGCTTGTCTGACTCTTCTCTTGCCGAGGTAAGTTTTTTTTTTTTAAACTAGGAGATCTATGCGGAGATTTTGATCAATATGCATCTGCTAAACTAAAAACTAAAAGCTGTTTCCTCATTCTGTTGATGTGTAACTTGTGTAATGTGGCTAGATCATGTCAGTTTGAATTATGCACATTTTGCCAGAGGGCTACTTCCCCAACCAGCTCTACTTGTGTTTGCAAGAGGACAAGAAAAATCCCTTGGCCTTCATTGCAATTTGGGAAAGTGAGCATATATCTGAGATTACAAATACGCACTGGGTGTTTTGGTTCCTCTTCTTTTTCTTTTCTGAGTAAGGTTCACATGTTTAACTGCCTTTCTGTAACCAGTGACTTTAGGGGTCGGTGTCGCAACAGTGTATTATTTGCCATCTTTCATATCGTGTGTGTGTGTGTGTGTTAGTTAGTGAAAGAAAGAGATGTGAAAGAGTGCGAGTGAGAGAGTATAAACCTTTTCTTATTTACTTTCTAGGATGACTCAAACATTGACTCGAAGGAGGCTGAATGCAGCACAAGCTTCAGTGGTGTAAATGAAGTGATAGGAGACAGCCTCAGTGACACATCTGCCTTAGCTGGAGACCTACAGTCCCGTTGCAAAGAGTTTTGTCTTTCAGGTAAACCCACTGGCAGTCTGTACACCAGCTGTTTTTGTCACCTGAAGCAGGCTAATAACAAAAAGGAGCAACAAGCCTTGCAGAACAGTTGTAACTGGTCATAAGAGTTCTTCAAACACTGACTTTTTATTCTGTGTGTTTTAGAATCTATGATGCACCCTAATGAAGAAATAAGCACGTCTGCATTAATAGACAAGATGTTTGAAGATGTCTTGCAAGCTGCTGACAAAGAAGAAGAAGGGGAGAAAGGGACGGAGACAGTGAATGAGGAAAGTCTTTCCAAGCCCAAAAAAAGAGAGAATGCTGACATGGAGGTAGCTGAAACTGAGCAGAAAGAGAAATCTTCTAGTTTTCTATTTTCTTGTTTTGGGGAGGATGGCATGAGCAAAGAATCAGCTCATCGCTGTGCTGAATGGGAAGAGGAGGACGGTGTAAATTCTACTGAAGGACAGGAAATTGATGAAGAGAATGTCTGCAGTAAGAGAGAGGAGGAAATTAAGGAAGAAAGTACTCCAATGTCTAATGAGGAGGACTTCCTAACTCTCCCACCTACATGTGTCCTCTCTCCTCTCAGCAAATCGGTGGAGGCTGTTGTTACACCATTGGTAAGACTATGTGACTGGCAGAGTTCATGTCCCACCAGCACATAATTAGTAAAAATTGTAAATTTACCTATATAATGTCATCCCTTATCTGTTATTTCTGACCAAGATGTTTCTTGAAATGTAGAGGCTTGTAGCCACTGTGCCTACACACACAGTGCAGTGTCCCTCTCCAGAGGAGGTAACCACACCTTCTTCTGACAGTGCTCCACCTCTTTACAGGTAAGACCCTCCTGACCCACCCAGGAATACTAGAGCTATCTGCTGGATCAGATGTGATCTCCAGTGGCCTGTGATTACTTTTTTATTGAGTTCTAACTGTTTGCTAAGCCTTTTGGTTAGTTTAACATTGACATCTTGGAGTGGTGGTTTGAGTATTCTGACATTTGACTATTGCCAGCTGATGATTCATTGGATTGTGGTTAATTACAGTCATGTTCATTGTCCACAGCATTGATGCTTACCGCTCTCAGAGAAAGAACAGTCATCTAGCCTCTCAGTGTGTAACTCCTGGGATACAGAAACAGGCTCCTTTGAAGTCTTATATCAAGCCAACTATCAATACTAAGGAGACTATCAAGGTTTGTCACTATGATTACTAAAATAATGCCTGGCTTGTTCTTGTATAACTATAATGATGGTATTCAGAAGAAAAAAGAAAATGCATAGGTGACTGTAAAACTAGAGATGTGTAGTTTTTGAAAGATACTTTTCACTAAATGTCTGTTTTGTGTTGCTGCACAGGCACTGAGTGAAGAGGCTGCCAAACTGCAGACTGTTATTAACCAAACTCTGCAGGCTCTGAGCTGTTGCAGTGATGAAGAACATGGCAAAGGATCCCTGCAAGAGGCAGAAGCTGAAAAACTCCTGCTTGTTTCCAGTGAGTACAGCCTATATTCTATCAGTACAAAACAAATACGGAGGTTTAATGTGCTATTAGTAGATGTTACTGTGATTCAGGTGAGAAGCATGCTGCCCTGCTGGCGGAGATCAGCAGACTGAGAGAGGGAGCGGGAGCAGAGTTGGACTCCAGCACGGTCTCTCTGCAGCCCTGCAGGGGAACTGTCAGCATCAGCAGTGTCCAACTGCCCCTCAAAGTGGAGTTTGTGTGCTCTGCCCGCACAGGTGAGCTTAGTCCATGAGTTCATTGCACTATTCTGGTAGTCTTACAACTATAAGACAGTCTCCCTGTGTATCATCATTATACCTAACATCTGTGTCTCCTTGCAGGTCGTCCTACTCACTACTTTTTCATCCTGATCCGTTATGGTCCATGTAACATTGTGGCCACCCCATTGGCTACAGCTGCTGATGCCGAGAATGGAGACACTATCACCTTTCCCACCTCCATCACCTTGTGAGTACATTCAGTTTTGTTAAAATCTTCTTGTTTTTTAAATTAAAAAGGAAAGGAGAGTAATTAAAAGAAGACATTTCAGGAGAATTTTGGAAGTTCAAGGTGATGTTAACTGTTTAACTCACTCAGTACTGTGGAATTTAGCATTAAAGCCTTGGTATATATTATCTTATACCTGTATTGCCCAGGCTCTTTTCATTGACATGTTATCTGTCTGGCATTATATCAGTTGCACAGTAATATCTACACCATTTTTTGTGAAGAAGAAAGCAGAATTCTAATTTACAAAAATTTTTGATATCCTGTTTGCTGTGTGTAAATTCTGCTGTAGACAGGACATACGCTCCAATTTTGAGATTGATATAGAAGTTTACAGCCTGGTAAGCAAAGTTTTAATGTGCATGCCTTTTATTCCTGAAAATGCAATAGTTTTTTTTTTTTAAAACCAGATCTGTTTGTGAAAGCAGAAAGTTCATTTTTTTCTGTCTTTTACCTGTATGTTTTCTAGTCCAGTAATGCAGGTCATACCTGTGCTGCTAATCTGCAGCAGCTCCGCAGCTCTACTAAATCACGAGTAAGTATACATTCACATTGCTAACATAAAGTATGTTGTATGTGGTAGTCATCACCTTTTTTTGTCTCTTTTTCCTGTGTAGGTAACACCAAGGAAGCTACTCAGCAGCATTACGGTATTCTTTTCATTAATTTAAAATGATTATTAATTATTTACTAATTACTAGTTATTAGGTTTGGGTAACTCATCAGCATTTTACTTTTTTCTTCCTGTAGAAATCCAACCCAGGTTTGACCTGTAAGTCCTTTTATTCCCTCTTGTTGAGCCTGATTATGATCCTGTAGGTAGTAGGGTTTTTTATGTCATGCTGCTCTTCACCACAGCTGGAGCGCTGCCTGTTCTTGGCTCTCGTCGGACCAGTAACTTCAGTTTAGTGGGCTCTCACAAAATCACCCTGGCCTCCCTTGGACAGAGCAAGTTCACACTAGATAAGGTGCGGTGTCTTTTAAAAATGTTGCTATTCAGGTTTATACTGGGTGTGTTGCACTGTGGTGGGGTCTCTGGTGTTGTAACTGTGCCTGTTCTTTCCTTGTCTGTCTTTCTCTTTTCTCAGATGAAGTTTGAGGGCAAAATCAGGCGACTCCTTGGAGATGAGTTTCAGGAAAAGGTTTCACCCTGCTTCTCTTCCACCTTCCTTTCTTTTCTGCATGGTGATTGGTGTTTGTCAACAAATGTGTCTTGAGTTCTTGCATACATATTTTTATTGGTGACCTTTTTTTATTCATGGCCTGTAGAATAGGCAAGTACATGAGTGTATCTTTAACTTAAAGCAAACATTTGAATACAGATGTTGAATGCAAACGTTTTTGTTAAATTAATCTGTCTGTAGACTGAGATTTTTTATTTTTTTTTTACCCACATGTTCATCTTTGTGGTGACACCTTTTCTAATCACTCTCTTTAATTGTGTTTTAGGTGCCCTTTCTGTCTCCTCTGGAGGGTCACATCTACCTGAGACTGCACAGTGAGAGCCACTCCAATGTACAACACCAAGGCTTTCTGGTGTGTGTTTTTTTTAGAGAGGCAGCATTCAGCAGCAGTCTTTCGATAAAGTTCTTATGTACTGCATAGTTGTCACTACTCTAAACAATTTGCCGAACATTAAATGTTTTTCCCAGAAAGTCTTTCATGCATACAATGGCCTGCATTCATCAAAGTTGTGTAGAAATGAGCGGAGATTTGACCACCCTGTGTGCCGTAGAAACTACTGTGTCTGATTCAGGAAACTGAATTGCAAAATTGAACTACAATGACAAACAAGTGGTGATTTGAGCAGAATTGATGAATTAGTTTCAGTGCATGAAAATGACTGCACACAAGTACCTTAACTACATATAATTTGGAACAGACATGTCCCAATTTGCTTATGATTATATATATATATGTGTGTGTGTGTGTGTGTGTGTGTGTGTGTGTGTGTGTGTGTGTGTGTGTGTGTGTGTGTGTGTGTGTATTTTTAGGGAGATAATTATTCACTGTATCAGTAGTATAGCCAAAGTCTTTAAATGGAGCAGCATGTGTTTTTTAGTGTGAGTGTAAAAATAAATAATACATCCAGTTTAGTACAAGGATAGCTGTGTGCAAACTTAAAAGTATTATCACTGTTATTATCTGTTTCTGTTGTTATTGCTGATATTATTGATGTTGATGACAATTTTATTTAACTGCAAATAAGGAAATTTTCTGGTTGTAAAAATACTACGCTTATATTTACCCACACTTCTACCAGATGTAAATTTGATCATACAGATACACCAAAGATAAACTGGGTAAATAACAAAACTGTTGGTAAAATTTGCATGCACTCATTTTACAATTAGATTTGGCCATACACTACTTTGCTGAGTAAGGGTCAATATGTTTATTGCTCCTCACGTGTGCTGCACACTCTTGTCACACAGACCATGTTTGAGGATGTCAGTGGGTTTGGAGCATGGCAGCGCCTCTTCTTTAAGCTAGAAGGAGGATTCTTCTTCTATTGGAACCATCCCAATGAGATGGCCGACAAGGTGGGGGAACAGCTTTTGTAACCCACAGTCATGTTCAACACGGTCCTTGCACCCAGATTATCCTTCTGTGTGAAATGTGTACATCTAGTGTTATTTCTTGTCTCTTTTTGTTCCTTATATTTTTCATTGTCCTCTCAGCCAGCAGAGGGTAGCATATCTCTGTGTGGCTTTGACTGTGTGAGACCCGTAGAGAGAGACTCCTGTGCACGGCCTCATACCTTTGAACTGGTGAACTCTAGGACCCTGCAACAAGACAACAGCCACATTTTGACCAAGTAAGATGGTTTGGGGACTCCTGCACACTTGATTGTCTCTCAGGCCAATTAAGGCATTGATTGGTCTGTTACTGTGTTTGAATTTGGTCCTTATTGATGTATTTTCCTGTGAAGGAGCTGGTTCTCAGCAGACACTCGGGAGGAGCGTGTTGACTGGATAGAGAAACTTAGCCAGGTGCTGTTGGATCTTCACACGTGGTGTCGACAACCTAGTGCCAGTGAGACTGATCCAGCTAACACCTCCTCTAACACTGCGGCATCTCGTGAGAGCATCCTGTAACATGTTATTGTTACATTCCCTGAAAACTAAAATCTCTAAAGAAATCTGAAGGTATTTTCTGCTTTTACACTACATGAAGGGCAGAAAAGCATGGTCTACTAGACATCAGAGGGTAAACCAAGCACTGTAGGCCAAGAGCTGGCGGGCAATGTTAGGTGTGTAAATAGATACGCTTTTTAAATCTCAGAAGGTGTAAGAATGACATTCTTTTCCAGTGTAATTATAAACATGGAGGAAGTACCATTGATTATACAGATAAAATACAACCTGCTTTATGTGAATCCCAGGGAATTCTAAGTGCCTCTGTCATTGATTTATGTGCTGCCCTGTTTGAGCACCGCTGATTTTGATTGCCAAGTCTCAGTGGAGGATTTTCTCAGGCTGATGTAAAGCGAAAGCGATCATTTGCAGCCAGATAAGTTAACTGTTTTTTATGTCAACAGAATATTTGTTGAATAGGTTAATGCTACTATGGATCTTTTTCAACTCTAGAAGGACACTACAAATGTCATAGGTGTTTTTGCCTCCCCACCCCCCACCCAACAACCACCCCACCCCCCCACCCAACAACCACCCCACCCCCCCCAAGCACTTCTTAATGGATGGCCTTAAGATACAGACCATCAAGGGAGCATCAGTTTTATTTGCATTTTTTTGTGCTTAATCTGTCCTAAACGTTATTATAAGAGTAGCATTTATCATTTTATTGTCCTTTACAGTGAGTGACATCTGATTGTGAATGGGTTTGATCAGTGGTTAGATTATATATCAAGGATTTGTTTGGGAGTTCTGTCATATGCCTTGTATTCTGTCAATTGTAGCATATTGGGAGTAAATCTAGAACCTTTTAAGGTTTTCTGTAACATACTGAAGCATGTTTCGGTGTATGGTGAAGTAGTTGTATCGAAGACATCAAACTGTAGATTACACGTCTGCTACACTGAGCATTCTGCAGGCTAGGGTGGAGTGGCATATGTGCTTGACACTGAGGATGTGTTCTGTCTTGTACGCTATATTACAGAGATTTAAAACAAATAACTAAAATTGTGGTTTACTGCTTGTCTTTGTTGGTGACAGCTGTATTTCTGGATTGGTCTAACTCTCTTGACTGGATTAGACCCTCAGGTTGGATACTGCAATGATTAATGAAACAAACTGCATAAAACATCTTGTTGAACAGATTATTATCTATGTATTGTGTTTCTTGTCTGTATGTATTCTTCAAGGTCTTTTCATATTCTGTCTGTATGTTATTCTTCCTTTGTTAACCATCTCTATGCAATACAGTATTCATACGGTATGGGTACTACAGAATAAATATGGTTATGATGACCTAGAAGTATGGCCTGTTTCTTTTTTTTATTTTTTATTCTAATTTTTTTTTTACTGTAAATAAGAGTTTGATGTACTATTTGCAATACCATTTACCCCCCCCTCCATATTGGCCAGATATAGATAATTAATTATAAAATTATATAAATTAAAAATAAATTAATTATTCAAAAACAACTCAATTTGAATGGATAACTTTATGATGTCTCAAGAACCAATGCATTTACATAAATCTACCTATTCACCCTACAGCAGTTTAACATGCACATCAATGTTGAAGTGTTTCAGCCCAGACTGCTTTTTGAATAAGGCACAATACAGGGCAGCCAATCAAAACAGAGGTCATTGACATCATTCATAAAGGCACAATAACAAAAATGTTTCAGATCTATCAGTTTTCATTCTTTAGTTTTGTAATCACTGGTAGTTAAACAAACTGATGATGTAACCGATTGGGCATGTGGTACTGTTCCCACCAGTTATTACAAAATCCAGAACTGGAAACTGGATTCAAAGTCATAAAGAGACCACACAAATTTCTAATAACAATCTAAGATAATAGCCCATTGAAAAACATGCCTTGTCTACATCTCCAAGCTATGTCAGTTTAGTTTACTGTATGTCTGAATAGGACTGCTCAGGGCCATGGGTTTCTCACAGCGGTTGTACCGAAAAAGTGGTATGGAAAATGTTTTTTTTTTTTCAGATTAAATAGAATTATTTAATCTGGAGCGGATTTTTTAAAATTACATTTCTTACTGGAATCGGTTTATAAGCCCTTGCATGGTACACAATTTACAGTGACATGGATAAAACTAAAAGTAAGAAAGTAGAAAACAAAGTAGAGATATATGGATAAAATCTCAAGAATTGATGTCCCCACTGAAACACAGAACACTGCAATCAATAACTATGTATATGAAAGCAATACATACTGCATGGCTTTATATGAATACTCGTACACAAATGAAGTTCATTTCTTTGAGAGCTCTGCATCCACTTCTTCTTCAGGTTTAAGGGCGTGCCACTGAGCGATAGGTCTTCTTGGATTGGCCAACATGTCTGCCCAGTGTCGTTGTTCAGTCCCTGAGCTGTTCAGTCCCACAAAAACCTTCCCGATGGCGTCGTTCTTTCCAATCTTATCATAATCCAGTACTGTCACTACAACCTGCACCTTCTGTGGAAAAGCACAGCAGACTAGTGATTTACCATTAGCCTTGTCATCCATTTACCATGTTTAACTCTCTAACTGATGTGATATGTGTACAAGTTTTTCTTTCAGAAAAATTCTAGATTTAATTTAAAACATCATTTCTCAAAAAAACTCGTTTTAAGCTTAAAAAATTGTACCTGAATTTGTTCTGACGGAACTTCAAAGCTAAAAGATTCATTGTAATATGGGTTCAGTGTGTTTTTCTTAATTGTTGTTTTCTTCTTCTTCAACCTTTTGCCATTCTGCATTAGGTGGATCTTAACATAAGGGTCTGAGGAAAAAACAGAACAAATATTACTTAAAATTTTTTAAATTAAATTTTGATGTGAAACAGTTTCAAAATAGTAATGCACTGAACTGTAACTTATTACACACTAACATGCCACTAACCTGCCAGCACCCACCTGATAGTCCTCCCACATCCATTTTCTTGAGGTTTTTGGCCTCCAGAATGACTACTGTTAGTTTTCCAGCAGTGGGGACATAACGTAGGGACAGGCAAATATCCCCCAACTTCTCCTGCTGCAGAGAGCAAGTACAAGTCAACCTGGGATCAGCTGAGAGTTTTTCATAATTTAATTATAGTAGGAATAGCTCAGTGATGGACTGAGTAATGCTGTATTTATTGGACACTTTCTGAATCAGATTGCTAATCTAAGATTGATATTTAAAATATAATTAATAAATCATAAATATTATTAGGTGGACACAGTTCACTAATCCTAAATCAGTATCTGTATCTTCTGCTTGTTGTGCTGGCCCACACGACAACCTGAAATGCAACAGTATTTTAGGTGCGTGAAATTCATGTGAATTCAGTGAATTCATCATTCTCTCCATCCTCTTACCTCCTCTTTCTCTGCCTTTTGTAGGGCTCTCCATTCCTCAGTGACATGACTGAAATCAACTTTATTCATCTGCACTCTCACATCTCCAATGGCATCATGCTTGGAGAACCGGTCAAAGTCATAAACTGTCATGACTAGTGTCTTCCCACCCAGCTCTGTGTATGGAACCTGCAGAAAGTAATGCTGTCATGTCATTTCATAGTCACAAACACAGATCCTATTGCCAGGTACAGACTGGGGTATTCACAAAGAAAAAAAGATTCTTTGAAATGTCATTGTGCAGCATGCTGGTTTCACTGACTCACTGAACCAGTAGTTCTCAGTCCTGCTCTTGGTGTTCCCTTGACCTGTGCTTTCTAGCATTTTCTTGGCTCAAGCACATCTAATTCAACTCCTAATTCAACTACCTGAGTTCAAGTGTTAGAGTGTGTTAGAGCAGAGGAAAATACTAAACCATGCAGTATAGTGGTATTCCAGTATCATTATTGAGAACCACTGTAATAAACCATAAAACTATCAAGTGAAGCAGATGCACTCTCAGAAATAAGGTATGAAACCCGTCACTGGGGCAGTACATTCAAAGGTACATCTCAGTACCTTTAGTCAGGGAACATAATGCATTGAAATAATATTTTCTAAGTTGTATTGACTCCACACACCCCGTCCCGTCTCAGTGCATTATTCTGTTTTAAAACATTAGGTTATGAAAAGGTACAAATATGTAAAACTTGTGTAAAAACTTTTTTAAGGTGCAAAATTGGACCTTAAAACCACTGTTGTACCTTTGAAGGTACATTTACATTGTTTATACCTTTATGAACGAAAGATGCACCTGCATAGAACCTTTATTTCTAATAGTGTAGCTATGACTCATATCTGTCAAATTCAGTGCTTGGCTTTATTGTCTCGTGCATTGCTACTCGCATCTCCCTTGGGGGTTAATACAGTGTCTCTAAATCATTAACATGGAACGATTATTCAGAGTAATCCCACCTTAAACGTGAAATGCTCATTGAAAGTGGGGTTAAGGGTCTTTCTGTGGACTTTGGTCTCAAACTTTTTTTTCTTGTCTGGCAAGAGATACAGCTTGACATATGGGTCAGATGTTCCACTCATATCCATGGCAGCAAGGTCTTCTGCCTGGATCACACCTACAACAAGCTGACATACAGAAGAGAATAAAAGAAGGAAATAAAAAAGAGAGGAATTATGTGTTTTTGTAGCGTTTTTTTCTATAAACTCAGGTTATGCAATGTTAAAATTCATATCTGGTCCATACTGCGCCGTCAGTGAAGTTGTAGTCAAGACTAAACTGCAGTTTTCCCAGCTTTACTTCCTCTTTAGGATCCTCCTCTTTGTCCTGGGGTTCAGAGTCAGGCTTATGATGAAGAGTCTGGAACAACACATTCACTCTGCTGTTAGTGATCACATTATTCATACCAGTACATGCAAAGAAAAACTGCACAGAGACTTTATACATTTTCTAAAAGGCTTTCATAAGCAATTTCCGCAAACACACTGACACATGACCTGTGCAAAGCCCTCCTCTCTCATAGTTGACATGCTGATACTGTCCTTGCCACTCTTCTCTTTCCCAGTTTTTTCTTTTTTCTTCTTGAACACAAATTTCCTGAATATGCAGAAGCAGCAGCTGAGAATGAGGAGGACAATGATAAGGCCCAGAGTCGCCAAAGCCCATGAAGGCACTGAAACAATATGAAAATAATCAAATCACTTGGGGATAACTACACAAGAATATATATATATATATATATATGTATGTGTGTGTGTGTGCGCGCAATATGGGCAGCAAGCATGTATTAGCTTAGAAAGCAGTAATATTAGTTATTTTATTAAATTAAGTTTGGGTGCCATATTTTGCTTATTTTCTAAATAAAAATAAGTTAACACATCCTCTAGAAAGAACACACTTCTGTACATTATAATGCACATTTAGTGTTTATTTGCTGGATTAACACATTGGAGGAAAAATAAAACAAAATGTGGCTTGTGCAAAAGTTAAGGTACACTTTATATTTTGTTTTATTTTTTTCCAATATGTTAAACTCAGCAAATAATTAGAATTTGGACACTAAAATTAGCAGAAGTATGCCATATTCCATCCTGTAGAGGATATGGTAACTTATTTTCACTTAGAAAATCAACAGAACATGTAATTGGACTTGAGGGCATTCAAATATTTAGTGTTTTTACTGGCGAAAACATACTTACTCCCTAGATAAATGGATTTAAGCAATTCACTTAGGTGCACAGTGCTGTCTGTGAGTGCGGGAATGCATGTGTGTTCGTGTGAGAGAGAAAGAGACAGATAAAACAGAAATAGAGATTGCATGTTTTCTCACAGTGGACTTTGTGAAGCTCATTCAGAAATTTGCTCCTGATGCTGGAGATGAACGATTCTCCAGGTGCAGCCTGGGGCGGGTCTTCAGTGGGCAGAGTTTCGGTAGGTCTGTGTGCTTTAGGTCCATTCGGCTTCTGTGTAGGTGTGGTAGATCCAGGGAGTGGAGAGACCTGACCATTCATATTGTCCCCATGCATTCTGCATACGAATATTATATATAAACATAATTTATATATACAAGTAGAGGTGGACAACATTACAATATGTTATTGTTGGTTTTTTGATGTTGTTTGTACTCCTGGAAAACTGTATCACAAAGAAGATTTAGACCAGTTATAGAGAGCCTGTAAAAAAAACACTACCACCGTTCAGTTACTACAGAAACTGCATTTTTCTAATTGTTTAATTTTTCCTCTAGTTTGTTCTTAAATGATTTATTTTTGCAAATCGTTGCTGATGTCCTTTACATTGTGTGAAAATGTTATGATGAATGAACCAACAGAAATGCTCAAAAACTGCTTGGAGATGCTTGTTTTCTTAATGAATTTATTTGATATGGACTGTGACAAAAATTTAATAGGCGCTTATCATGGAAAACTGAATATTACTCACTTTTTTTGGAAAGAAAAGAGTTTAATGTAGTATATAAACATTAAAGTTTCAAAACATACTCTCCACTCCCCAGTTCATATAGTCCATAAATGGAAACTAATCTGCAAAATTCACTTTGTTTTGAATTCACTGCTTTTGCAATGTCAAAAAAAGAATATCCACCGATTCAGCCTACAGCAGTTTTTTTTACAATGAAGTTTACAAAAGATGTTATTTACATAGAACAGTCTTAATGGCATAGAAATAAAAATAGCCTATTTAATTCTAAGGCAGGGCCTTCCAGTCCTAGTCCTGGCAATCTAATCCTCTGCACATTTATGTGGTCTCAACACTCTAACACACCTCACTCAGTCCATGAGGAGCTTGGAGATGACAGAAACAAAAATGTGCATAGTGTGTGGTCCACAAAACGGAGATCGGGGACCCCTGTTCTAAGGGATAAAAAGAGGTACAAAAATGTCATGTAAGAGTGATTTAAGACTGTTGTTGGTACACGAAATCACCTAGAGGCCATTAGGGGGGAAAATTAAAAACAAGAAAAATGTAAGACATGGGCCCTTAAATAAAAAAATCCCTGTGCCCTTTGTTTTTCAGAACCTTTGTTAAATGTGACAATGTTTTGCTGGTCTGTTTTTTCTGTTCTAAATTTTAAACCTCATGATCATTTAATTAATAACATTCATAATTTAATATTCTGGTTCTAATCGTTTAGATGCACCCTGTGATGGCTGTAAGGTATATGATTTAGGACAAGATGGTTCTTATTTTGCACACACCGCACATGAACTGATACTGTTTAACCTTGAGATTATTTTGAGAAATGCAGAGTAAGGGAGTTAAAGACCTATTGATTTCCTCTCAATTTACAAGGAAATGAGACAGAGCGGCAGTGACACTGATATGGTTCACAACGTGCTGCTGATGCAAACTTATACCAGAACATTCAGTGCAAATATTTAGAAAATCACTCACCTATATATACACATTTATGTGTTCTATTCCTGTTTTCTTTGTCTCATCATTTATACACAGTATTTCTTCAAATCCCCCCAAAAAGTTATATATAGATATAGAAAAAAAACTACATTAAGAGCCAGTAATACGTGTTTGTACAGCAGACGGTATTCAGAACATCTCAAACAATTACTGATTTAAATAGAGAAGAACTTACCTGATCCGCTGTGATTGTCTCTGGAAGTCTTAATGGTAATCAGTGTCTGATAGTCAGTTTTATCTGCAGAGGAACAGATTACAGTGTGATGAGGCAGAGAGGTGAGGAGATGTGTGTAAGAGAAAGAGAGAGAGACTCACTGCTGTTCATCCCATTGGAGAGCTATATGCGGTAGGAGGACCCTAGCATAAGGACAGAAGGGCAGTAGAGAAGATCATCATACATTGGCTATTATCATCAGCTATGATGAGGACAACATAAATACAAAATAATCCATAAGACCATAGGCAAAATCTAACATTGAACTAAATGCATGTACCGAAAATAGTCAGTATTCACTGTGTTTACAAAGCTGTACATCTTATTCTTCGACAGTATTCATGTATGTTTAAAAAAATAGTCAACTGATTTTCTTTACTGTTCCTTGTTTTTTAAAATTCTGACTTGTAAAATAGCATACAGGGTACAAAAATGACCTCCCATAAGCTTTTATTTTGTAGGGCATAGCATGAGATAGACAATACTGGGGCTTTTTTTGTTTTCTTTTATGGATTCACATTTGTTTGAATGTTGTGGGTAGTTCTGCATTTCTAGGCATCATTCGTTCCCTCCCTCTCGAGTGAGGAACAAAGGTAACTGAAGCTACTACTGCAAGAATGCCAGCTTTCAGGCTAATTGGCAAATAAAGATTTGGTGCTATTTCTTGTGAATAGGACGAGATCAGTTACAGTGTTACAAGTAAGCTTCATGCTGCAATGCATTTTGAGTTACCAGAGCCAATCAACAGGAACGATTTATGGCATGGCCTTAATCAAACAATATAACAGTGTTACTGTAGTTACAGTGCCATTTTTGCTGAACCATTTTGGTATATTGTGATCATTTTTATCACACTTAAAAGAGCTAACATGTCATGACCACTACAGTATTTAATGGTTTTTAAGGTAATTGAAGTCAGAATTTTTCATAACTGTCCTAAATTTCTATTTGTACAGGTACCAGCATTACATCACTTATAATATTCTGCCTTATTAATGTCTTTGTGTGGTGTAGTAAAGAGAAGCCTGCAGGCATTGAGAATAGTAATGCATGATGATTTCAGAATCATATCAGAATCATCACTTATTTCAGTTAAATAGTTGTTTAAATCAGGCATCAGACAGATGTTTAGATTTGACTGATAGTTTAAGCTGATATTTGATAATGCATTTATTGCATTCTGGAAAAGCAGTACATTTAGGACGCTTGGCAAATGCGCAAAAATATCTGAATTTTATTCATGTACCTGTATTTACAACCCTACAGAAATGCTTGTTATAATTTTCTATAATGCTCTGTAATCCCAGTTTCTACATTTTATAAATGTGCATATGAACAATATGAGACATTGGCACAAGCCCACAGTTCCCATATCAGTGCATACCTAATTCACAATGAACAAGTGAGTATCATTATTGTTATGCCTTTATATTAAAAAGCTTTAATGTTAAAAATTTTAGCACTTTTAGCACCTAAACCATGGCTGACAGGAAAATGTAAAGATGACGGAGAGAGAAAAGACAACATAAAGGAATGGGAAAGGCTGAAAATCAGTCAGTGTAGAGAGGACAGAATAAAAGGAGTATGTAAGGATATTGAGAGCAGAATGCTGAATGAGAGAGGAAGCCTCAGGTACAGTTCATTGCCAGAGCTTGTTTTCAAAAATGCTAAGCCAGTTCAGTTACTGACTGTTAATCATTCAGCCAAATGTGATTGAATGTTTTGTCCTGAACTGTTCCAGGGTCTGTAATATCAAAGTAAAAACTATAGTAAATACAACTTACATTTACATGTAGGAGGCTTGTGACAACTCCACAACAAAAGATATGAGCAAAGCTTTTGAAAGCTTCCTCAAAGTTATTACATGAGATGGTTACAAATGTGCTGCTGATGCCAGAGACATTGTTTTACAATAGTTTTGAGATAAGGTTCTGGCCTAAAGTGTATTTTTAAAATTAACAGTGCACAGATTAAAAAAATACATGTAGGTTCACTGACCGTTTTGGATAGTAAATAAAATTGCTATATTTACGTTATAGGCACTGTGAAACGTGTTTTCTATCACTAACACTGTAAAGAACACCGAGTCCGCAATTCCCTACAATGAAACATCAAAACACTCGGAATTATTCGTTTACATCAACTAAATTATGCTGAAATGATGAAAAATCTGAGAAAATTCTCCTTTAAAACCTAAATAATACCTTGCTCACGCCTGTAATTGCACCTTTTCAGCGCTGGAGGGAGCACTCAACACATTTAAGACAGTGGGCGCTAAACCAGAATCTCATCAGAATAAACCAGCGAATTGGTGATGAGAATTGCCGCTCAGCAGTGTCTTCCGGGTTTATCAAACGCTACACGGCGCTTCTAAGCGAGTCCAAAATAAAGGAGGTAATATGGAGCTTTGAGCAAAACATACATTTTCAATCAACACCACTGTTATTTTTTTTTTAGCAATTATGAACCCCTGTTATAGGAGTTATAGGACATCAGTAAGCACAAACCGCTTCATTCAGCCAATGAGCTGATCAGCTCTCCCACCAATCAGCACAGGAAGTAGTAGGAATGCCAGCCAATCAGCACTCAGTAGCAGCAATGTAACCAATCAGCACTCAGTCGCAGTAATACTAACAACCAGCACACAGTTACAGTACCACAACCAATCAGCATTCAGTAGCCGTAAAACCAACCAATCAGCACTCAGTCACAGTAATACTAACAATCAGCACTCAGTAGCAGTACCACAACCAATCAGCACTCAGTAGCCGTAAAACCAACCAATCAGCCCTCAGTAGCAGTAATGCTAGTTCCCTACTGCAAAAAAAACAAAAAAAACAAACAAACAAACAAACAAAAAAAAACAAATTAAAATAAACGTTTGCTGTAGAAAAAGATAAACATACCGTTTTTTTTGCTTTTTTTAGTGAAACACATCCTTCTACTTTCCAAAATTAACAAAAGGGCCTGGACAAGTGGTTAAAACTATTTTAACTTTGCATTTTCATGCGTTTAGCTTAATTCACCCCCATTTATTTGGCACTCGCTCGCGGACGCCCTCTGGCGTTTTGCGGTCATGTTTTGAAATAATAACGGGAGAAATGGAAAATGGCCACGCTCCCCTCAAACCAGCTCTGACTAAACTCCCATATGATCCTCCAAACACAAACCGTGCTGCCCGATAGGGGGCAGTAATAACTTTCCTCACTAAACACTGGGACAGTGAAGAAGACGGTCTCCTGGAGACGATAAGCGGACGGAGAGGAGCGTTAGAGCCATGAGCGCTAGTCGTGGGTCGGTATTAATGAAGTGGGTTTACTGTTTGAGTAATATAAGAATAAAGCACAGAACCCCTCGTTTTGCGACCACAGAAATGTAAAGAAAGAACCTAGATTTAAGTATCTTAGCAGTCAAGTTGATAAATGGCTAAGGTAAGGAGCTAAGGAGGTTTATTTATAGGCTAACTAACTAAACTAATACTGCAGAAGTCTATTTGCTGCCTTTAAATACTATCATTATTATCAGTTTTAAGTATTATAAAAATAGCGAGTAAATAATGGAGTGCTGCATATTTTGCTTACTGACTTTATTTATACTGATTATTGTTAATACTTGAACCAATATTTGTGCAACAAACACGTTAAGAAAATGTTCAACATTTCTGCATAGTTAAATTGTTAAGATATATAAAATTGTCATTCAGAGTGATTTGATGTGAAATGTTCAGCTCTAGAGAAACCTGCCAAAGAGTGGTGGTGATAGTCTGAAGCGTTTAATGCCTTTAAAAGCTAACGTTACATCATAGAACGTTATTAAATGAAACAGTTATAAATACTCTGACTGATGTCTTGGACATTTTTGTATGATAGTTTTGAAATGGGATTTTGGTCTAAAACATATTTTTAAAATCTGTGCATGGCAGAGAGGTACATGTAGGGCATTATAAGGCAAAACAGTTCCCGAAGAATACTTTATTTTTCAGATATACCACTATTTAACCATTATCAACATTACATATAAACACTTGGGATAGTAAATAAAATGGCTATATTCTTGTTGTAGACATGCGTTTGTATCACCACCGCTGTAAAGGAATCTAAGTCAGTGAGTTTCTCTACAGTAAACTATTTCACATCAAACCACTGTGAATGACCACAGAGTACTGACGACAATCATTAACCCACCTCTTCAGACATCAATAGTGTGTGTGTGTGTGTGTGTGTGTCTCCGCAGAGAGACATGTGTGAAGCAGAGACTGTGTCCCTCCAGGCTTGCCTCAGTGTAGTTGGAGCCTTGGAGTGTGTGGTACGTCGCTGTGTTGGACCAGATGGTGGGAGTGTGCTCTTCACCAAAGACACTGGAGAGACTCTTATCACTAGACATGGACAGCGCATTCTCACTATGTTACATCTGGACCACCCTATGGCCAGGTATGCAACACACACACACTCTTACTTTTGTGTTTATAGGGCTAGATTACACATTTCAGCTCAGAGAGCGAATGGTATATTTTGAAACTTTATCAGTGTTTACTTCTTAAAATTAGTTTTTCCGTGATATGGGCCCTTTAATGTGGTCTCTGCTTTCTACTTCTACTCTTAATCCTACTGATTTGTTTTTGCCCGTATTTTAGAATGGTGCTGGAGTGCGTGTGTGCGCATGATCGTATCACAGCAGATGGTTCTAAGTCTTTTATCCTCCTGTTGGCTGCGTTGCTGCGAGGAATTCACGACTCTGCAAACAGACACCACAAAGCATCCTGGAGCCCCGCCACCAACCGAAAACTGGCCAATCAGCTTCTGGCCTTCTGCTGGAAGGAGCTGGATGATATCATAGCCCATGATGTTGTCCCTTATGCCTCATTTCTTTTTGGTTTCGGTGGATATAGACTGGAAGGTGGAGTCTTGCCTGCGTTGGTGGGAGGGTATGTCACAGGGAGAGTTGCTATTGGCCAGGCTGAGATTCTTACACCTCTGCTTTGTGAATTCTACAAAAAGGTTAGCCACAAACAGGACAGTACCACTGTGGAACCAATCACATTCCTTCACTCAAATTTTTCCCTGCTGCATGCAAAAGTGTCAGGACTTCCTACTGGGTGTTCACAAGTAGTGAAAGGACTTGTGCTTGCTTGTGATTGGTCAGTGTGGAGAGAGGCTGAAGGGCCAGTAAAAGCGCTGGTAATTTGTGAGAGTCTAGATAAATCCTTGGTTGCTATTGGCGACAGCGTGAGTATTTGTTTTCAGCAGGACTGGCTGCTTCGGTCTGAGAGCGCAATGAAGCAGAGGTTAGCGAGACTGCTCTGCCTCCAAGTGAGCGTGGTATTATCATCGGTGAAGCAGCCGGAGTGCGTGCTGGAGTGGGCTCGGCTGAACGGTGTCTCTGTCCTGGAGTGCTGTGACTCAGAACAACTGGACCTGCTGTGTGAACTCAATGCTGCTGAAATGCTCTCTATGCAGCCCATGCTGCGCGTCACTACACTAACCTTCCACAGCCGCCTGCAGCTAGGAGGGTGCAGGTATGCTCATCTAGGGATCTCTCCTAATGGATCAATACACATACACACGTTGGTGCTCTGTGCACCTGCTCCTGGACCACTCGAACAGAGCGTATGTGTGAGCCAAGGCGTCTTTACAATGCTCCAGCATCTGTGCCTGTCAGTTCTCAGAATGAGGGAACAGTCAAATGACACAGTTTCTCTCAGTGACTCACACCAATATCAGATAGAGAGAGATAGTGACTCTCTGACACATGATCAGCCTCACATGTCCACTACACTTCCTGACCAGTCACAAAGCTCTTCTTTGGACCAATCACGAGGTTCCATTAAGGACTTATGGGCTGGAATTTTAAAAGCTGGTGGAGTTCTTCCTGTGGGTGGAGCATTTGAAGTCCTATTACATCACTCCTTGTTGCATTGCAGTAACCATGGTGACTCGGAGAGCCGAAGCCTTCTCGCTAAGGCCATACTGAGCGTGCCCAGATCACTGCACTCCCACAGACCCAGATATTTTCTGCAACAGCAGGCACAATTGATGAGTAAGCTGCAGCTTCTCAAACAGGGCCATACGCTTAGTGAGCTAAGGTTAGGGTCAGAGTTAAGGTTTGGTTTAGGGCCAGCGGGATCAGGTTCCTTGTGTGTAGAGCCAATCTGTAGTAAACACCAGTTGGTGGTGTCTGTGCTGCAGTGTGTGAACAGGCTGTTGTGTGTGGGGACTATACTACACACGCGAACTCCTCTGCACAGATCACTCACAGCGTCCGCTGAAGACAGTGAAGAAGAGGGCATGTGACGCTGATTGACCACTCATGCTCTACCACTAAATTACCTCTTGTTAAGACCCAGCATAGCAAACTTCAATCAACTTCCACATTCTAACTTTTTTAGCCAGATGCAACACACGGTACTGTGCAGATATGACCTGCAGATTGCAGCCACTGACCTACAGCCAGGGGACAGTGGTCCTCAACTGGTGGGTTGTCACCCAAAAGTGGGTAGTCTAATATAATATATATACAAAAAACTATGTATATTATACATGTATTTTCTTACATTAAGAACAGAAGAGATAGCAAGAAACCCTACTGAGTTTTGTGAGGAAAGGCAAGTAATGATGGGCATTTCAGTCAAATTCGACATTCCAAAAACTAAAAATTCTAAGGCTATAGGATATTATGTACCAGAAACCATCAGAGACAGAGACTATTACTGTACTATATTAACCTCCTTTGCAGGCCCCCTAGTGGCCATTCCACCAGCTGAACGGAAATCAACTCAGATATTTTTAATTATTATAATCAAACAAAATATTTTTCCCTTAACTATTTTATCACACTAACTAGGACACTGTTACCTTTCTTTGTGTGAAATATTGTGACTCTGTGTTGAGCTGCTAGTGTGCAAAAAGGAGTGAAAGGGAAGAACTGTCTGCTGTGAAAACAATTACCCTCTCTCCACAAAGACGGCCATGACGAGATAAAAACAACTGCAGCTTTCTGTATTTCAAAAAAATCTTGTACTGCTGCCACAATATAAACTAGCATTTAAACCCAATAAAAACACTTTTATAAATGTTAACTAGCTTATTCATCTGTGAAGATGAAGCCTGTATTTCACCATATTTCGTACCTTTTAGCTCAAAAACAGCAAGTTTATGAAGAGTTAGTTAGCTGACACCAAATATAATAAATTCACTAAATGACACTCACAGTTGTATTCTGTTAAATCTATACAAGTTCAGACATCTCATGGGTCTTCAATGTGGGAATATATAGTGTCAGGGATGAGCTAATTTGCATGTTCTAATTCTAAATTCTAATTTACTATTTGATTTTTTTTTACTTTTATGACGCTTCAAATATTCAAATGTAATGACTCTATAATGATCCCTGTTTAGCAAACATGTTGAATTGCTTTTTGGTCATGACTTAATGACAAGGACAAATATGGGTCCTAGGCAAGACCAGTTAAGAACCAATGCACTAGGAAATGGGTTAAAATGTGTTTTGTCCATACTCAGACACACTACTTTAACTTTTTCATTAATTATCAAAGCTATTATGAGTTGCACCTTGTGTGTTTGAGTAGGGAAAAACATTAGCTTATTCCACTGATCCTTCAGGACTGGGCATGGTTCACTGTTGCAGGTCTTGGACACTGTTACAGGACTGGGCTTGGTTCACTGTTACAGGGCTTGGACACTTTTACAAGACTGGGCCTGGTCACTATTACAGGGCTTGGACACTATTACAAGACTGGGCCTGGTTCACTATTACAGGTCTTGGACACTATTACAGGACTGGGCTTGGTTCACTGTTACAGGTCTTGGACACTATTGCAGGACTGGGCCTGGTTCACTATTACAGGGCTTGGACACAGTTACAGGACTAGACTTGGTTCACTATTACAGGTCTTGGACACTATTACAGGACTGGGCTTGGTTCACTGTTACAGGCCTTGGACACTATTACAGGACTGGGCCTGGTTCACTATTACAGGGCGTGGACACAGTTACAGGACTAGACTTGGTTCACTATTACAGGTCTTGGACACTATTACAGGACTGGGCTTGGTTCACTGTTGCAGGCCTTGGACACTGTTGCAATTACTTAATAAAAGGCCTTATTTTTTACCATCTGTCCAAATGTTGACTGAATTGAAATGACTATATTCTTTTAGTATGTAATTTTTTGCTTCTTAAGCCCATCTGAATTAGTTGTTAAAAATGGTAAGTAACTATCAGCAGTGGAGTAGGTTATTCACTAAAAGATCGTTTACTGGCCTGTACACTCACCAAAAAAGTATATAAAGATTAGAATTAGGCCTGAAAGTAGAAATGATGAGTACAAAATTCAAACATTGTTCTCTCAGAATACATGAAAACTGCTGTGAGTAACATTAATAGTTTTGCAGTGAATTTTCCAGCCTTTTAGCACAGAATACATTTTATACATTCCATCAGTAAATGTCCAGCTGATCCCAGAAGTCACAGAAGTGGTCCCTGTTGCCATGTTGAGGGTGAGACGGCAGCGTTAAATTCAGAATTGGCCAGCTCTCTGTGGATGTATACCGAGGCCAGGCAGGGAGCCTCTGCTGTCTGCAGAAAGGTGTTTGCTCACTGCGAGCGTTCGGGTCTCCTGTGTGGGCGAAAGCGCCCCAGTAACACACCATCCGATTGGCCAGGAGAGTCTCCTGAGCTGTGAGTGTTAAATTTGTTACAGGGGCAGAGTCGAACAGGAAGGGAAGCTCTGCCCCATGACAGGCGTGGTCATAACAGAAAGTAAGCCCTGCCCATATGCTATGATCAGATGGGGAGTGGTCAAATACATACATCCAGACAGCTCCACTGAGACTCACTGCAGAGTGGGCAGAACGTCGAGCCGGACACAGGAACACATAATCTGTTACAATCTGAAAGATAAGAAGAGCGAAATCAGATTCAGACTAAACTGGGTTTAGAAGGCCCATGTCCTATAATTTTCTTGTATTTTTTCTGAGGTCATTTGTTTGTGTCATAATACATTTTTAGATGACCATCTTTATCCTTTAAACAGACTGTTTTTGTTACTGTGACTTTATAGGTGACCTATAAGGCTGATATTAGATGTAAATGACCTGATCGGTGGCCCCATATTATGCCTCATTCCAAAAGCAGTCAAGATTGAAACACTTCTTACAAGAAAGCTGAATTGCTGTTTCAGTATTTTCCAGCATTCTACATATTAAACCTTTTTCAGAGTTGTTTGAGCATTTAGTGGCATGGTGTCTAACCTGTGAGAGCATGATACGTCTGTCCTGGTTGTGGTAGAGAGGAACATATTTGTAGAGGATGCTGAGAGCATGCTGTTTGAAGATGGCTGTGGTGTAAACGATGCATTCCAGCACAGACACTGACTTGGTGAATACTCCATATACAAAGATCACACCTTCTTCAGATGTAGTGCCTACATGGATACAAAATACTTAAGCTTATCATTGTTAGGGTGATTGATACTCCATGCTAATCAAGCAGACCATCAAGCAGAGTTATGCAAATTACAAAAATTACATACATTTAAGTAAAATTAGTCCTTAAATTCCTAATCTTCCTAATTTCAGGGTTCTGTTTGTCAAGGCTAGTGAACTTCTTACTTTTGAGCTTTAGCCTTTAATATTTGACCAAAAAGTTCCCAGAATGATTACTGTGACGAACTTCAGTTTCTATACTGATAGGTGCTGGATGTACCGATACGTTTCACTGCAGTTCTATGAGAAACCCAGTACATGAAGAGATTTTGACCTGGTACTTTTTTACTCTTGGTTATGTTGGTCTTTTTACACATTGTTTCATTAGCGCTACTTTTACTTCAGGATATTGGCTACTGTACCCACCTCTGCTGAAGAATGGCTAAACCAGCAGGGTTACATGTTAACTCACATAGCAGATCAAAGTAAACAGATCAGTGAAGTGTTACAGACCTAATATGACAGGCTTGTAGCTTTGCCAGTGTCCCTTTTGAAAGGCCATGATTGGCTGCTCCTTGATCAGCTGTCCATCAATATATGGACCCCAGGTCTCGAACATCTCCAAGAAGCGGAAGGGATTGATGATTTTAGAACCTGCAAATGGATAGATCAAATGAGACAAGATATTTGCCAGTTCTTTTGTAGTGTTCATGAATCTACATTATGTGTATTTGTACCTGCTTTAACTTGAGCATTGAGGATGGCATGTGAGCTGAGGGAGCGAAGGCATTTCAGGTCAGACGCTGAGCAATTAGTCAGTTTCACAAAGTCCCTGCCCAGCTTCAGAGCATCCCACCTACAATATCACAGTCACCACCACCATAATTATCATTACTGTCATCAGAACTGATGTAATAGGGTGAAAGCTGTGTGTATAGTACCTGCTTTTGAGTGGGATGGAGAATGGCTGGCTCTGTATGGCAGCATGACTGAAAAGAGGCTCACTGAACTGCATCATCAGGTGCAGAGAAACTGACTGTGCTCCAGCACTCTCACCAAACAGAGTCACCTACACACACATAAATATACATACTTAGTTGCAGTTACCTTACCAACACCACTGCCTGAGGGTGGATGATACAGCAGCATTAAAACACTTTCCATGAAGGAAATGAATTTTTCTAAGGTTTGCAAACAAGTTGAAATGGACATTCTGCACACAGGAGTGCCACTTTTAAAAAAGAGTACATTTTTTTTCCTGAAAATAACTAATTTAACAAGAACAAGAGGAAAAACTGGTGAAATTAGTTCAGATTGGTCAAAATAAATTAGTAAAATAAAACAATGGTGTAATGAGGTCCAATTAGCTACTTTTTACTATGCAGCGCTACCTATAATTGGTCTCAATGTGTCTGTTTTATGATAAAAAATAGTTCAGTGTTCTAGACATACTGACAATCTTTACGATTATGCTCACAAAAATGCAGTGATGTAATTTATAACAATAACAAAAACATTTTTTAATTGCCTACTCCTACCACCACCCTTGGACTGCCTATACACACCTTGGCTGGGTCTCCTCCAAAGGCAGCAATGTTTTGTTGGACCCACTGCAGCGCTGCCTGCTGGTCCAGAATTCCATAATTTCCCACTGCAGAACTCTGAGGATCTTTCCCAGTCACAAGAAACCCAAATGCTCCTGTATAACAACCACACAGTCCGCTGAGACATACATCTACATATGGATCATACTGCCATACCACATAGAGTTCCAGTCTAAGTTTGAACACACCTGACTGAATGTATGTTTTCATAATCTTAAAGATATTTTGATCTAAATACTCACACATAAATGCTTGAAATTAGGCAAATGTATTGGGCAAATATAAATAATACCTATATATTCGCTTCAGTGTTTACCTGTATGGCAGTGGATATACAGGAACATATTGGCCCATTCCATCTGCTGTGATTTTATATCAGTAGAACTGTTACATTCATATAAAATATTTTACATGCCTGTTCTTCCTCTCGGTTATTACATTATAAACAGTATAAACATTTGTGGGTGTCTGCTACTGTACATTCATATAGTTCTGTGTACTGTGCCGCTCACCTAAGCGATACTCAATATTTACAACCACAGTGTTGCTGTAGTTACTGATGAATCGTCCATCATACAGTGGTTTAGAGGCTGAGCCAGCAATGAAGTCACCTCCATGAATCCACACCATGACAGGCAGGGCTGTGACAGTTGGCTTTGATAGATCCACACTCACAGGAACAAACACGTTCAGATACAGGCAGTCCTCACTCGTCTGAACACACATAGGCATAAATCCATATTACTTTAAAAGCAGTGCAGTTGATGCATTTTTTTTCTTCCTTCAGCATTATTCTCCAGGATCCACTATTTCCAAATGATTTTCCATTAATTTTGACCATTTTCCAACCCTTCTCAATCTCTTAGAATTAAACAGGCTTTTTTGTTACTGTGCCTTTAATCTGATACATGCAAATAACCGCTGTTCTGATTGGCTACTGTGCATTGTGTCTTATTCAAAAGCAGTCTGGGCTGGAATTCACATAACACATTGTTAAATTTGGACTAGTGGTGTAGTCCTGAGAAAAGAATGGGTACGCTATAAATCTGTGCCAGCCTAGAACGCACAGTCAACAAATTAACGTTTTCAATGGCCACGACATATAAAACTAAGTACATAAATAAATAAATGAACATAAATAAACAGTTATACTTGAGAATTCGTTGTTTACAAACTTTTTTAGTCCTCACATCAGTCACAGTCCATTGTTTATAAACGTTTCTGAATGTTTTAGCCTTTTTTTTAAGCCATTGTTTATCTTTTACAAATTGCCAATAGCCTACTTAACTGCTAAAACGCTACTAGTTTCACAGAGCTGATGTTAGCAAACCTCACCCAAGTCAGTTAACATGTTGTGATACTAGCATGTTAGACTAGCACATCACTCTAATATTTACCAGGATCAACATTCACAGGCGTTTTCAATCACAATGTGTCTGTTTTTGTATCTGAAATCATATCAGCATGTCTGTGACTGCAGAAGGCTCGAACTTGGTATCCTTTGGTAATATTCGAAAATTAACCAATCAAAATTGTGTATTTATCATGCAATTGACCAATCACAATGTGTTTCATGAAACTCGCATGATGACTTGTGAAGCATCTTAGAATAAGTGGATAGACACAAGTATAAGGAAACAACCTGTCAGTATATGGTGTATATGTGCATTCACACTCAACTGTTTTCTGTGCGTATTGTCCTGAGAAATTTGGATTGAAGTCCTCAGGACAATCCACTTCAGCCCCTTGTTTCAGATGTCTCGATCTGACAGAAGGCTCTGACTTCTTAAACATGATGCATTCAAAAGGGGCTATTTTTGCAGCTTAGTTTCCATATATGGATCGTAAGTGGAGAGTGAACAGCATGTTTTGTGCAATATTTACAATGCTTAAATTTCAGAAATACAAGGAAAAATAAATGGGCCCTTTAAATTTGAATTATGGTGAAACAGTGACAGAAATAATCAATAATCACTGAAACACTTAGCGTTCTCATCAGTGAATGGGTTTAGATAATGCCATGTGATTGGTTCAAGAAAAATTACCTTAGGGGGACACATTTGAGAGAACTCTCCAGCACAAGCCTGCATACATGCTGGTCGAGGAAAAGTGGCATCATACAGCTGTGTCCATGGTGACACGGGGTCAGGAGCACTCCAGCGTTTTGGGCCTACAGGAGGGGCTGCGTACGGAATGCCGTAAAACACATGAGCTTTGTCCAAGGTGAGTCCACAGACAGGCCCAGACTGCGTGAGCACAACAGGACCCTTACTGGACTGTGCCTCTTTTCTGTCATGCATCATAACGTTGTCCAGTGTATCATCAGTGCGCTTTTTATTCCACACAACTCTGTTCATCCCAGCATCAGTTATGCTGTTATGTTTCATCTCAGTATTACCATATATTTTCTTATCCTTACAATCAGCTTCATTACATTCGTCATCAGCTAGGCCAAAGTATTCACCATTCAATTCAATAGCATTATTTCTGACATTAGAATAAGCAGACGCCTCAGACCGAATGCCAGACTGACACTCTAGTTTATTTTCCTGTCCAGTATATGGGTCCACTAATTTAGCATCATCAGTGTTGACATTGTAATCACTATCCTCAGCTATGCCATCACTCTGAAATATGTCAGAACGTACTGTCCTTTGGATGTGGTTGAAAGTCGTGCTCCGTGCTCCTCCAGTCTGAGGCGTGTAATGCTGCTGAGTATGTGTGAGATGAGTGTGTGTGAGTCGTGAGTCCTCGCCTCCCTCTTGTCCCCCACACACCAAGTCTGGTGTCACCATGGAAACCAGCACGACCAAGGTTACTCCAGCGACCAGCGAGACCATGATGATGATGATCACTCAGCTCCAGCTGATCACACACCAAGGAAACACGTCCCAGAGATGAGGTCTGCTTGCTCACACATACACACACACACACACACCTACACACCAGCTCCTGTAATTTTGGTCCTCTCAGACGTGCTTGTTTATTCCAGGTTTGAAACTCCACATTCCGAATGTTCTCAAAACCTTTATTCCATCAGTGTCACATCTCTGAAGCACCGCTTACTTCTCTGCAGCCCTCAAACGGGAACAGTAAGTGTGGTGAAACTGGACTCTGTCCCATTGAATTTCTCGTGACTTCAATGAGCTTGGTTGACCCACATACACACACTCTCTCTCTCTCTCTCTCTTTCTCTCTCTCTCTCTTACAGAGACACATACAATTACACAAGGACGCCTTTGTGATACAAATCAGATTACAGATCTGCACACAGCTGCTGAAACTACTTACATGTGCGCACTACATTTCAACACAGTATCCACATCCACACAATAGACTGAGGCTACACAATATGAAAGATAGTGAATGTACAACCAGGCCTAGTGTCAGGGGCTCATATAATGTATCACTACCCAACCAGCAAATCATTACGCTCCACTAAACTCGCTACATGCTTCTATGGCAGCAGGCGGCAAAAAACAAAGTGAAACTAAACTGTATGCGTGCTGCTTCCTAGTAGGATTTGAATGCATCACTTTGTATTGATACATTACGGCATGTGAATATGATGCATGACCCCAACCCCACTCCACACTGGCCCCTCTGTGATTTTTGGATGCCACACTTAAGATTTGATTCTGACGCTTGTCTTTTATCTTTAATTGCATTTGCATGTGCATTCGTGAGTTTGTCTCAAAAACTTGTCATATGACCTTGGATAACCTTGTTAGCTGGTCTGGAAAATGCATGCTCTGGACTATACCAAACTTGGCTTCGCATGAACAGTTCTATTTTGTGTGTGAGACAGTGATTATGATTGCTTTTTAAAATATCCCTGCTTTCATATTGAGATATAATAAGTATAAGGTCTGGTTGTACAGAGCGGCTGTGAAAAACATTATGTCCCAAACACAAAGAAACATGATGTAAGTCTGGTATCGTTAGTGTTCTGAAAACACTGGATTGTTGAGTGATTGCTCAGAAGTACTAACAGGCAGCTTTTTAAGATCATGACTCATCTGTGTACACGCTGTTCACACTGCCTACAGAATGCTATACGTACAACCGTCTCCATGGAGACAGTGAAACCTTTGGGGAGGCATAGATGAGGCAAATGAAGCAATTAATTAATTTCTCAAACAGTGATACACAGATCACAGACATTAGCAAGTAAGAAGTCATCAAGCATCTTCACCTGTGGTACATAGAGTCAACACTGACACATGAGGAAATATACTGATCTTTGTTTATTTTTACATGTCAGAATATGAAAATTCAAAAGTTTCATACACTTTTATATGTTCTATGAATAAGATAGATATTGATATGTGATTTACAATGAAAGGGATAGAGAACAAAGTCAGATTGTTCTGTGGGGAGTCACTGAGAAGGACGGTGATGCATCAGTCCTTTACAGCAGGGAAGATGCCACACATATGACTCAGCGTAGTGCTATGCCTTCATAACATTCCCCTGTTAATAGATGGCGTGAAGTTCGAAAGCACTGACATAAGGCTTAAACAGCTTGGAACTGGGTTTACTCTGTGATTTCAATGTGTTGCATAAAAGTAGAGAAGCCAGCACATTCCAGTTGGTAGCAGCAATCCAACGCTGGTCAGCCAGTTGAGAAGCCTGTGAGCTGAAGACTTTGGGACAAGATCCCAACCTGGTGACCAGTCATACCCTACAAGAAGACAGTTACTTATTAGCAAGATATATTAGCAAGAACAACTTAGTATGATTATTTAACTGACATAATAATTTAACTTTTATGCCATAACTTTAAGGCCATGGAAAACAATGCAAACTGTCTGAGTTATTCATAACTTTTAGAAGTGAAGAATGGAAGCCTGGACACACCAAGGCTCCTAGCCATTTAAGGTGTTAAAAAATGTAAAACGTTTAATCAGAACAAAGCAGAAATGTTATAACTGGCCAGAAGAAAAAGACAGAAATAGAATAAAGATATAAAAGCAGAGGTTATGTTAGGTCTGTGAGTGGTAGGAGAGTTGCATCACACTTAGTTTAGCAGTTCACTGGTACATGAATCAGTAGGCAATACATACTTTTATCACTGTCACGGATTGGATCAGCTGTTGAGAAGATGAGTGTACACATTTAATACATTTTTAAAATAATTAACAATGTCATGATCTAAGGAATTCTGCTTGTCCTTCATGGACAATTTGATAATGACAATAGTGAGCTAATTAGGTAGTGTTCTGTCATGGGAATGAAAATGCTTTGTGATTCTTACTGCAGAGTTTATCTTGGCATTTCTCTGTACCACAGCTACTGCAAGCCAGCCCCACTATATACGGAGGAAAGCCAAACACATTTCCACTGGGACAGAACAGATACATAATGTTAGTACTATCACAACAATAACAGCACAATAAAAATAAGCCACACTTATTCAGGACGACTGACTATTGAACATAAAGATCCTCAATAACTTAACGGCTATTTCAGACTTCCATAGAGTCAAAAAGGAAAGTAATTTAGCTTGTCTCTTCTGAAAGAACCTGTGGTAACACTTTATTTGGAAAGTACACTTTAGATGTTTTGCAGATCCTTAACTTACCTTTAACTTAGATTTAGATAAATATCAATTAAATGAATCTATTAATGTATTATTTTCCCTAACTCTAAACCTGGCCCTAATTTTAACCCAATAATTAAAACTAACCCCCATTGTGGTCCCAAACCTAATCCTAACCCTTATCTAAATCCTAACATTATTACTGTTGACAGTTTGTTTAGTTTCATCAGATAGTTTGCTAACCATTTGAACATCTGTAGATAATCTATAGGGGCCTATTGAGGACTATCCAAATAAAGACTGAACCTTGTAACCACTGAACTTTAGAATAACAAGTGCACACAGAAATGAACCAGTGGGAATTTTTTGACTAAAAAAATGAAAATATACATTTTATGTTGAGGTAACAAAGTCTATTGACCTTATTCAGTTTGATTGAATGCAAATATGTGGCATAAATAAATTCAGAGTGTAAAATCTTTAGTGGTTCACTTACGCATCACCATAGTCACACACAAAAATAGTTGACTCTGGATGACTGGAGAAGTTGTCAATCCCTCTAGAACAAACATGGACAGCGCAGCCAACCTTATAGCTTGTTGCCCACATCAACTGAAACACATAAATCACATTCAAATGAATAAGAAATGCCAAAAAAGTCAAAGTTTACTTCAACAGAATTTTCAAAACATTCACAAATGTGTTTAAGGTGACCATATACAGTTTAACACAGGTCCAAGATGCCATCAGGCATTTTTAAAGTTGCTCTAACACTCTAAAGCTAACCTGTGTGTAGTGGCCGCAGACCCTGGCACAGCTGTGGTTTCGGTGTGTGTAGTCGGCGCCCTCTTTATTCCAGCTCTGGACAGCTGACTCCACTGTGAAGGCTGAGTATGGAGTGCCCAGCCAGATGTTCTCCCCGACCCGCCGGAACTCAGGGTGGATGTGACCCACCCGCTGCAGCACAGGATTATGGGAAGCCTTGCAGTGTCTGGCCCAAGAGCGGGCACCTCTTGCCAGCGCATCATCCCAGGTCTGAATGTAGACATTCAGTGTGCATATTCATAACACAAAGCATGGTCAAACCATATATTACTCTCTAGATTTACAGAGCTGTGAAAAAGACAGAGACCTTAATTTATTCATCATTCATTATCTAAGCCTCCTGGTGCTGGAAGCTATCCCAGTGCTCTTTGGGTGGAAGGCAGGAAACACCCTAGACAGGTCACCAGTCCATCACAGGGCAGACACACAGATTCACACACACCTAGGGACAGTTTAGTATGACCAATTAGCCTGACTGCATGTCTTTGGACTGTAGGAGGTGACTCACACAGACACAAGGAGAACATGCAAACCCCACACAGAAAGGACCCTGGTGGCCCAGCTGGACAATCGAAAACAGGTCCTTCTTACTGTGAGGCGACAGTGCTACTCACTGTGCCACCATGCCACCTGTACCTTAAAGTCAAATGAAAAAACAGGAGTTTCCAAAATTGGAGTTCAAAAAATGACCAACCATGCAAGAACCTGAAACACATCCACAGGTCTTTCTGTCCATCCTTCCACTGTGAGAAGACAATTCAACGTTACGGGTCTGAAAGGATGTGTAGCCGTAAATAGACTGTCCACTCCAGATTCCAAACCTCTGAATCATTGAATGTCTTTGGGTTACTTGGATTATCAGAAACAGAAAATGTAACCAGCTTCTAAGGCTGGACTTTTTAGGTGTGGAAATATTTCCCTACAGATTTATTCATAAAAATTGAACGCAAGTCTCCTGAAAAAAAGAACTGAAGCTTCAGTTGTTGAGGCTTCTGTGTAATGTTCTCTTAAATATGTTTTCTACTTTTTCTGACACTGAAAAATAATTGACTTGCACCTAATAGCTTTTTTGACTGTAAATTAAATAAATTAAAAGGTGATTTCTGGCTTCTACACAGTGCTGTATATGAATTCACTTCATGCTTATTTTGAAAAAGAGTGATTCAGTGTTAGCTTTGTTAAAATGTGACTCAGTTTCAAAAATCAGTTCCCGATTCTCAGCCAGGATTTATTCTGAACTTTCCAAACTATGTGCAAGTCATCCGGTTTCAGGCTATTTCCTGCTATTAAACAGAAGTGGCTTTATGATAAGATATCTCGAAGGAGTTGTCTACTGAATTAAAGCTAAACCAACCACCAAAGATACTTCTCATCTCACAGTTCTCTTTAGAACTTCCGCCGTATCACCAAGTGCACTACTAATTTAACCTGTACTACAAAGAGTACAGGTTAAATTAGTAGTGCACTTGGTGACTAAAGTTAAACCCATCCTGAAAAAAGCTCTGACAGCTGTTAAACTTTGCAGTGCAGGAAGCCTCTCCCTCTAAATCCAGACAAGACCTTGTTTTTGAAAAGAATCCACCCTTCAACACAAGGGTACAATAGAGAAACTTTCCACTGCCCTTCAGAGGAGGAACACACATCTTTATTTTAAAACCTATTCATATTGCCATGACAACTCCAGGGGTCATTGTGTGTATTTATAGTCGTCTGGCATATAGGCACAAAGGAATAAATAAGCTATTTTGGCCTGTACTTCACTGTCGTACATTTAGAATGAACGGTTTAAGGATATAATTACAGTCAAATGACATATAAGTAGTTCAGCAGACTCCTAATTATAAACAATCAATCACCTTGTTAGGTGTTAAAAATAATGCATAGAATTTACTGGACATTTATTGGACTCAAATGTCTACATCATTTCCACATGAATAAAACACAATACATCATCACAGGCCTGTTTACTTACGTTTGGCACTAACTGTGTTGTTGTCATATATTTGAATTATGTGGAAATTTTAAATACAATTGCGTGAATTTGAATCACTGCATCACTTATTTTCAGTGTTCCAATAAGGCCACAGTGATGGTCTTCTCGTTCCCACGTAGAGATAGAGATGCTGATTATACCGTATGATAATCACTGATAGACTGATAAACACTCACCATCAGGCGCATGTTGGCCGCAGGTGGAGAGGCGCGCGAGCGGTGCGCGTTGTGCGCCTGGACGCACCTACGGATGAAGTCCGGCTCTGTGATGTCCGGCAACACGAGCGCGAGGACCCCTGCAGGACCCGCGAACAGAACCGAGATCCACAGCGCGAGAGAGCCGAGCAGGTCCATGGCGCTGCTGTGTGTGTGTGTTTGTGTGTGTGCGTGCGTGTGTGTGTGTGTGTGTGTGTGAGCGGTGCCTGCTGAGTGTGAGGAGTGATGCACTCACTGCACTGATGGAGCACTGATGAAGAGAAACAAACCCACCCACCACATCACGATCAAGAGGGAAATCTCTCTCTCTCTCTCTCTCTTTCTCTCTCTCTCTCTCTCTCTCTCTCTCTCTCTCTCTCTCTCTCTCTCTCTCAGGCATACACGCAAAAAATATATATTTATAAAGTTCAATATTGACACCAGCAATGCTGTAGTTTACTTTTTATGTTTATTTTTATTTATTTGTAGGAATCCCACATTAATACAAATGTAAACACAGCCAAAACAAAAACCAAATGAAAATAGACTTAAATTAATGAGAATTGAGTACAAGTGTTCGTTTAGGGCCACTGAGTCACAAGAGCCCCATGAGCACATTTCTTTTTTTTAGCTTAAATATCTTTTGGAAACGTCACTGATGTTGTTGTATCCACAAAAATCAATAAACACATTGTAGGCTTTATAGAGATAAAATCAAGCTCCACTGGTGCTTTACATTTAAAAAAATTCACAGGTGTTTCTGTCCACCCTTCCACTGTGAGAAGACCCCTGAGTCTGAAAACTGAACATTCTGACACTGAAAAATGAATAATTTGTACTTAATAGCCATTTTGTCTGTAAATTAAATAAATGAAAGGGTGACTTCTGGCTTCTGCACAGTGCTATATATGAATTCACTTCATGCTTGTTTTGAAAAAGAATGATTCAGTGTTAGCTTTGTTAAAATGTGACTCAGTTTCAAAAATAATTTCCTGATTATCAGTCAGGGTTCATTCTGAACTTTCCAAATTGTGTGGAACATTGCAAATCATCCAGTTTTAGGCTGTTTCCTGCTATTAAACAGAAATGAGTTTAACGATAAGATATACATTATTATTATTATTATTAGTGATTGTGCATTGCTTTGCAACACTATTGTTATCTGATTTATATTCTTCTTCTTTCTATTTTTCTGCCCCTAACTCTTTTGTTCTGACCTGCACTCGTTTCTCCCATAGACTCCCATTCATTGTGGCCCCCACACAAGCCTAATTATTTCTTTTCCCAACAGCTACCAAACTGCATGTACTCGCTCAGGTCAAGTCCCTAAGTTCTAGTCTACAGACACACTGACCTGCACTACTCTATGTGTGATTTTTTCATCTGTTGTTGCTCTCATAGATTCCCATTCATTTTCACCCCTAACCAAGCCCTATTACTTCCTTTGCAGGACTGTCACCACACTGCATGTACTCACTCAGGGCAGGTCCCCAAGCTCTAATCCACAGCCATGCTGACTTGCACTCCTCTATGTGTCGTTTTTTATCCCTCATTCCTCCCATAGAGTCTTATTCATTTTTCACAGCAACTACCACTTGGCAACCCCCTAACAACCTTTATTATTATTATTATTATTATTATTATTATTATTATTATTATTACCTATTTTTCGTGTTATGTTGTTTACTTTAGCTTTTATGATGCAAACTTGTCAGAACCATCAAAAACATGTCACAAATGCAGAAAAACAAAAGAAAAACTGACTGACTTCATTACCCAAAAACGTTTGCGGCGACTCTTCTAGTCACGTGTGCTTTGTTTACTGAATAAAGCCATAGCAACGCGAAGCTCCGGCTGAGCTTACAGGATCCTCAAATACGTTTAACGAGATTTTATCTAAACCGTGTAACCGAGCAGCGGCTAATAGAGTCGAAATGGACAGAGCTTTAAATGTTACAAGGACTTTCACACCACAAGGCGGAGTATCCTCTCAGAGACAGACACTGGTGAGTGTGCATATTCATAACAGCCTGTTCCTCTGTTTGATATGATGGCAAACAGATCATAGTTTGTGTATATAGTCGTGTATTCTGTTTTTTTCTTTTTATATAGAGCCAAAAAAATGCACCATCACGTGGACCTCGGCCCAAAGAGTAAGTCTGAGAAGTTTCACCACATATGCTTATTGAATGTGTTATTATTATTTATTTAGTGCCATCAAGTCGGTTCCTGGCGACCATATGGATAGTGTAACAGAATATCCTGTCTTCTGTTTGGGTCTTTAAACTCCTTCTACTTGTTCATGATATCTCTGATTGTATCAATCCATCGTCCTCTTCCTCTTTTACCTTCCGTTTCAAGCAGAATAGTCTTCTTATTTCATAATATGTCCAAAATAAGAGGGCTTCAGTGAGCTTCACGTGAGAAGTGAGGCTTGATATGGTCAAGAACCCGCTGATTTGTTTTCTTTGCCGTCCAAGATGTTCTCAAAAGTCTTCACCAGTACTAAAGTCCAAAGGCATCAGGATTTTCTTTGCCCAATTTTTTATTGTCCAGCTGTCACATTCCTAAAGAATCTGGACAATTCTGATCTTCGTTTGTAGAGACGCATCATTACATCCTTTCAAGCTCTTTTATCCTTGTTCTGCCGATTGCAGATCTGTGGCATATTTATTCAATGCTGGAATAGAGTATGCTAGTAGGTCAGTAATCATATCTCCATCGCTCTTCTTCTGCAGAGTTCCCATGCTGGAGTTGGAGAGACTGGGAGACAGGGAAGTGGAGGTGAGAAAATAAATAAATACAAAGAGAAGGAGAGAGAGAGTTAATGCATCCTCCAACGCATCTTCTTCTCTTCACAAGGATGGTGCTTTCATAACAGTAGCCGGAAATCCATCAAGCCTGCTGTCAGCCATGAGCTGGGGTACAGCAGCTTCAGCACACCAACCTCAGGTAATCGTCCACCAGAACTATTTAAGTACATTGTCTTGTCATCACTGTAAGAACAAAAACTAAATATAGATAGTATATATATATATAAATATATATACTAAAAAATATATATCTATTTATTTATTTTTTGTACACCATTTGAAAATGGCATGGTATTTACACACTGTGAATGTACCAAGATGAACTGATCAATGCAAATGGCCCAAAATTACTTGAATTAAAATATTATGTTACCGTATATGTGTTGTTGAGAATGTTTTTCATTCTCCTTTGGAGTTTCCATTTTGGAAATACAAGGTTATGTTGCCATGTGTTTTTTTGCATTCACATGGACAGCAACAGAATATGTCAGAAAGAAATCCCTCACTGTTTGGGTATCAGTCGCCACATTCCAGCTGCAGAGGCCAGCCACTGAGCAGACCACCTAGCAATCACCAACCAAACATGGAGACACTGTACATTGATGAGCACAGCCAAACCCAGACTTACACCATCCACACCAGAAGCAGGAAACTGGAGGCAGTGAGTGATTACTGCTTAGTCAAGACTAGCTGTTTTATAAACTGTTGTTGTGACTAATAGATTATGGCTGTGTGCATAACTGTACTATTACAGCCATATTACTGAGATGTGCAATCACATTAGTGAAACGTATAGTGAAACCAACATAATGTTGAAAGCATAGTGCTACTGAAGAGTAAGGTTCAATATTAAGGATAAAAACTGTGCATTATATGCAAATATGTTCATACATCAACATTTTGTGATTTCACATTTGTTGATCAGAGGATGTAATGTAATGGTTGTTTTGATGAGAATGGTTGTGGTACACTTGTAGGAGGGTCTAACTGTGGAGAAGAGAAAACAAGCCGTGATTGAACAGATGATGGTGGACCAGCTCTCCAGGTTAGTCGCTCATTCTCCCTCACATTCTCTAAAGGCTGTGTTTTTATAAGATAAGAGTCATTCCTACAAAATAGCCCAGACATTTTGCTTAAGTTAATACACCTCATGATACACTCCTTGTGAGTAATATGTAAAGGTCCCATATCATCGAAAAAGGAATTTTCCTTTTTTAAGTAAAGGAGTTTAGTGAACAATGTTAAAGTTTCAAAGTTTCAAATCCCAGTCCATTTGGTCCATATTTGGCTTCAAAAACAGCCTATTTTGCATGTATTGTTTTTGTGATGTCACAAAGAACATACATTTACATATATCTGCCTATTTAGTTTAGTTTAACCTGCCACGTTATGATGCCGTTAAAAGGAGTGTTTCAGCCCAGGCTACTTTTTGAATGAGGCACAATGCAGGGTCGTCATTCAGAACAGATGTCATTTACATGTCAGTCTTACAGGCACAGAAACAAGAACAGCCTGTTTAATTCTGAGGGATAAAGAGAGGCTGGGAAATGATTGTGTGATGTTGTGTGTCTTTTATTTTTTGATGCATAAAACCACACAAACATCATAAGTGGATTTCAGGAGAAAAAAAAATAAAATACAAGGAAAATGTAGGACATGGGCCCTTTAAAATTCCACTTCTCCAACAAATGTAATTAAATTTTAATCTTGCAGGGCTGTCATCAGTGACCCAGAGCAGAACACTGCTAACCAGTTTGATGTTTCAGCACGCCATAGACGGACTCTCCATCACACCATGTAAAACAGCCACACCACACACCACATCCCACCATCTCCCCACACACAAGACTCCCTGTTTCAAACAGACACACATGCACATTCACATAGTTACAAACTCATATTTAGTTTCCTTTTAGTGTCTTACATTAAGGTGTTTGTGTTCACAGGGTGAAAACTCAGAAATCTTTAACAGAGAACCTCTTATCCCACAAACTCTGTTTTCATGCCAGAATTTTATCAAGGTAAGTACATAGGTGTCAACCCATACAGTTTACCTGTATAAAATGTTTTTTTACACAGTTTTAGAGTTATACAGCCATTCCCCATAAACTCTGGCAAATAACCTTCAATAATTCTGTTGTTCTCAAATTTGTTTCTCCTGTTCTGTTTCATTAGCATTTCTGGCCCAAAAAGTGATCTGATCAGACTGTGGGTGGTGGGGTGGGGTTGGATTCAGGAAATACTGATACATGGGATGTTCTTTTTTTTTGTGCGATGCTGAACATGGACAAAACAGATATTACCTCATTTGAGAAACTGGCCAAGACATCCGTGCCTCATTCGCCAGCATTTAAAAAGTATTATGTTGTAACAGTCAGATTGTCAGTCAAGAAATTAGAGTTTAGTTTATGTGTCCCTTCTAGAACAAATCACTGTGAAATGGCTGGAGTGTAATTTACTTCAGTTTAAAAGTGCATTAGCATAGATAAACTTGCCCCTTGGTCTCACCTTGCAGATGATGCAACAGAAACTTTTTGTTCTATCGGCTCATGGCTGTAACTGTGAACGAGAGACTGTTTAGCTGTTTTGCTGTCAAATAAAGTAAAAATCAATTTCTGATTCAGTGTTAATTAGTATGGTTACCTCAATTTATTTCAGTAAAGAAAAAACATAACTATTGTTGCTAATGGATCTTGCATTAGAAATGTTCTAATAGATATTAGTGAATTTTGATTGGTATTGATTGATATTAGTGATTTTATTGTGCCAAGTAGTTGCACCCAAAAAAAAGTGTTACATCAACACAGCTGCTTTATTTAACCTTACTTGTTTTGGCAATTATTGTGTTCATGTAATACATTTATTCATGTGAAGCCTCTTGACGCATTTTAAACGTCAGTTCAAATCACCATTCTTGTCAGTAAGCATGGATTTTCACGTAAGCATGAATACTTTTCTCTTTACTGATATCTTGTATGTAAATGTATCAAGCAGAGTTAAAAACTGAATGTGTAGTAGTCAACGTTTCCTTTATATGTGTGCATGTGGATTATTGTTTGACAGATGTGGACGTGAGGCATGTCGAGAGCTCACTGGGTTTTTCTTTACATGTGATCACACCCTGACAGTGTATGAGTACCGCAGCTTTGGAAAAAACAGGTTTGTAGTTTTCTCTGAGATTTAAAATGAATGCTGTCTTTACACAGTGCTTGGATGTGTGGAGGTAAACGCTGGATTATGAAATGAGCTTTGTTTTAATTTTGCAGGTGCAGTGCATTGCCTTTTATTGCTCGAGGTGTCTACAGGACCCGAGGGAGGCCTTACTGTCTAGCAGATCTCTCACGGGTACCATAGACTTCTTATTAACATCATTATCATCATCATCATCATCGTTTCTTTCTCATCTTCTTTTCCTTTCTGTCTCTCCATCTCACACACACCCACTCAAACAGCACTGTGCAGAAGTCAGAGATCACCATTTGATTTGTTTAATTTCCAGTCAAAATGGCTACTTAGTAGCTGGTATTAATGTTTCAGCATCAGGAAAAAACATTTTTCTAGTATTAGAAAATTACACAGATACCTCAACAAGTAAATATAATATATAATATATAATATATAATATATTTTTAAAAAATATTTAGTGTGTCCACCCTTTGCCTTTTTTACTGCTTCAGTTGTTTTCTGGAAACTCATTTAAAAAAAAATCAGCTGGTATATTTTTCCACACCAAGGCTCAGTCTTAGATGTTGGTTGGATTTTCTGCTTCTCATCGCCCAGGTAATCACAAATACATTCAGTGATGTTGAGGTCTGGACTCTAGGGTGTCCAGTTCATTGTTCTGAAAACACCAGTAGCGTCTTTGTTTGGGGCTGTTATCTTGCTATGCTGTAGAATTAATTTCTTCCCAACCAAATGTTTTCCAGAGGGTATTGCATCATGTCACAGCACCTTCAATTAAAAACAATTCACCAACTCCTGATATTGTTATACATAGCCAAACTTGCACTGATCCTTCACCATGCTGACTAATGGTTGTAGACATGGTTAGAAACATGATTTTTTATTGCTTTGGTTGCCAACACACTGCCTTCAGTTATTTCCAAAGATCTTTAGACTCATCAGTCCATAAGACCTAACTTTATATTTCAGGTGTCCAGTTTCGGTGTTCTCGTGCAGATTTTCCTCTTTTTTGTCTATTCCCTTTTCTCACTTACAGCTTCTTGACAACTACACATCCTTTCAGACCAATAGTGTTGAATTGTCTTCTCACAGTGGAAGGGTGGACAGAAACACGTGAGGATGTTTTCTCATGTGAAGTAAGAGTGGAGCTTGATTTTCTTCTATCTTACAAAGGTGAAAGCTTTAAGTACTGCTTGTGGTAATGCAAGTGTCTTATATGTAATCTTCTCAAAAAAAAATCTCCTTTAACCATTTTAAATGTGCCTGAGAAAGAAATATGTGAGGCAGCTAAGGTGAGTTTGAGTAGTTGCTTGTGTGAATGGTAATGTCTGTTTGAAGCGGAACATAATGTCAGTAACACAGCTGTAACTCATTGGTTTAAAGACTGGAAGGATGGAAGAATTAAAGTGGCAGTAAGATAAAAGAGTGGACAAATTAAATATGGATAGATTTGATATGATTATTAAATGTTGGAGACTTTTTTGTCATTTTTAGTTAAATATATGTTTCCTGCATTTTTCTGATGCTGAAAAATGCATATCTTGTATTTAATGGCCGTTTCAGTGGGAAATTAAATAAGCGAAAGGGTGGTCTCTGCCTTCTGTACAGTATTGTTCAAAAACAAAAACACAGGCAGAATAACTCATGAAGTCCATCTGTGTACATTATGCAGGGTACGGATCTGCGGTTCAGCACAGATATGCCACATCTGCCCGAAAGCCTGAGACAGCGGCCATATCTGACCCTGAGAGTTACCGATGTGGATGAAGAGACCAAGGGAACACTACTGTATGCAAATACACACTCTCACATAAACAAAAACAAGCATATATAAATAAGACACCTAGTAATCTAGTGTTTCCTTTGAAACAAGGGTAGTTATAGGGAGTTTGTCTATTTGCTGCATTACGAGCCTCTACTCTTCTTCAAAGGCTTTACACTAGATGTTGGAACATTGCTGTGAGGATTTGATTGCATTCAGCTATAAGACAATTAGTGAGTTCAGGCACTTGTTGGATGATTAGTTCTGGGTTACAAATGCCACAAAAGTCATTGTATTGGTTTTGGATGGTTTTCCATCACTCCAGAAAATGCAATTCTGCTGTTCCAAAGTCTATTGCTGGGGGGATTATGCCCCTTGAGCCAACGCCTGGCTCCAGAGCATCCCATTCTATCAGCAGTGCATTTCTATGGTGATTATACAAGCTGTGAGTGTGCAGTTGTCTGTTTCAGAAATGGGTGCACCTTAAAGTAGCTGTATTCACTAATTATAAGCTTTGGACATATAATGTATTAGCTGAAAATACAACTGAATGTGCAACTGTACAATATTACTCTCTCACAGGGCCCAGTCTGGAGAAAGGGAATATTGTCTTTCTGAGGAGGAAATCAATGATCAGAAGACCTTAAGGGCAGTTCAAGGTTAATATTCTCTAATTTGCACACATAAATAATTTCTTTCAAGCACAAGAACATGAAAAGTCTTCTACGCTATCTACAGATTACTTTAGACAGGCTAATTTTCACTTCCTCCATAAATGAATGAGTAAATGAATTAATTGCTTTGAATAGTTGGTTTTTGCTGGATCTTTTGCAGTGGCTGTACGTGATAGACTGAGGGGTCGTGCCATCTCAACTCTGATTAGTCTTGGGAGAAGACTGAAGAGTTTAGATACAAAGAACAACAGTCTCATTGGCAAAGATGAGCTCAGAGAGTGTCTGATGGAGGAACTGAGTCTTACCAAGCAGGTGCAAACAAATACTAGCAAAATATTTAAACATACCAGCAACAAAAAAGCAGCCAGGAATCTCAATCAATATTCATTATTTTTTCAAAATAAAACATCGATACGCACATAATGCACTTGAACATAATGTTTATATTGTCTGTGTGCCAGGACTTTGATGCTGTATGGAGGATTGTGGGCCAGCAGGGAGGGCCACTGGTGGACTATGCTGAGATGATGCGTGCTGTTACCGGGGAGATGAGCGAGATCAGAAAAGCCATTTTTATAAAGGTAGCAGAGCAGATACTGCTGCTCCACATAAGCTTACCTTTTAGATGTGTGTGTTTGATAGATATAGTTCTGTTGTGAGTCTTTCTGTCCATCTTTTTCCAGGTTTATGTGAAACTTGACCCAAATAAAACTGGCTATGTTTCTCTGATTGACATTGAGAAATTCTACTCAGCCAAAGTGAACCTGCATTTGGAGCATGGTGAGACTCTGTCTGGTAAATTTCACACACAGTGTTCATACATAAATAAGGTGTAGGTGTAACATAGTCAGCATTGGTATTTTCATCAGAAAGACACATCTTCAAATGTTAATATGTTAATAAAAACACTTATGATGCCTTATTCGGGAAGGTGAATTGTTATTTAACTTTCAATGGATACAAAGAACACTGGGTTTTACCCATGATGACCACACTGGCTAAATTTGGTTAGTAAAGAACACTTTCGCTTACATTGTTATAAAGATTATTGAAGGGATTATTGAAGAAAGTTATAGAGTGACTAGTTGTTGGTACTCATGAGTCATTTTTATATTTGGCTGTTTATAGACATGGAGGCGAAAATAGACATCCTGTCTTGTATACAAGACACAGGAAGGGTCACTAAAGATGTGTCTTATGCTGAATTTGAGGACTATTATGAAGGACTGAGCATTGAAATCTCCAGTGACCAGGAGTACATCAACATTCTGAAGAGCACATGGAGCATCTGACCTGTGTGACCTGTGAGTGTGTTTGTATGTCTGTGTATCCATTAATGGTCATATGCAGGCTGAATTCCATGTTTTGTTGATTTTTTAAGTGACATTTAATAAGAACACACTTTACAGAGAACACACTTCAGCACATTTTAATATGCAATTACTGTTTATTTTCTGAATTTAATGTTTTGGAAAAAAACATAAAATTTATATAACATAACATTTTATATTTTATGTTGCATATTTTACCAGTATATTAAACTCAAAATATATTGGTAAAAATTATATATGTAATAAGAAAATAGAAAAAAATGACATTTTTTCTAAAATTTCTTTTTTGAAAATTTGCAGAAAATGTGGAATGGGAATTGTGGGTATACACTGATATCTGATATTTTTTTATTAACATATCTGCCTGTGCTAGTACATAAAAAATTAAAATGTAGATCCACCTGGATTAGCATTGCAGGATAATATAACATCTATTTCTGTAGATTAACAAATGCAGTAAAACGAAAAAAATGCTGATATTTTAGCGCAGTAGCCCTATATTTCATAAAACATTCTCTTCCCTCAGAGAACAATAAAAGCATCATCGTATGCTGGTTTGAAATATTGGTCAATTCTAAAAAACTGTCCAGTGTGAAATATCTGTTAATAAAATATGATTACAATAACCCTAATGATTATGTGCCCATTACAGCTAAATTTCGACAAAGTGCTGCAAGTGTGCTATAACATTACTTTATAAATTGTTAATTACATACCGTATTTAAGTTCTCATGAGTTTGTATTAAAGAAGAGCATTCTTTCTTACTGTGTCATTTGTAATACTGTGTACATTGTTATTATGAGGAAATATTTAAAATTGTTTGATTAAGCTTCAATTTAACTACATGAACATATTTAAAATATGTTTGCCTTTGACAAAATATGTCCTGTATAGTAATTGTACTCTTTTGTAAATCTTACTTTGTCCTGAACAAGTTTTCTCCCATTTGAGACAATAAAGTAACCTCAATCTTAAACACAGAGTCAAGAGGCAAGTTTTATATACTTTATTGAGCTAAAGGGACTTTGGCTTAGTCCACTTTCCTATATCAATTCTTACTGGCACTTTTATTGACAGTTTGATGAGAAAGTAATAATATATTCTAAAACTGTAACAGCACTCCTCCTCAGGGCCCAGTAGGAGGTGCTGTTTCATACTTGTGGGTGGTGAGAGACAGAGAAAAAGGGCAAAGAAGAGGTGGAAGAACATGGAGGCTGTAAGAGGAGGTAAAACCAGATGTTTTGAAAAGAAGGCATCTCACTAGTGCTTCTGTTCTCTAAACCAGTGTAATGTACATATACACACACCTTAAAATTAAAGGCTATGAATATACTGAGTCAGTTAATGGTGTAATTTGAGTGTCCAATATGGACAGTTATGTTGATGTTCCTGGCTGTGTATCAGTGACCGTTAGACAGGCCGTTGGCAGAGCCATCAAAGTGCTTATGGTTGTGATCTTCATCCAGACTATCTTCCTCTTCCTCATCACTTCTTTCATCTCCTTTCATCTGCAGAATGAAAGAATGAAAGTGACTGTTGAATAAGAAATGGTAATACTTTAATATGAATATTAATCTGTAATAAATGAGGTAGCTCACTCATTGGTTTGCATACTTCAGAACTCACTCACTTTGCCAAAGAGGAACTTTTTGACCATGCGAAGGATGAGGGAGGCCCAGAAAATGTGTAGCAGCAGCAGGACCACCAGCATCACGTTGAAGAAATAATACCCAAAAAATGGTTGAAACTGCTCCAGAGGATACACCCATGTGCAGTGGATCAACCTAAACCATTGGTTTCAGTGTTAGAACTGAAGAACTACCATTTCAGAACTTGCTTTTATACTGTTCAACCTTTTCTCCTTCATGCTTACCAGAAAGGGAAGATGACTAGCCTGGTTACCATGAATACAACAGTGAAGAGGACGAAGATGGTGTTGCAGGTACGCTCCCATCTTGCATAATTAAACATCTTACCAGACTGACAAAGAGGAACACAGACCAGTTAAATCAGTTAACCCCCTAAACTGTAAGCCTATTTATTGATCTTAAATGTTATTATTCCTATGAAGCTAAAAAAAGAAAAATATAATTTTTGGCTTGTTTTTATTAAATAAAATAATCATGCTTTTATTTAAACTCTGCAAGTTTTGTAGTACTACTCTTATTGTTGAGTTTTACTTGGAAACAAAAGGTTTATTTGCTAAACCACCAAACAAAAAATTATCCAGTCAGGATTTTCTTTACATTGTATCTAGGTGGATATAGCCAAACTACCTCGCTCATTGGTTAGGCCTTCAGTTCAGCTCCTGAAGGCCTACTAAAGGTGTCAGATTAATTACAAACGTAATTAAAAACTGACAGTACAATCAGACAGTTTAAGCTTTGATTTCCAGGGGGTGGGATAAGTTTTGTTAAAAAAATAGGAAGGCCATCTGGAAGTCCTAGAAGACTGACTTTAAGTTTGTGGTATTCGGCCCTAATGTGCTTCAGTCAGTTGTTACAAATGGTAAATAGCAGCAAGAGCTCTATGCCAGGGCTCTTTACTGAAAGAGTCACTACTACTGTCATAGTAAAACTACTACAAGGTAAAATATGTGTTAAAATGTCTGTTACAAGCTTTAAATAATACATGGAATGTCTTTTACAAGTTTCAGATGTTTACAGTTGATCTAGAATGGCCAAAAAATATTCATATGAATTCATATGAACTCATATTTGGCATTTATGCTAGTAGTTTTATTTGGCACTTGCTAATAGTCAGTTTACCACAAGAAACCAATATACCAATATATTAAGTTATGTAATGATCATGAAGGACTGAAATTTGTGCCACATACAGGCCTATAGAATTTTAGGGGTTAAATGAAAATGAAACTTTGAGCGAACACATGAAGCATCTCTCCATCTCTCTCTCTCTCGCCCTCTCTCTGTCTCTGTGTCTCTCGTACCTCTAGTAAAACGTCGGAGGCATCATGGACCAGCATGACTAGAGTACCAATTCGGATGTAGTTTGCACACCAGGAGAATGACAGCAGTGTCAGAGTGGCCCAGTGATGCACCAGCTGCTCTTTAAAGTCCTACAGGCAGACAGACAGAGACTTTGATCTGTAACAGGCAAGACAGCATATCAGTGCTGTATGATAATACATTAAGAGCAGTTTTATGACCTCAGGCACACAGAAAGGTGATAAAAGAGCAGAGATAACTCAAAGCTTCCTTTGTCACAGAAAAACACAGACATTCATACCAGGACTGTCATATCAAAATTTTGCAACCTTATATATTTTTCTTTTTTCCCCTCCCTTGTAGCTATGCTGCAAGTACATGTTTAAATTCATTGTTTTTGAGATGTCACAAAAAGCAATATATTTACATATATCCACCTATTCACACTGAAGTTATAAGCAGTCTTTCAGCCCAGACTGCTTTTTGACTGAGGCACAACAAAGGGCAGACAATCAGAACAGAGCTCATTTACATGTATAAGTCTTAAAGGCACATTAGCAAAAAGTAGGCTGTTTAATTCCAAATATATAAGGAGAGGCTGGCAAATGGTCATGTAAAAGTGAATTATGACTATTTTTGGTTAATAAAACCACACAAATGTCATAAGTTGACCACAAGGGAAAAAAATAAAACTTGTGTGAATACAACTTTGTGACATACAAAAGCGATATATATATGATAGAATATTTTATAATTCAGATAAAATCTTTTTACATATTTTCCTTTTCATGTAAGGTTTTGTTCCAACTGTGACGATATGTATGTATAAGTTTACTGAGAACTGAATACGTGTGCTTAAGTGTGATAAGAAGGTGACAGGATGAACTCTCACCTTGCGTTTGACGTCTGCTGCCACACTGAACAAGAGGGAGCCATAAAAACTCATCTCAATCATGTAATACCAGTACTGAGAGTCCAGCAGGGTCTACACACAGACACACCAACAGGCATTTAAAAACCGAATCTCATGCATGCACACACACATACACACAACTCACATGCAAAAACCAGCAGGCCTCTCCCATGAAAAAAATGTATGTAAAAAAAACACACTCAAAAACAACATCTTGACACACACAGAAAGCCCTCCCGACTCTGCATGCAAATACAGATACTAAATATCATCCCAACACCCGTACACACACATTCACTGCGACTAGAGCACACAGTGTTGTTTGTAATAAACTCAGTGAAATCTATGCTGAGAAATTTGATATCACAGGCACAGTTTATTAAATCAAACAGCATATGCTTAACTTTGAGGTTGTAAATAAGTCAATTCTAATATATTGATGGGAAATCTCTGCTTAGGAGGCAACTTTTTCACTTTTTTCACTTTTTCACGTTTTTGTGTTTCAAGTTTTCTTCTTTTTTAATTTAATTAGCAGGAGTGATAGTGTGGATTCGCTCATATCAGCTCCAGCTCCAACCTGGCTCTGCCCACTCATCACTCACCTGCAGCTAGTTCAAGGACTTATTAAGACACACTTAAACGCTTTGGTTTGTGTTTGCAGTTGGCAAAGTCTTGCCCTCTTAACTGAGCTTAGTTTCCTTGTGTTTTCAACCCTTGCTTTGTTTTCTGGTTTATGATCATCCCTCTTCTCTTCACTCTCCTGTCTGCCTTGACTATGAGTATTATGGAAGAGTAATAAACCTACTATGCACATGCATGCTACCTACTCATCTTTGCACGTTTTAGTATAATATTTCTGCATCACTGTTGCATATAATATTTCTTCAAATTTATTTAGATCATGAATCATAGGTGTTCAGGCATAAGCAAAACTTCAAATCTAAGCACCTGAGAAGGATTTGAGTCCAATATGTCTGACTCACACCTATACCTCTGTGTGAAGCAAATGTGTCATAAAATATATATATACTCTATTAATACTTACCTGCTTAGGAAATCCTGCCCACACTTCCCGTAAATCATAAAACCAGGGTTTCTGTAACAAAGGAAAACAACTACACATCATACAAATGTTCTGTAAATTCATTTGAATATGTGAATGTGTGTGTGTGTGTGTGTGTGAGTGTGAGAGTGTGTAACAGGAGCTTGTCCATGCCTGTTATGGAGCATTGCCTTGCTGTGAATGACAGGATTTGGCTGGAGCCTTGTGGGAATATATTACTTATTATCCTTGAGGCACATCACACACATGCTTGTGCATGCACATGTAAACTCCTAAACACACTTATACACCATGATTCAAGGTCATTTTGAGACCTTCTGCCTGAAATAGGCTCAGATTGAGTGGCTTAATAGTACACTTTCAGTCTATTCAGTGCTTGAGTACTCACATCACGTAGAGCCAGCAGGCCTCCCAGGAAAGCGCAAAGGTAAAACACAAACCTCCAACTGCACAGAACAGCAGATATTTCACATAGATAAAAGAGCTATTGATATCATATAGTCTAGTAGACCACCAAAAGACAGAATGCATAGCAGGGATGGGATGCCTAAGAAAAATTCCTGTCATGATATCAGTGTCCAAAATGATCACAGCATTGCTGTAATATACTGAAAATATTTAGAAAACACTAATAAACATGTACATTGAGAATATTTCACCATAGGTATTGTCAGAGGTGCAAATTTGATCTGACAAGTAGGAAACCAACACCGAGAGGCTATAGCCTACATACAATGCTAGCACCACATAATAGTTGCAGGTTTCATATATATAACTGGGTAAAAACAAGTACGCACTCCCATATGGTAAAGGTAGTGAAGTTATCTGTTAGGCTACCCGCTTAATTGAGCGCTGCTGCACACTGACAGATACACTGACAGCGGCTCTTTTTGGCAGAATGTGCGTGTGGTGCATTTTTACTACTGCAGTCGCCCTCTGTTTAAGCTTGCAGTGGCAAGGCAGTATGATTGGTAAGGGAGATTTAATGGAAAATATGATCAGTAATATAAGCTATGTAGTTTTTTGATGACATAATGCTGCCCTACAAAAATTATCTTGCATAATTTCAAAAAGTGTGGGACATGCTTCCCATCATAATTTGCACCAGTGGGTATAGTATAGACTGCATATAGCATGTGACCAAAAGTCTGGTATATTAAACAAAAACATCATATTTCACACAAAAAACTCATGTTTTACACCAAATATGTTGAAAAAGTATATATGTATATACTCTTCAAAAGTTGTTACATTGAAAATTCTGTATTTTACACCAAAAATTTACTACAATGTATAAATATAAAATTATTACTACTCTTTACTGTTCAGATTATAAATGTTAATACACACAATATATACATATTTAAGCAGTCCTGGTGCATGCTTTGATGGAAAATGGCTTTTTAAAATGAAGGTAATTAATCAAATTTGAGACAATATGAATATTGTTGGATTCTATTCTGCAGTATATTAAAACCTGTCGCCAGTTCATACTAAACAGTATATAAATCCTGGCTCACAGTGTATGAATATTTTTAGTAAGTTATCCATGTTATTACAGTGCTCATGTTTTGCTTATCCATTAGGGTTAGCTAAGCTGTGTGAGTATGTGTATGTGTGTGTGTGTGTGTGTGTGTGTGTGTGTGTGTGTGTGTGTGTGTGTGTGTTTGTGTGTGTGTACCTAGCTTCTCTGAATTTCTTCAGCACTCCTGGTCTGTCCTGGTTTCTCCTTCTGCGAAACCAGTTTTCAACCTGCCGCTCCGTCCAGCTCACCTTCTTACTGAGGCCTCTTACATCTGCCTACACATACGCACAGTTACAGTGTAGGCATATTTTCAGTGAGTGTCTGTGTGCATGTTTCTGTGAAACAGTAGAGTCTGTGTGTGGGTTTACCTGTGAGGGCTGTTTAGACCGTGTTCTGTAGAACTGCTCCAGTGTGGGGTTATGTGACGCTTTGGGATGGACTTTGTCTTTCACTCCAAGGGTTGCAGCGATATGTGGGGCAATCAGTCTGTCAGGAATATGAACAGGTCAGCACACTGCACAGACCTCCACCTTCTACACAACTCAGCTCAACTTCCATTCCCTTTCTGTTTCATTTCACACACATGTAAAGGCATGTCCACTGCCACAGTTATGCTGTCTGGCCAAACAATTTGTTCATCACACCTCATAGTGGGTGTGGCTTGAATGTCTGCACATGTGTGTTTATTTTCATGCATTTTGTGGACAAACGAAATGTATCACTCGTTGTATTAATACATTTTATTGTTTTACATGCAGTGCGGATTTAAATATGTTAAACTACACAAGAAATTATATTTTTTCATTTTTATTCAATTATTTTATTCAATGTTTCAATAATGTTGAAAACAACATGAAGTTTTAATTAAATGATTAATAATAATGTACTATCATTTTTTATTTACAGTTTTTTTATGATGTTATCTGCTTCAAGACTTGATCACCACTTTTCAAAGACGAGGATAAACTGTAAGCATTTTATTATAACTTTGCGATGTTCTACAGCTTTCTCAGTCATTACAGAATTATCTACAGCTCTGTTCATTATTCTGGGTACATCAATCTTTTTTGAACTTAAAAGCCCGCTACTAACTATTTAAAATCTATGAAGTAGCACAGGACTAGCATATTAGGAGTATTTTTTCACATTTAGCAGCACATAAGTAGGTACATATTGCAGTGGCGCTCGAAAGAAGAGTCAGTTGAAACCATTTTCTCTTGTCACACTTTAGCTCTGTATTGAGAACAAGTGGAAAATTAAATGTGTCTGCACTGAACTCTTGGGATAAGTTACCACTAACCAAAGTTTTCACACCACCAGTGACCCCACCACTCCCAGGACACAAAACACCCACTAACCCACATACCCAAATACAAAATAACATCAATAATACATGACACATCCTTAATTTAAAGAACAACAGCATAAACACACAATTAGTCCTGTCTTTAGGGGCTATGCATGCATTTCCCATGAGCCTTATTTGTAGAACACCAAAACGCCCATGGCAGCCCAGTATTAAACGTAGATATCATCTAATACCTGGTTTGGCTTATTCATTACATCAAGTGTGGTGGTTGTGCAATATAACATATGTATGATTCCACATCCTGACATTGTATAAAATATGTGTCTCAGTGTGTGTGTGTGTGTGCTTGTGTACCTCTCATACAGGACTCTGAGGCCCAACAGTAGCACTGCTATAGGTAAAGTGATGTATAGGTGAGACACATGAGCGTACACCTGCCCCTCTTTATCCTGCAGGTCCGCCCATGTTACATTCACAGGCAACCATAGACGATCCCACCAAAACCACTCACTGAGCATCGCCCTGGAAAAACACACACACACACAGATTAAAGCAGCCTCCAGCGATCTGACCACAGTGATTCAGTCACCCTGCATCACTACCCTGTCACACACACACCTCCAACTACATACATACATAGACGTCTAAATCATAACTGAGTCAAACCTTCTGCAGTGAGAAAATAATCTGATTTTGCTTATACAGACCAGCCATTAACTCAATGGTTATCAAATTATGAATGTGTTCTCTAAAAAAAATAATCGAAATATGACACGTGGTATTTGTCTAAGCAAAGAAATACAGGTCCTTGTCTGTTGTTGACACATCCACACACATTCTAACTGCCTGCATTACTACTCAAATAGTGAGAAAGCTTCTCTTCGTCAAAGTAAACATTGACATTCTGATGAGTTTAGACAGTTATAGGTCTGTAAAGGAACACCTCAAGGCAAACTGTGCTCTAATGAAGAGATAATGTTCACTACTACACTCACTAACACACAGGAAATCTAGTCTAGTCAGACAAAGATCTTAAATCTCTTTCTGCAAGCCTTGTGGCAATTCTGCTGGCAGAGAGGAAATCAAATCGAATTTTTATATAATTATATATTTTATATAATTATAACAAGTTATATAGTAAGTAATATGATCAAATAAAAGATTTGTCCCTGAAACTCCAATATCTGTGTAACTAGGACACTGTTGGCTCTCATTGTGTGAAATATTGTGACTCTGTGTTGAGTAGTCTCACGGGACCAGATGAGTTCACCTAACAAGATCATCTGGGGACAACCATGAGGAACTTTGGGCTAAATGTGGGTGGGAATATAGATTTAACCTGGGTGGAAACAAACTGAATTGGATATTTTCAAACTAATCCAATGGCAACATGAATGCACACCTCAAAGTAGGGGGCGATGGTGTACTTGTCATCACTGTCTGATGAACAAGACTAGTGTAAGGCCCTGGATGTAATGTGGGTTATCATAGCTGAAAAGTCCTTCCAAAAACCTGGTGAGTTTGTGGATCTGTGTCGTGTGTGAGAAAACATAAAAAAAAGCAGTAAAAATAAACATCACCTCATGTAAGAGAAAAACAGTTCCATTAGCTAAGGATAGCATTAAGCTAGGTAGCTTGTTTGGCTTGTGTTATCATTGTATTCTGGATGTTAAAAAAGCACAGACTACAGGAATTTTTTTGGGGGGGGTGGTTAGATGGGGCATACTCTTGTTAGCATTAGATTTCACTGCAATCAGGCACCAAAGGTTTAACAGATGGTCCCCAAATATGTGTTCTCGTTGCAGGATCACATCTGGCTCAGCGAAACTATGTATTGAGCTGGTAGCGAGCAATAAGAGGTGAAAGGAAAGAAGTGAGAACCCCCTGCTGTGAAAACAATTAAACTGCAGCTTCTTAGTATCATATCATTGTGTACTACAACAATAAAAAATAGTATTTAAACACAATAAAAAAACATTTTATTTAATTTTTGCCCAAGAAGACAACAATTAAGCTTGCTTCTGGTTTTGTAAGTCAAATAATTTACATTGAAATTTATTTCATCAAAGTTAGTGAAGAAAAAAAAAAGGCATAGTTCGACTGAGGGCCCTCCAAATTGCATTTTATAGCAATAGCTACATTTGTGTTTGTGTGTGTGTGTGTGTGTGAGAGAGAGAGAGAGAGAAAGAGAGAGAGAGAGAGAGAGAGAGAGAGAGAGAGAGAGAGAGAGACAGAAAGAGAGGGACAGAGCAGGTTGAAAGCATGTTAGAACAGCTCTGAAAGGAGCCTGTTAGTGCACTTTATATAATGACTTGCGTGTTTAAGAAGGATAAACTACCTCACCCTCTCATTCTGATAAAGTTAAAACAGCTCATTGTCCTCTGTTAGTCACACAAGCTCTATTAGATCTTCTGAAAAGTCTTGAATTACACAAAGGAGTTCACCTCAGGAATGCCCATCTAAGGGTTCAGATAGCAGCACAAGGCTAGGATGAGTTTGTGCACTAAAAAACACTGGTTTGAGTTTGTGGCCATGGAGCACATACTCAGTTACATTTATTTTAGCCCAAACTCAAACAATCACAACTCACAAGCAAAAAAAAGCCAGAAAGAGCCCTACCTGCCTTTTCCCCGCTCTCTCTTCTCTGCCTGGTTGAAACAGGTAAGCCCTCCCTCTGCCTGTTTCTCACACACTCCCTCTCTCCTGTAACAGCCCTCCCTCCACCTTCTATGTTTTTCACACACCACACACACACAGACAAGACACACCCTTAGTCAGTGATCCTTAAAAGTCCTGCCCAGAATAATGACTCCACACACATTTTCTCAGCATACTTTAACCCCCACCCCACCACCACCACAAAGAGCCCACTGAATAATAGTCTGTGTGTGCTGTAAGGAGGCCAATGAAAAGGATAGCCTATGAGTTTTGGGTTGTAAAAGGGAGCGAGAACCCTAGAGACACTAGATTGATTGAGAGAGAGATAGACAGAGAGATAGAGAGAGAGATAGATAGAGAGAGAGAGAGAGAGAGAGAGAGAGAGAGAGAGGGAGGGAGGGAGAGAGAGACGTGGAGATCTTTTTTTTCAGGAATAAAATAAATGCCTTCGAATGCACAGAGTACCCTTAATGAGCAACCACCTGGAATACCATAGAAACCACTTTGCAAAACCAGCAGCCACTTTGTGTACCATAGCAATCACTTAGCAACACCTTAGCAACCACCTGAGATACCTTAGCAACCACCCAGGATATCACCTTACAACACCCATGCAATACTGGGGAGTTGCTTAAGCTGTGCAGTCACTCTGAATTTCTTCAGGAAATGCATTTTTGTTGTTTTCTCATAACATCTTTAAATGCTTTTGTTATAATAACATCTATGAAGTATCAAGCACACTCCTGATATACAGTGGGGTTTTAACTAATGGAAACATTTTAACCAGCTCAGGCTGAGACCACTTGTTAGAATGCTTTCATTTTGCCTTCTTTTCTAAGTTTTTCATCACCAATGGCATCATTAGCATAACAGTTGGAGTGAATTTTTGAAATATTTATATAATATTTACATGAATTTTAAAATGTATTAGTATTTGGTATGTCCTCCTTTTGCTTTTATGACAGCGTGCACTTGAGCTGATATGGACAAATTTGTGCTAAGGCTTCATTGGAAGAGATAAGACTTAAAAATGGTAATTTGTGACATGGTCAGAAATTTGGTTAAATATTTCATTTTACTTGTCATTTCCAGGTTTAAATGAAAAAACCTGATTTTCAATGTGGTCTCAGAAGTTTGGACCCTAATGTAGATTATTCCATATATTACTTAGCATATTTACAAAATATACAAAAGTAGCCGACATAGTAAGATATTTAATCATGAAGCTAATAATTTCACAACTATTATGTTCAGAAATGCAAATGAGCAGTTAAAAATATGACAAGTTAAGAAATCAACCCCCTCTAGGGGAGTTCAGAGGCTTGGTTCCCTAGGAGAAAATGTTTGTGATTTAATCATAAAAATTCAGCATTCTGGTGAAAATTAAGCATTCTGGGGAATAATTGGGAAAATGCTGTAGAGTGGGTTAGTTCACTGAGCTCAACAGCTATGCAAATACAAGTCATGTCAAAGATTGCACTGCTTTCCACGTATTTTGACTTATTAATTGAATACCTGTTGCTTACCTACCAAAGTCAAAAGGTCAGTGTTTTAACTTTGGCAGACGTTTCCTTTGGAAGTTATCCCTCCACAACTATTATAAACAGAAGCTATTCTAAAACTTCAGCTAATCATTTGTGTTCTTGTCTTCTAAAAGACCTATATTGGCTCCATAATGCATGTTGTGCTTGAACTTTGTCCTTTTATACAAATGTTCCATTTATCAGTATCTTTAAAGCACCAAATTTCTGTCATTTTAGCGAAGTTAATGTTATCCAGTCCTAACAGCAGCCCTGAGAGCTCTCAACTTATAAACCTTTATCACATACAAATAAAGTATTACATCTATATTTAAATCTGCTGCTGGGGAAGAGAGTTCTTCTTCAGAATTCTCATTGCTAAAAGCAGGAGTAAGTGACAGGAGAAGAGCAATTACAGGGCCAATCAGATTTTTACTGGGTCCAGTGCCCTTTCTGCCCCACCCCTGAGAGAGAACAGTTTAATATTTCACAGTATACAAAGGAAACAAAATCTCATTATGTCACCAATTACTTGTTCAACACTGAACATCAGGAACACAGTGCAGCGAGTAAAACAGCAGCAGATTGGAGATTCAGCATGGTTGAAAGTGGTGTGACCTCGGTGAACAGAGAACACATACACACACTCATGACCTCACAGGTATACTGGTCCTTAATGTAGGTGAAGGTGCTCTTACTCTCTCTAGTGGTCATTTAGAATGCTACAGTCAAGCATAATGCAATGAATTGACCTGGCAAATGCCTCAGTTGAAAGAAGAGTGCCTTGTAAACACAAAAGGAAGAAACAGAGACCTCATTCATTCAGATTTTTATTATGAACAGTCATAATATTTTTTTCTTTATATTATCAAAATATTGTTGCAGTTTCTCAAGATCTCTAGAAGTAACATGGAACTGTTCTACATCGTAAATGCTGGCTCATATTTGTGCTTAGTTAACTTAACCCAGGCTAAAGCACCATGCATATCATACACATATCGCCACTCAGCAAAGAGCAAGTCTACATTCACACTCTGTGCTCTCTTCTGGAGGAGGAGGCATCGTGTTCCTCTACCTGAACAATTTCATTGTCTGTTCTGAAACAGTTATATAACAGTTCACTTTGTGAAGACAATGACTGCACAGTGTTATTTTTGACATAAGGTAGTAATACCCTGTACTAAATGCTCTAAAATATCACTTAAAACGTTGGCTATGGTTTATCACAACATAGCAAAACTTTTTTGTCAACATATAAATAGTTTAGTTTAGGTGCACTTGAAGTTCTGTGGATGTAATGGGGAATCGCTAGAAAAGTGATCATTGTTAATATTGTATATTTAGATTCCCTTTCTTCCTCTACTGTTCAGAGCAGAATTTTTTTACTTTGTTTAGATAATAGAGATACACAAATGGAATAAGCCAAGATCGAAATTGGCAGATTTTGGCTTAAAACATTGACCAATTTATTGTTTTTGTTTTGGCAGATCTGTGTTGCATTTACATTATATAAATAACATGAGCCAGGTAAGTGCACTCGTGCTGTATCTAAATGCAGATGATACATGTATACCAAAATGTTGTAGCATAATTGTGCATTATGCATTGTGCTAAATAGCCAGCTGCCTCCTTTATTTGATTCATGTTATTTAAATAGGACACTGATTTAAAATGGAAACATTTTAAGCGCCAGTTTGGCCCATTAAAGAGCAAATAATGTTGTTTATATTGCAAGTTTGGCTATTAAAGTCCTGGAAATGTTCTCCATTTACTCCACACAGTGTTAGTCCCGGATTAAAAAATAGGCTCATAAAAATCGGCCAAAACATCGGCCATCAACCAATTTGGCTGTAAAGAATTCAGAATTGCCCATAAAAAAATCATTATCAGTACAACCTTTTTAATAATGATGTGGCATCCTTCATAATTGTGACATTTATTACCACTAGAGAATAATATTGGTTTAACTTACAGCCAGTATGTTTTAGTGATAGTGGAGTTGCTGGAGTTGAATCACTGTAAAACCAAACAATAAGACTGCTCAGTTGATTTATGTATTATAAAATGCAATATTTTCTATCTATATCTATACCTATATCTATACCTATACCTATATCTATATCTATATCTATATCTATATATCTGTTTCTACTATGAATCTAAACGTAAATTGAGTCCCAGGATTTCCCTCCATTGAACACCTCATCTTATCTGTAAACACTGTCTAAAAATAAAACCCACAAGCTGGGTTCCTTTAAGATAGTTTAGGCTAACCAACTGCCTTGACTGCAACTTGAAATAATAAGCGCACAAATACACAACGAATTGAAGAAAAGACAATAATTCTCCATTGAAGTTACACTTGACACATTACACATTAAGGACGATTCAGCTGAGCCAAGGCAATTGGTGGCCTTAAAGATTAAAGGTTCAGGAGGCATGTCTCATGAATAGAAATTTCCTCAGGCATTTTTTCCTAGAAACACTTGTGTTTGATGCTTTTTACAGTTCCACAACACTTAAATTATTTGAGCAGCTTATTTTCAGGTTTTACGATGTGAATTACGTCCCCTATGTACAGGCAATTTTTTTTAAATGAACAGGTGCCAACACGTGTCCCTGAACAAAACCTCTGGATGTTCACCCAACTGATTATGGCAACCACACAGCCCTTGTTAAAAGGGAGTTCACCTTTCTCTCACTTCTCATCCAGCCAGATTCAAAAAGGAAGAGAGAGTCTTTGTAAAGTGAATGGAATGTATATTCGTACTACTGGAATGTGTCAAACTTTTATTAAATCAACTGATTTAGTTCCAGTGAAGCACAAAAACCCCTGGAGTGCACCTCTTGGCACACAAGAATACGGACGTTGCATCCCAACACCACATCACAACTTACAGAACAGTGCCCAAAATAGCAACCAAAAAAAATCTGACCATCATCTAACCACAAACATGATGGAATAGACCTCAACATACAGACAAACAGTTACTGTGGGCCTTCTCAGTGGGCCCTCCAATGAGTCGACGATGAGTTGACTGGGCTGCCTGGCACTGAAGAGGTGATTGGTTGAGAGCTGTTGGAGGAGTGGAGCAGAACTCTGCTTTGTCCACTTACGCTTACACGGGGGTGTTGCGTGTCAGCTCACTGGGCGAAGGAGGGACCTTCTGGCTGAGATGTGTGAAGCTGGTGGAGTGACTGGCTCTGGGGGTTGAGCTTTCCACAGCATCAGGTCCTCTTTGCCTAGGGGGGAGAGTCTGACAACGGGACTTGGCTCTTGTGCTTGGGTCCTGCAGGGGAAGTCCTTTTGCAATGCTAGCCATCAGCTCAGGCTTGGATGGTGGTCTTGGCAATGCAGTTGACTGACTGCTCGACAACTCTAGTCTGGACGGAGGTCGTGGCAGTGCTGTTGGTTGGCTGCCTGTAAACTCTGGCTTGGATGGCGAACGAACCATTGCTGCTTGGCTGCTTGTGATTTCCTGTTTAGATGGAGGTCGCGGCAGTGCTGTAGATTGGCTGCTTGTGAACTCTGGCTTGGATGGCGAACGCACCACTGCTGCTTGGCTGCTTGTGATTTCCTGTTTAGATGGAGGGCGGGGCAATACTCCTGATTGGCTGTTTGAAAGCTCTGTTTTGGATGGGGGGCGTGACAGCGCAGAAGATTGGCTGCTGGAAAGCTCCGTTTTAGAGGGAGGTCGGGACAATGTAGAGTGCTGGCTGCTGGAGAGATCTTTTTTACATGGGAGTTGTGATGGTACTTTGGGGGTGCTACGTAAGAGCTCGCTGGGTGATGGAGGAATCTTTTGGCTGAGTTGTACATAGCTTGTAGAATGACTGGCTTTGCTTGAGCGGTCTCCTGCTTCATTGCCTCTGTGCCTGGGAGGAAGGGTTCGGCAGCGGCTCCTGGGCCTGGAGCTGGGATCTCGAGGTGAAGGCCCATCCAGGTCAAACTCTCGAGAGTGGGCTTCTGTTTTTGCCTGACTTGGATTCAAAGGAGGATCTGATGTGATATGAGGATTGGAAGGTGACTGTGGGCTGCCAGGGGTCTCAGTGGGTGAACCAGGTTCAGGCTGACTGGTGGTGGTAACAGGTTCCTCTGCTACCAGCTCAAGCTTAGTCTCTCTGACTGCATTCTGAAGCTCGTTCAGGTCTTCAGCCGATTGGCTCTGAGGCACTGTGACACACTCTGGCCCAACAGGCTCCTCCTCTTCTGGGCTCTTGATGGTGATGTCGATGTTGGCAGGGCGCTGGGAGTGCCGACGCTGCTTCTCTGCCTCCTCACTGAGGAGAAGATCCATCAGCAGGACTTTTTCCCGCTTCACCCGCTCCTTCAGAGAGCGCGGCACATCAGGAATCAACCATGCCACTAGCATACTGAGGAACATTGCCAGGTTCTGAAATACACAATGTAAAATGCTGAAAAATGAGATAATATACAGATGAGATAATTGACAGTTTGATGAAGATCTACATTATAATACCATACCAAATGAAACCATGACTAGAAAATAAAAGTCGTTCCACTGACCTGGAAGAAGATGACAAAGGCCAGTCGGGCAGCTAGCACAGACCAGTACTGCTTAGAGAGCTGATATAACTCAGGTGACCAAGGGGGATCTCGATAGTCTTTATACCTGAAAGAGAAAGAGAGAGATAATGAATGAGAGGAAGAGTCAGGCGTAGAGACACTGCTTATGATAATATTAGAAGGCCCATATCTTACATTTTTTGTCTTTCTCTGAGGCACACTTCTGTGTTTTCTGTGGTTTTCTGTACCAAACATAGTCAAATGGCCACTTTCCTACATCTATTTATCCCTTAGAATTGAACAGGCTGTTTTTTCTCTGTTTTGCCCTTTTCTGATTGGCTGCCATGTTTTTGTGCCTTATTCAAAAAGCACTTAGAGGTGAAACACTCTATAGAACTTCAGTATGAATGGGAGGAGACAAACTTTTGTAGGCTGAATATGTGGATATAAATGAATTCAAAACTAACTGTTTTTGCAGAATAGTGTCTAGATGTGGACTGTATGAGCTGGATAGTGAACAATGTTTGCATATAACTCCTTTGTTTCAAAAAAGCAAGGCACATTCATTTTTCTGTGATATAGGTTCTTTAGAGAAAGGCACACTCACTAATTTAGATGAGGGTTTGTGTGTGTGTGTGTGTGTGTGTGTGTGTGTGTGTGTGTGTGTGTGTGTGTGTGTATGTGTGTGTAGCCATGTGTGTATATTTGGGTCCTCAAGCACACCTGCAGATACGGAGCTCCCTGTCAAAGCGTGTGCTGTTGGGTGCTGTTCCAGGTTTGAAGTTGCTGGTGTTGAAGTATGCCAGTGTGTGGTCTGTAAAGCCATGCATGGTCCCTGTGTCGCTATACAGATACTGATATACCATCCGAGGAATAAACTCTGATGTGAAGGAAATAACAAATGCCTGAGATAGAGAGAGAGAGAGAGAGAGAGAGAGAGAGAGAGAGAGAGAGAGAGAGAGAGAGAGAGAGACAAAGAAAGAAAGAAAGAAAAAAGAAAGAAGGGGAGAGAGTTGTTGTTTCAGAGTCCTTGTGTTTAAACTTTGGCATAAACCTGGCATAATGCAGACATCATTTACTGTTTTAAATCTCTAAGGTGCTAAAAGTCTTTATACAGTGCATGTCTATGTTTTATACAGTATATGGCTAACACTGACTAACACTGGATAAAAAAATGGCTGCTTTTGCCCAACCACACATTTTTAAATCATTAATCAGTGTCTCATTCGACATGCACATAGTGTAGCATAAACAAAAAAGTTGCTTTGTTACATACATTGGTGATAACAGCAAACTTGCTTATCCCACTCAGGATGTTGTACCATATGCCTAAGGAAAAAACAGCAAAGAGAATCTAAGTACACTGAGCAGAAAAGACATAGCACAAATTGAACAGTGAAACCGACTTTGTATGTCTGAGGCACAAAATGTAATGTAATTTCCAGTCAAAATGGTAATTAATAATTCCAAGTTATTTGTTTTGGGGATTTCTAAAGGGATTATATATAAGAACATTAAACAAAAAAATCAGATAAAGAAGCTGCTGGTGTTTTCAGAACACTGTACTGTCCACTTCAGAGTCCAGAAATCAATATCATTGAATATATTTGGGATTATTTGGCTCATGAGAAGCAGAAAATGGAACCAACTTCTAAGACTGAACTTTAGAAGTGTGGAAAAATATCCCTTTCTTTGAAACACTGAAAGCAAGTGTGAAAAACTGGAAACTGTAATAAAGGCAAAGCGTGAACACACTGAATGCTGAATCGATATATTATTTAGTAATTAAACCTTGTGTGTCATTTTTAATTACTTAATTATTTAAAGAACATTTTGACTGGAAATTAAATAAATGAACGGTGGTCTCTGACTTTTGCATAGAAATGTATGTCTATAAATAGATTCATACCGATCTCCTTTGCTCTGACAGCATCAGGTCGCCGTATTTCAGTGACAAATTTTGCAGCATCAAGGCGAATCTCAATGACATTATTGAGCAGAGCAAAGACAGGAGCCAACGGGAAAGATGCCACAAACAGTGTAACAAATCCGTATTGAATAACTGTGGAAAACAAACATAAATGATTACGTTATCAGTACCATAGGTTGTGATTTTTCTTACAGTTCTGGTTCTTTACCAAACAACAGGCTCTGTGCCTTCTTAAACACTAGGAACATGTTATTTGACCTTACGCAATCTGGCATGTTTCCAGACCCCTGCACACTAACGCCAGTAAGGATTAAACATCTCACAAACTGACAACCTAAACAACAGATCCCATGACCGCTGTGCCCTGGTTGGAAATAACAGTATTTAATTTAATTATACCAACTGCTGCTGTGGCAGTAAATTTTAGCAACATAACTCACACTCTTTGTGTGAGACTCAAATCTCCAATTACTGCACTAAGAATAAGGGGAGAGGACAGCTTAACTAAGGTTCATTTAGAAATGGCAACACTGCAACTGAAGGACCCTAAATCTCTTATGAATATGCTCGCAGTTTGATACAATGCACTATGCTAATTCACCTGCAATGCACAAGAACAGATCTACACAGCTCCTTCACTCACAGTCAAGATCAGTTTTCACTAGACCTTCAATTCCAATGTTCTGTCAATTTACTATTCTTTATATAATGTTACTATGCTTGTGTCTATCTGTGAGAGCTACTGCCATGACAAATACCTTAATTATTTCTAAGTGATTGTTTCTGATTCTGATTCCGATGTACCACCAAATTTAAAGTCACCATGAAATACAAACAAAATAAACCTTTTTACTTTGCTAGTTCATCTCCCTGCTCTTATTAAGCATGATTCATTATATTTTCGCTGTCAAAAAACACATGTATCTCCAAAATGGTAACTTTCCAGGCAAGCAGGCAAAACATTTTTAAGTTAAATGCAAGTAAAAGCTACTCTATTTAAGATTTGGGGATTTGGAGACTTCTCTACTGGAACGTGTTAATTATATGCAACATGGGGAAAAACATTTTGTAACATCAGTTGTGCTTCAGACCCCAACAAGTGGATGAATCTTATGATTGTGAGTGCGTTGAAAAAGTAGTCAAAGAGAGCTCAGTCAAAACTGTAAGTGAATCATATCAGCAGTATAATGTTGATTTTGCATTTGAGACCTATGAGCTGGACCTTCTTTTGAGCGTGTGTACGTAACATTAATATCTAAAGACATATGACGTGGTCCAAAAATACTACTTTGAATGCTACTTCTTTCAATTTTAACAACAAAACATCTTACATACTGCAGCTTGAATGTAAAGAGATTTCATTTCTGAAAACATTGTCGCACTGTAAAGGGCTCAAATGATGTACAAACATGGAGATACATGGTTTTGCTGTTACAGTAACAATATCATATCATTTAAAAGTGAAATGTTTTGTTTTCCCATTATATTCTATCCGAATTAAATGACTTGCCTGCCTCTAAAACATCTTCTGATTTTTGTTTACATCACTATGTGTACTGTGACTCCTCTGTAATGTGTTTCACTCAGAATTATGTCATGGTGCAGAAGAAAAATGCATTATGATTTCAATCTCACATTTCAACATCAATCTCAATAAACAATCTTGGGATCCAAATTGATACTCACTCATTTCCATATACTCAGGACTTAAGCCCTCATATGGCTCCAGCTCATAATCTAAATCCCACCGGTGCCGCGGGCGATTTGGATCCTTGCTTTTCTTTTTCTCCCCTCCTTCCTTCTCCTCCTTATATGTACGATACATCTTCTTTAGCTTTCTAGAGAAGGAGAGAGAAGGGTTGGCTGAACACTGAAGTTCTTCTAGAGCTCGTATTGTCAAAGAATTTATGGAACATATATGAAAGTCCTCAGGATGCATAGAAAAATTGGTTAAATAAAAACACATGGCAGCATTTGTGTGCATAAAACTCACGGAATAGCAATCTCAAACACATTATTTTGAATAAGCTGCTTCCCCAGCATGATCATTCCAAGCTGTATGCAGACTTCAATAAGACAGCCTGCTGGAGCACACTGTAACACACAAGTAATTGACCATTACACAAGTGGAAAACTGCACAAACGCAATCATAGGTAACAGTTTGAGTTCATACCTCCTCCATGCGGAAGTCTTTAAAGACGTACACATAGTCACCTGGACGACCTGCAAACCTTAATGACCCGACAGGGTTTAGGGTTAGATAAATGCAGTGCTTCATACTGCCTGCTACACTACACATTACACAACACATTGTACTTCCACCATCCACGCTGCTCAAGAGCACTGCCTATTAATCCATGTACACATATCATGCTCCAAATCTGTGTGCATATGAATATCTACAGCACTGTGCATGTGTGGTCACGACTAACCTGCCCTTAAAGAAGGCCACATAGAAGACAGGTGCAAAAGCATTCATGCTCTTGAGCAGAAAAGCCTTCAGGATCAGGTGTTCCTCAAATGCTGCCTCAGTCCTTGGGATCTCTGAAAACAGCAGTGAGTGTGTCATCATCATTGACCATTTAGCAACATTAGGGTCATGGCATCACTGTCATAACATTATGGAATAATTACATCTCAGTGCTGAATTGCCTGTCATGATTAATCAGCAATAGGCAATAAACTCTCTCTCTCTCTCTCTCTCCTCTCTCTCTCTCTCTCTCTCTCTCTCTCTACACATAAACATGCACACTGACTGACCCAGTTCTGTGATCCAGACTGCCACAGCCCCGTAGATCTCATCCAGCACCAAAACCACCAGAAGGTTGATGATGACAGCAGTGGTTGTCACAGTAACACGCACATTGGCTTTGGCCTCATGGTCAGGGTTCATAGACATCACTGCGAAAACAATGATCCGGTACAGAATGACACCGAGGACTGCAGAGAACGTCACCCCCACCTGAAACAAATGCAGAAAGGAGGGGAGAAAGAGAGTAAAGGGATGCCAATTATGCATATATGCATAAATTAGCATTAACAAATATAGACAAAAATACCAACCATAAGAAGTATAGAGGATACATTGACACAGTATCCTGGCAACCGGTCCTTCCATGTAAGAGATTCTGAAGCAATCTACAAAAAAATGATATATTACTCAATATATGCATCATCTCCCACATATTCAAAAAAGTTACTACATCAAACCTTAACACTTACGGATATATGAATTCAAAAGAATATTTTTACCTTATTTTATTTAGTGCATTTTAATAATACAATTTAGTATAAACACTATATAGGATTTATACAGTACTGAGGAAAAGTCAAAGTCCACCCATCATTTATTCAATTTCTACTAAATATAATAACGTCAGTATTTCATGTGTCCACCCTTTTCCATACCGGACACTTGCTTTCAGTTTTTCAAAGAAATGTGCAGGGATATTTTTTACACCACCAAAGGTCTTAGAAATTGGCTGCTTATTTTTTTTTGTGCTTCTCATGATCCAAGTAATCCTAAACACATTAAACAATGCTGAGATCTGGACATTGGGGTGGTCAGTCCATTTATCTGAGAACACCAGAAGCATCTTTGAGTTGCAAACGTTCTTCATTGTCTATTTCTTTGTCTCAGTCAGGGCTTCTTGACAGCTACACATCCTTTCAGGCTTATAGTGTTGAGTTAGAAGGATGTGTTGAGTTGGAAGGATTGAGTTGGAAGCACAGTGGAAAGATGGACACCCGTGGATTTTCTCCTCTCTCTCAAAGGTGAATGGTTTAAGTACTGTTTGTCTGATAGTGACAGTTTTGGTGGTGATCTTTTAATAATTTCCCAGTTCTGGAAACTCCTGTTTTTTCCACTTATTCTCATTTGACTCTCCCCTTTCTTATGCAAGTGGATTATTTTATTTCTAATCTCCTCAGAAACATCGCTTGAAAAATGAATAACTAGTCATTTTGACTAATAACTAAAGAAATGAAGGGTGGTCTTTGACTTTGGCACAGTACTGTACATTCTATACAAAAAAATGGATATAATGTGTAAAAATGTACTAATACTTCATACCAAAGTAGTAGATGGAATAGTTAATGTGGATCAGTAAGTGGAAGCAGTCTGAAGTATGTGATGACTTTATTGAAAGAAAGTTCTGGTGGGGAAACACTTAAAACAGACACACTCCCAGGTTCTCTCTCACCACACACTCCCACACCCCCCACACACAAATATACCAAGCATGTGTCTTTGATTAGAGGAAGGGCACCACTTTAACTTGTGTGTTTTAATCCAGCTCTGACTCTAATCCCACATAATCTACTGTGTGGAATACCCAGGAGGGGTAATCTGCTTTCAGCACTTTCAGTGTGTATGTGTGCAGTGTGTGTCTGTGTGGAGGCAGGCCTTTGTATGTGTGTGCATGCGTGTGTGTTGAAACCAGATAGACTTAGAAGGGCACAAAAGCAGTAATAAAAATCCGTAAAATCTCATAAGCAGAAATTGCTACCATCTCTAATGTCTCATTTAGTTCATATAATCATGTGTGGCATGCATGAAAAACAGCACTCAAATACATACACATAGCCTCACCCACTCATTATCTAATTAGACAGGAAGTGAGAGAGGCACGAGAGGAAGAGCAGGTGGGACCTGTCTGCGAGGTCAGTACAGAGTGCACTGACCACTCCACATCTGACTGACAGCTGACTGACATCTAATAACATTATCCCCAAAGCCCCACCTCTCTCTCTGATAAGTTGATTAGCTCTCTCTCTCTCTCTCCCCACCCCTCTCCCTTTCTCTCACTCCACTACTCTCTCTCTCACTCTCTCTCTTTCAATCCGTTCCTCCTCAGTGAGTCACATACAAACACAAACTGTTTCTGACTCTCTCCACCCCCCACCCTGAGCACTCTCACCGGTGGTTGTCCTCCTTTAGCAGACAGCAGCTTCTCTCTACCTATGTCATCTGTTCTCCCATCCGGCTGCAAAACAGTGGAGATTAATCACGAATGTCCGCACGCACACACACACTCACACACACACACACACACACGCACACACAACCACAAATACACAAATAGTAAATAGAGAGTGCAAACAAACCCTTACTAAAGCACACATACCTTAATCCTCTATCTTTAAAACAATATTTCAGCAAAAATCAGTTACATTAAATTTCCCCTTTCCCTAAACTGCTTCTGAAGCTAAGATGCTAATAGCCAATAGGTAATAGAAGCTTATATCTTACCAATTAGCAGTATACAAAATGGCCAAAACAACAAAAGAACAGACAAAATTCAGGCTTCAAGCTGCTACCACTACTTTTTAATGTACTTTTGTCTATTTTTATAGATAATAGTATGTCGTACAGTGTCAGAAAGCACATAAGCAAGTCAATTTGAGATTTCTCAACAACACAACACAGTTGTGGTAAGTATGTCATGGTTTAAGTACACAGTTTGCACAGTGCTAATTGTTTAGTTATAAATTCTCAATATATCTTATCTACATTAGGCTTGTAACTCCAGTGAAGAATGTACTTATGTTTCCACAGCTGTACATTCCCTTAGCTCTTTAAATAAAACATCAAACTTCAGTATGATACATTAATAAGACCTATGAAACGGTTCCTTAGTCTCAGTAAGCTATTTAGCTACACTCTTAGAAATAAAGGTATGAAACTGTCACTAGGGCAGTACCCCTCTTGTCCCTGGGGTGGTACCCTCAATGGTACATCTCAGTACCTTTAGTCAGGGAACATAATTGTACCAAAATCCACTGAAATTATATTTACTAAGTTGTATTGACACCACACACCCCGTCTCATCTCCAGGATATTTAGTTTATTTTATTAAACATGTACTGTTTTAAACACAAACACAGGTTATGAAAAGGTACAAATATGTATTTTTCCAGTGGGAAAAACTTATTCAAGGTGCACAACTAAACCTTAAAACCACTGTTGTACTTTTGAAGGTACATTTACATTGTTCGTACCTTGATGATTGAAAAAAGTACCTGCACAGTACCTTTATTTCTAACAGTGTAGCTATGCAAACTTTGCAGTGCAAACTGTTTTTTGAAAAGTCAGAATGTAGTATACATATGTAATATGCATGAGATCCTGGGAACATAGGACTCTGAGAACATAGGACCCTGAGAACATAGGACCCTGAGAACATAGGACTCTGAGAACATAGGACCCTGAGAACATAGGACCCTGAGAATATAGGACGCTGGAACATAGGACCCTGACAACATAGGACCCTGAGAACATAGGACCCTGAGAATATAGGACGCTGGGAACATAGGACCCTGACAACAGAGGACCCTGAGAACATAGGACCCTGAGAATATAGGATGCTGGGAACATAGGACTCTGGTAGCATAGGAAACTTTGGACACCAAACATAGCTTGGCTAACTGAATACATTTGGAGCAAGAGGAAAATTGTTTCAAATATGAAAGGAATTTATTAACGTAAAGATTACTATTCATCGTCCCTACCTCTTCTTTCTTTTTGTCCTTGCCTTTCTTCTGTCGCTTATGAAGGAGAAAATCTTCATAGGCTGGACGGAGCTCATCCTGTGCAAACAGAAAGAAAAACAGAGCACAGTTGTATTACTCAAGGACAAGAGAAAATAATAGCAATAGCAGCAATTCAAAGTATTTCATAATCTACAAAATGCTACAAAAAATTTGTTTGACATAACAATGCGTTTTTAAAGTCAGTTTATCGTGGAAAATAGGGTTGGTGACTCATTTCTTTAATTAACGTAGTTTTGCAGGGAATATCCGGCTTCACCTTAATGATACTTAAGGCCAAGCCAGTGTAAGTAACATTAATGCCAAGCTTCTAAAATGACCTGAGACTAAACACAATCACTTTAAAGACATGGTTAAAAAGTTAAAATGACTGATCTCACATAAAAGCCACAGTTGAGGCACTGATTTCAGATGGAAACTCAAGCTTTTTTATCCACTTTTGGAATACATGTGCATAAACATAAAGATTTTAGAGTCTATGAAACAAAAGCAACAAAAGATAATGAGTACTCAGAAAGAGTAGTTTAAACTGTGCACATCAAAAGAATTTGGGACACACTGACAAAAGGAGAAAGAGGCTTTAATACATAGTACTTGGCAAGAGCCACACTGACTAAAGAAAATCAATTCAGATAGAAGATAAAAGATTTGAAAATCACAAAAGCTGTGAAAAAAAAATACTGTTCAAACTGCCTGTGCTATTCTTTGGTTATAGGGGTGTGGAATGGAAGCCAAGACCTGCCAGCAGGTCCTGTGCCTCTGAAGATTTAAAGTGTGAAGAAATTAAAAAATCCAAAAAGAATGCTACATCATCTATGAAACATGGTAGTGTCATAGTTTAAGTATATGAAGCTGCTATAACCCAGCTTAGTTACTTTCTTTGTAGTATAACTAAAGATTGACATTGTCAGATACCTTCAGAAATGTATGAGGATCTATTCACAACAAATATAATAGACAAGTTCTATTTACTTAACAAAGACAATGACTGAAAATGCAATTCCAAGTAAACTTATCATCAAATGACAAAAGGAATGCCTTTATTTTAATATGACACTTACACAACTCTTATGAAATGAGAGCATGACATCAGTGTCTGATGTAGGGGTCGGGATTAACACACATGAGTCAGCATTCAGTGAATAGTTTACATTAAAGCAGAAGGGCTGATGACACTTACTGTAAAGCACATTATCATGGATAAGATCAGTGTTAGTGGTCTGACCTTAGGGTTAAGGATACAGCAGCCATTGATACACAGACTTCTTCAAAGTTAATCCTTAGTGAGCTTGTCTAACCAACCTCAGACTGGAATCATACATCTAACACTGAGCACATTCACTGCAGGGACCAGAAAGCAAAAAAAATTCATAAATAATCCATGAAAGAGAAAATAAACTCACCTCAGCTCCATCCTATAATTATCGGCATTCACAGAAGGAACATCCAAAAAAACAAAAACAAAATTAATCCAGTGCATCAGTAATTGACTGCATTCTGATTGCAAGCTGGAAATAGAATGTAATTGCAAGAAAATAGGAGACAAGTGAAAAGAAAGGAAGAGAGAGGCAGGTTCAAAACCTCCTCATATCTGGGTGTTTGTGTTGATCTCTCAGTGGATCATCAACTCAAAGGACATTTCCGGCAAAATATTAATGTTTAATATGTTTTATGTGTACAATATGCGTTTATGAACACAAAGTCATTGTAGAAAGCTAGTATACAAAGATAACAACTGAAATTCCAAAAAGTTAGGATAGTATGTGAAATACAAAAATAAGCAGTGATTTGAAATCTGCTTTGATATTAAATGTTTGCCTTTTTGTAAATATAAGTTCATTCTGAAATTAATGCATGCTACACCTTCCAGAAAAGCTCAGAGAGGAGCAATTTTATATTAGGAATGTTGTGAAATGTTCAAAAAACATTTTAATCAAGTGACACAATCATGCTTGGGTATAAAGGGAGCATGCAGGAAAGACCTAGTCCTTTATGAGCAAGGATGAGCCAGGGCTCTCCACTTGAATGCATGAATGTATAATTCTACAGTCTAAGAACAACATTCCTAAATGACCCATTGCAAAGATTTTAGGCATTTCACCCTCTACGGTGCATAATGTCATCAAAAGATTCAAGGAATCCAAAGAAATGTTTGTGCATAAAGGGTAAGGCTGAAAACCACAACTAAATGGCTGTAACATCTGATCCCTCAGATGGCACTACATTAAAAACCGGTATGCTTCTGTGATGGATATCACCGCATGGGCTCGGGAACTCTTTGACAAATCATTGTCAATAAACACTGTTTGTCGCTGCATCCACAAATGCAGTACTATGCACAGTGGAAAACGTGTCAACATCCAAAAACAATGCCAACTCCTTTGGGCTGAACCTCATCTAAAATGGACTGATGCACACTTGAAACGTGTGCTGTGGTCTGATGGGTCAATCTTTGACCCATCTGTGAAGGCACAATTAATGCTGAAAGGTATATACATATTTTGGAGCAACATATGTTGCCTTCCAGAATATCAGTTTTTCCCGCTTTGGTGTGGAACTCGGTTCCTGGGTATTTGGATTATAAGAACGCTAAGGCTAAAGCAGCAATATTTCATCTGTTACGCTACCTACTGGGAGATCCCGAGAAAAGAATGATGCCTGCAATGCAAATGGGTCAATTCAAATTTGTGTTTACACTGATATTCGAGCAAGTAAACAGCTTAACTGATAAAAGAAAAGGTGAAGACAACAACCAAGCCATGCTTTCACTGAACTTACAGTGGCCACAAAAGGTATTTAGACATTTGTGCCTTACTAAAAATGTACTAAGTTCAATGTGTTAGGAAACAAAATGTTAAACTAAGTGTGATTTATATTAAACATTCCAAGATCTTTCAGAATGCAGCTTGTGTGTTTTTTATCCTCCTGAAGGGCTTTCTCCACAGAAAGAGTCTACCATCAGTTTAATGTTTTACTAAAAATGTTTCTCTAAAATAAATATTATTTTTGTTGTATAACATTCTCTGAAGTAAACTAAAGAACCTGACAAAAATTCACCCATGGTTAAAGTGTCCAAATACTTTTTTGGGCCACTGTAATGGGGCTGAGGTTCAGCAGTAAATGCAGGAACACTAGGTGTGGTTTCAGAATGCATGTTAGAATGTGTGTAAACACTTTTTAAATGCCCTTTAGGCAGAACACAAACCTTTTTGCCACGCATGAAACACATCTATAAAAACAGACACACACACGTTTTGGGCTGGAGTCAAACTGGTGTTTAGTGGGCTTCAGTCTGGGAGGTTGGGGGTTGTGTTAAATAGGGTCCCTACCTCCTCCTCCTCCATGTCTGTCAGATCCCACCTGTGCTGCAGACACCTCTGTCTCCTCTTCCAGTGTTCCAGAAACACAGCAGCTGTGTACATATGGACCACAAACACATAGCACATACGGTTACATATGTAACAGTAACTGTCTGCAATACTGACCACTCCTAAAAATAGATCTACACTCAGTGCAGCGAGAACCAGCAATTAAACTAATTTCACCCCAACCATCTGTCTGCTTTAAATGTCTGTGTACTGGCACTGCTCTGGTAAACATGCACTGGCCATTAGAGATGCTCCACTATGAGAACTGTGGGCTGATGCTGATATCTGATATTTTTCATGTCAATATCTGTTGATATTGATAAAGATTTATAAAATGTAGAATTAATATTACATCTGTCTAGATTAGCATTATGGAGAAAAATAGTACTTATTTATAAAGGATTACAAATGCAGTAACATCGATAAAATGCAGCTTTTCTGGAATAAAATAAATACATGATCAAATATCAGGGTAAATCTAAACACCTGTCTAATATTTGTTTGGATACAAATGGACAATGTTTGGATGCAATTTTCAAAATATTTTAATAAATAAGCATTTTTTCTTTGCCAGTTTCCAACCATTTAAAATATCAGACAAAAAGCTTTTTAGATCAAGCTGTCTTTCTTAGCAAAACTGCAGAACTTCAGGAACAAATGACAGAAGCAATAACTTGGGAATACTAACATCCCACATGCATTTTATCTAATGATGTCAGCAGTCAAACCCTTCAGGTGTTCAAACCACATTTTGGGCAATTGATTATGATGTGCCTTTAACAATAATTTGAAAAATAAAAAAATATATATATATAAATTAGCAAAACCTGCTATTTACACCAAATAAGACACTCTGGTAACCGAGGCTGAGTGTTACAAAATAAACTCTATTGTATTGGTGAAAAGCTGTTTTATGTTAATGAATCTTTGCAGGTATTTTTCTTACTTAATTGAAAAGTAACTGTAAAAATCCAACTCCAAATTTCAACAGAAAGACACTCTTGATGAGCTGTGTATGTACAGCACTTCTCATTCACAGAGTATATACAGTACACCTATGCATATCAATCTGACATTAGATGCACAGAGAAACACTTGCATGTTGTTTAACGCTGCACTGTCACACACACACACACACACACACACACACATACAGTGATACTCTATCCACCCAGCTCTCAACAGAATGTTTACAAACAGATTTCTGCCAGTACCCACTCACACTGAGAGTACTTACCCCACAGAGACATAAAGATGGCAAAGGCTACAGTGGCATGGTTGTCAAACAGATAGCTGGCACGCGCTGTGCTGCACATACTGCTCAGCTGCCAGTAATCACACACTCGATCGCACAGGGGACACATGGTGAAATTCAGGCGCTCATCACACATCTCCTGACTGAGAGAGGGATAGATAGATAGATAGATAGATAGATAGATAGATAGATAGATAGATAGATACAGAGTAACAGGTACTACAGAAAGAGAAATTATTCATTTACATACAGTACTGTGGAAAAGTCAGAGACCACCCCTCATTTACTTAATTTCCAATCAAAATGGCCATTATACACAAGACATTTCAGATGAGGTTAAAGATAAGATAATCTGCATGAAGAATAAGAATGAGGAAAGTCAAAGGAAAAAAGAGTTTCCAAAGCTGTTCAAAATATTATAAGATACAGAGAAAATGGGACTCCTAACCACCATGCAAGAACTAGTACACCACCAAAACTGTCACATCTGTCACTGTCATCTGAAAGTAATTAAAGCTTTCATCTTTGAGAAATAGGAGAAAATCAAGCTCCACTCTTGCTTCAGATCCTGAAATAATCCACAGATGTTTCAGTCCATCCCTCCACTGTGAAAAGACAACTTAATGCTCTGAGTCTGAAGGGATATGTAGCTGTCAAGAAGCCCTTGCTGAGAAAAGGAAAATAGAAAACTGACCACCCTGAAGTCCAGACTTCAATATCATTGAATGTGTTTTTGTAACATGGATCATTGCAACCAACTTCTAAGACTGAACTTCAAAGGTGTGAAAAAAATATCCCGCAGATTTCTTTGTAAAACTGAAAGCAAGTCTCCTGAAAAGAATGGAAGTTGTGATATGAAGCTGGGGATAGGTTAACACGGGAGGACATGGCACACGTGGTGGGTGGACAAACACAAACCCTCCACAAATACATTTTAACTACCCAAATGCAACACATTAACACACATGAACAACAACAACAGCAACAGCTATAATAAACACCCTTCTTCTACTGAGAGCCATTTTGCATGGTCATATTTAGATATTTAGTTGTTGAAGCTTCTGTGTAATTTTTTTTTAAAAAAGTTTTTTTTTACTTTTTTCTGACCCTGAAAAAAAGAATGGTCTCTGAATTCCGCAGAGTACTGCGTAATCTTATAATATGCTCTTTGCACAGTGCATACCTGGGCACATTGGTATCTACAGTCAGCCATCCATAGAGGAACACTACAATGCCCATAGCCGAGGCTGGAATTAACAACTGTGTATACACTCCCAACCAGGCAAAATACAGACCGATCTTCTCCCCAAAGTACTTCCTAAAGAGCAGAAGACAACCAGCCAATCAGAAAACAAATACACACACCTTAAATGGTGAAAAATACTGAGTATACAGTCTCCTAATGGTGAGCAAAAATAACTACAAGCATTGTAATGTATCTTTTAGGGCACTTTTTAAGTCCATGGTGGTACCTGATAAGGTCAGCTGGTTGATATTTGAAGAAAACTCCATAGTTGGCCCACTCTTCATGTAACATCTGATGAATATACAAAATGTGCTTCTTAACCCCTTAAACTCCCAGACAGTGGTATGTCTGTCTACACTTCTATTCCTCATTCATAACTACATAACGTACATATCAGCTTCAAAGTAGTTACTAAACAGTTTATTGAGGTTAGTTAATTAAATAAATATTAGGCTTGCAGTTAAAGGAGTTAACAAATACACAGGGAAACATGTCACCATTGCTTAATATCAATTACAGAAATATGTACTCAACTACAAACACCCAGACACAATTACACATCCACACACTTCTAATGACACTAAACAGCTTATTGTATCTTTATCAATCGAGTAATTGATAGCTTATCAAGCTTATCTTAAACTCCATCATGTGACATCTGTTCTACCATAGCAAACTGAAGAGCTTACCTGTCTGTCATTGCGATGCTCTTTATCATCTGAGCTAGTAAAGTCCCCCTGAACCAATGAGAGCAGACACATTTACATTCTACACTGTACACATGTACATCCTTAACTGTACCCATTATCCACACAATACAGAATATACATTTGTGCAATTATGCCTAACACATAGTCCATCTCTATGGATCTATGTGACAACGGCCTGTTCTGGATATGCCCAAAGATAACTGCTATATTATTCATCAGTTGGAAACATGTTTACATGCACTCTTAAAAAAATGGTTCTTCGAGGGTTCTTTAGTAAAGAAAATGGTTCTATATAGAATCATCAACACTCAAAGAACCATTGGTATGATCAAATAATAATAATATCGTAACAACAGAAAAACCTGTTTTTGGTGCATATAGAACCCTTTTCAAAAAAGTTCTATGTAGTACCACATACAACACATTTTCCATCAATTTAAAGAATGCTTTCACAATACAAAGTACCCTTTAATCATGTAAAGGGTTCTTTGAGTGTTCATGGTTGTATATAGAGCCATTTTCTTTACTAAAGAACCCTTGAAGAACCAAAGAGTGTAGGAAAAAGCCATTTGAACATTCCGAAAAATGTACATTACACTGCAAAAGCTTCAAGCACAAAAGCTTCAAGCACAAGTAAAAGCTATTTCTCTGGGTAATAATAGTTTTTTGGTCAAAAAACATTATCATTAGACCAAATACAAATGACATTAATACAATATGTAGTGATTTTTATGTATATGAATATGTGTCTGCTTCACCCCTGTCCAAACCTCTCCTCATGGCATAATTTGTATATTTATAGTTATCATCCAATATCTGGTTTGGCTCAATCAATACTTCATTATGGTAAATTGGGTGTTCTAGTGGTTGAATTTCACCAATACACACAATGGCTGGGGGCATCAAGGAGAAGACAGGAACCAAATTTGTTCTTCTAATTAGCTCACAACATCTAGGCTACTTTTTAAAAGGGAGAAACTCGTTTTGCTTGTTACTGCATTCATGTTTGTTTGCATTTGTTCTGATATTACATGGTGTTTTTACAAGCAAAAACACACTTATTGTCCAGAGAACCTGCTTAAACATTTTGCTTAGGTGCCTAAGGCTACTGCAATGTACTGCATGTTATTTGTAACTCATTTAATAGAATGAATTGATCACTGTTACTCATTTCAGTGCAACTTACATCATGTAGGGGAAAGGCTGAATCATAGACACCCTTAGCCAGTAATGACGTGATGCCTGTATAATAAAAAAGTGATATTTATTTATATAGAAAATGAGAAAGCTAGATTATAAATACATGTTTAGAATGACAATTGAACCTCGAGTCTAATCGGTAGAATATTAAAGAGAATTCTAAAACTTGTGTCTCAAAGTTCGTACCCATTGTCTGACAAGTCTGTGTGCAGGCCGTGCGCCTAAGGATCTCAAGCACCTTCAAAGGCAAGTTCACACAGAAATACAAGTACACAAAATTATATGAAATAAACATAAAAAAGATTTTCAGATTATGCAAAATATAAGGCTCAGAGAAAATACTCGATCATAAAATGGCCTTTAAGCTCCATACAAAACAAAGAAACTCACAATTCGTCCTCGTGTTGCACTGTCAAACAGGGTGTTTTTCGACTTGATGTCAAATCTGGAAAAAAATAAAACAATTAGGATGGGGAATGGATGGGGAAATTGCTCATATCTTACATAATGTAGACATGGGTGTGCCTCTTTGTGCATTTGTTTGTGCCCACTCACAGATGTAGCTTCTTTCTGTTGAATGGCAATGAAAGGACACATGTACGTGGATTTTGGGGTTCTGGGACCCCCGGTTGGAATGGCTGATTGAGCTTCTCCCAAAGTGAGCTTATTGCTCCAGCAAGCCCAGTTTTCTCTTTCAACTCGTATGTCTGTAAAGCCAGACAGGAAGGATTAGTAACTGGAACACAGAACACAAACACTGAGGGTGAGGTCAGAGTGAGGTCAGGCCCGGAGCTGGCACTCTTTAGGGGTCAGTTGATTTGTGATAGGGCAGAGGGTAAACACATGTAGACTGCTGATGTTTATAAGCCTCAGACAGATTTCCACATTTTCCACAGAGAATTCGACCCTTTACTTAGACAAGTCTCTGTAATCTGAAGCACACTGTAGTCAAAGACACAATATATGACAGCAATCGTCTGAGATCTATCACACCAATAAATCACTCCATCACATTCCTTTTAAGAATTGTAACATTTTCTGGTTAATCAGTTTGCCTCTGCATAATCAGCTGTGTTTTTTCCCTACAGTGTTGAAACTTGTATTGCCTTTTGACAGTAAAATAGCCCTCATCAACTTCCCAAAGCACTTACAAAATTATTTTTTTTATTATGGATCCCAATCTCTGAAAACTAAAAACAAGACATTGTGACTGTGTTGCAAACTCACGGCAGCCTGCAGAGATAAACTATGATTATCCTAATTATTCAGTTCAGGTGTTTCAGCTTGCCAACAGGTGTATAAAATCAAGCACATAGCCAATCTCCATAGATAGACATTGGCAGCAGAATGGGTTGTACTAAAGAACTAAGTGACTTAAAAAGAATGCCACATTTGCCAAGTCAATTTTGGCCTGCTAGATCTGCCCTGGTCAACTGTAAGTACTATTATTGTGAAATGGAAATGTCTAGGAGCAATAACAGGTCAGCCACAAAGCGGTAGACCACGCAAACTCACAGATCGGGGCCACCTATGCTGCAGTGCTATAGTGTGTAAAAATTGCCTGTACTTTATCCACTTACTACAGAGTTCCAAACTACCTCTGGAAGCAATATCAGCACATGAACTGTTCATTAGAAACTTCATGAAATGGGTTTTGTGGCACACACAAAGCCTAAGATCACTATGCACAATGCCAAGTGTCAGTAGGAGTAGTGTAAAGTACATTGCCACTGGACTCTGGAGAAGTGGAGGCTGTTATAGCTGCAAAAAGAAAGGGCAACTCAAAATTAATGCCGATGGTTTTGGAATAGGATTTCCAACAAGCTCATATAGGTGTGATGCTCAAATGTCTACTTACTTTTGGCCATATAGTGTATGTCTGTATTGTAACTGTAACTACCCCCCGATTACTGTTAGTTCAATAATCTGTCTTTGTATATTGTCACTGGGTCTCTAGTCGCTGGGTCTCTAGTCACTGGGTCTCTAGTCTCTAGTGTTTTATTTGTTCTAACCCTGGATTTCAACTATAAAGTTGCCTCTATAAACCCTCTGTACTTGTTAGTTTGACTTATTAGTTTGAAAATCCTCTTCTCAAGACAAAATTTATCCTACTGAAAAATAACTTGATATGAAAAGCATCACCCTTTAAAACAAGTTTTAAAATACCTCAGTAACTATGAGGTATCAACAATTTCTTAAGCAGCTGTACCTGTTGACATCCTTATTCAAAGTAATTACACTCTTTTGGAATGAAAAAATGGAGAAGATTGTTACATGTTTATTAGTTGGTTATAATAATATAACATACAAATTCTATGTAGTCAGTAGGCTTGCATGATAATGTAGATTTAGGCAGGTTATCATGGTCTGCAGAATTATCACAACAATCAATATGATAGTGCTCCAAATTGAGTAACGAAGTACCACATGTGATCGTTACCAAGCCTTGGATTTTCCATGATGGTAACATATTTATTATTTAATTTCCAACTGGGCTATCCTCTAATATTACTTAATGTTAGAATGATACCTATATTCGTTACATAAGGCATGTAACACTGTTAACATTTCATAGTTTTCTGCATTTGTTTGGTTGGAAACCAAAATACTCCAAACTGGAACTTTGGTACCCTTCTTCTGGACAAACTCATCCATTTTACTCTCTTTCAGGGAGTGGTTGCGTTCAAAATAAGTATGCATATAATTAAGTGCAATTTTTCTGTGTATCCATTTTAGTTAAATATATATTAGAGTCATTGTATGAAGGAAATGCTTAAATAAAGGCAAAACAATAAAAAGAGGCATGTGGCATGTGAAAGAATAATAATTTGCATAATATCAATCAAAATATCTGATAATATCAATTATTGGCCCACAGCCGGTGCTCCACAGCAGTAATATATCATTCCTGTTGGAACATCTCCAAAATGGTAACTTTACAGGAGCAGAAAAAAGCATTCTAACATGTAATGGGAGTTAATGTAACAAGATTTTTAGACAGGTAATTAAGTAATTATATCATTTTACACCAGTAGTGTTGGTCCATTCATCATGATAATTTAACAAAATGGTAACTCAAGTTTTTCAAATGGTTTTCAAATTGTGCAAAATAGTAAAAAATGACAGAATTTAAATACGAGGTTTGTGTATGACAGCAATGATGTACTGTTATACTGCATTAATTTTGTGATTCACTTCAGTCAGTTAATCATAGTAAATGTTAATTATCACTTGGTATAATTTTTAGTAGATGTTCCAAAGATTCTCCTGTCTGGATTCACTCTGATGTGCAGTCACTGAATAAGTCCAAAACCCAGAAAGACTTAATGCAGTACCCATCATTTTTGAGTCTTAATGCTGAATCCTCTACTAATGTATCCCCTCCTGAGTGTGACTGAGGGATTTTGTGAATCGTGGGTGGAACGAGTGAAACTCACTCTCTTGGTTGGAACTTTGATCTTCAAAAGCTCTGCCTCGCGGCTAAGCACAGACCAGGGAACATGCAGACGGGTAAAGCGCACTGTCTTCATCTGAGAGAGAGAGAGAGAGAGATAGAGAGAGAACCTTTGATTAGGACAGAGTGAGAGAGCAAGAACAGCAAAATCTGACATTTCATCTTTAAGGCTGCCTAACATCCCCAAGATTACACATGCAGTTATTGATTTTTGTCAAATATTTTAATTGTTGTCCGTAGTGTGTTACCAAGAGGACTGAGGTAAATTTGCTCAAGCAGAATCAGAACTGAGAGTGAGACTGTGATATTTTTGTCACAAACAGAGGCCGTCCAGCTGCCTTGATTAACACCACAGGAGGTGCACGCACACAGACATACACACTTAGTGGAGCATCTGTTCAGCTATTGTGGTCTGCTTTAAACTGTGGATGGATTGGTGATGGATCATTGAACCTCACTCTGTCTACTTACACATGCACATTGACTCGCACCCGATATCTCTCACACACCTCCAGCCATGAGGATCAGCAGTAATCTGCCTTTTGGCTGGAGACAACAGCACTCCATATTAATCCATCACAACACAACACAACTGGAGAGTGATCTACCATCTCTTCTACCACCTCCCCTCCCCCCACCCCTCACCATGCACAACCTTAGAGTATGTGCAAAAATAGTAGTTCAGCAGATCTCCTCAAGACTATGTGCTACAATCTTAAAAATAAAGGTGCCAAAAATATTTTTAATATCTTTGGAGAAATGCCACAGAAGAATCTGTTTTGTTTCCCTTCAGTAACCTGACAATGGATGGTTCTTTAAAGAATCTTTTTTGGTTGATGCCATAAAAAATGGTTTGAAGAAGCTTAATTCTTAATTGATCTTCATGTCCCCTTTAACAAAATAGTACATAAATAAAAATGGAAGAGAAAAAAAGAAAAGTTCTTAAAAGCTTCTTCATGAATACCTAATTAGTTCTTTAAGAACCAAAACCATAAGGTTCTTCAGCTTCAGGTGGCCATAGCATAGCTGTTATGAAACCAAAACTAGAGCTTTTTTGTCTTTATAAGCTCAAAGGTCAAAGTTCAGGGTCATCACATGTTAACTAGTTACTGCACTAACCACCACAAGGCTGCCAACTCGCAAGCCTTGGCCGTGTGACTCACTGGCCCAATCTCACACTCACTCGATATTTCTCACGCATTTTTACCAAACAATGTACCGATGAATCTGAACGCTCATTAAGTTTTCTACCACTGCTTAGTAACTGGCAACAGCAGTTTAGTTGAAAACAAGAAAAAGAGATCATGCTGGCCAGTCAGTCACTGCCGGTCCATGTGTGTTGTTGATCAGTGGGGGCGGAACCGGTTTCCACAGCAACAGGGAACCAAAGAGGGTGAAATGATCGTAGCGCATGCATGTCAGAGAGCAGAGAAAACCTTCACTAAACACACGCCAAAAAGACAAAAATAAAGGAAAATTAAATGGTAAACAACTTGGTCAGTAAACTAAACATGATCAATAACAAGAGCAACGTTCATGACTACACAGTTTATTCTCTAAAATAAACGCGGCTCTGTCTTACTCACAAGCTAAACAGTAAGCAGTGCTAAAGGCAGGCTATCCTTACCTATATTCACTGTATAGGTGTTAGCTTTGAAATCCATGCCTATCAAGTGTAGCCAGGGGAAGAATTCGACAGAGCTACACCCGGTAGCATCAGTGCCAGGACTGCTGTGTTGGGTGGGCATGACAAATTTGGGGGTGGGCCGAACCTTGTGCAGCTTCACTAGCAGACAAACTTTCACCATGTCTAGGGCATCTCTCTCGCATCTGGACCTTCAATCTCTTTCGCATATTAAACGATCATTCCTCCTCGCATTTCCTCGCATGTCTTTTGTCATATTTGGCCCCTCATATATAGAATGTAGCACTTTATGGAGGCATTTGCTAAGCATTGTTCAAATGCTGCAGTTAAAAAACCTATATCTTGTATTGCAACAGGAGCAATAACAACCAACATAATATTAATATGATTAACGATTTCTAGCACTTACACATATCCATTGTAGTTACTGTGTTTGTTTATCTCTTTTTAATGAGTCTATATTCTGTATTCTCTGTAATTGGATTGTATTTTGCCCACATTAGAACAAGCTGGCCAGTTCAGCACAGGGCTAATGAATTATCAATGCTGCACAAAAACAGAACTTGCTTTAAGTGTTTGCTCCTCTAAAGGTTTAAAAGTTGTCACTCATTATCAAGTTAATGTGACGGAATATTATGTTATGGGTAGATTAAATTTAAAAAATTGTATTTGTATAAAATATCAAATTATATTTTATATATTAAAATATGTTAAAATTCTTGCTTCTATATTATATTAATATATATAGTGTTGATGCAGAAACAGATCAAAGATACAACTTACAACTTTTTTAGTAATATTTGAGATGGAATGTCAGTGGCTGTGTATACAGACATTTAAACATAGTTACTCCAAAAAAAATATCAATTGCTGTGGACCAAACACCTTCCAACCCAACACCATCCCACCCATGACTGCCATCCCCAACCCCCAAAGCCTCCATCTCCAATATCCAACCTCCAACTCAACCCACTGAAATCTCATTCTAACAAAAATGTCAAAGCAGGCCTGCTACCATGTGCATGACATTTGTAACTAACTACCCAGCTAGCAGCAGTATTTCAAGCTTTAGCTCATTAAGCTAGTGGGTTAACTCACTAAGCTAACTCTTTTTTATCTTCGATGTTTGTGCTAGCAACTTACATTATGATATATGCTTGTTAAACAGTAGTTTATGAATCTTCACTTATCAGACTTTCTTTTCATCTAACGTTCACCAAAGTCCCTTCACGCTCAGATGAAGTAGGCAGAAGATTCACAGAAATGGACACAATGTTCCCAGCTTGCACACATCAAGGAGAAGATAAAGACTAAGTGCTCTCCTTCGCTCTCTCCATATATTTCAGACTATATTGCTATGAATTCAAGGTTAGCTTTAAAGGGGAACTTCACCTTTTTACATTACAGCATAATTCAGGCATTGAGGTGTAAGCAAAGTCATTTAGAGTGGTTTGATGTGAGATGCTGCATTGTAAGGAGACTTTCCAGTTCAGATTTCTATACAATATTTGTGATAGGAACCAGGGGTCATGAGGTTTACAATGCAAATATAGCCATTTTCTTTACTATGTAAAACAACCAATGTGATAGGGCACACTGTCTTGAGAGGTTTATTTGTAATGTTGATAATGGACAAATAACGGCAAATCCAAAAAAATGTAATAAAAAAGGTCAATCTAAAATGAGCTTTCTTTTGCAACTATTTTTCCTTACAACACCCTGCATGTACCTCTCAGCCATGAATGAATAAAAGAAAACAAAATAAAACATGCAAAACCCTCAAAAGCTTATCTCAAAACTATTGTAAAACATAATAACCTTCTGTGTGGTAACAATTGTGACACTTTATGTTTCTCTAGAACAGAACATTTCACATCAAACCACTCTAAATGACTGTTTACATCTTAATGAATTTGAAAAAAAATCGGTATAATTTCATTTTCTGAGGTGATTAGCAAAAAAAGGAAGATCAATTTGATTATATGTACTTTACTAAGAGAAAGAGATTACTGTAGGATAGAGCCTAGATCAAGTATTATTTTATTTTACCTCACTTTATTCATAAGAAATACTAAGAAACTGAAGAGTATATACACATGACATAGATGAGATATGCAAGTATGAAGAACAGTTAAAAGAACCTGTTTTGCACTACAATAGAATCTTCCACATTATGTAACGGTTCTGTACCAGTGAAATGCTCTTCCTAGAACCAAGTATATGCATTGGGTACACAGCTTTAAGAAAAACCTTTAAGAGTGTAAAAAAAGTGAAGATATAACTTTTGTTGAAATGTTATTACCACTAGTGGTTACTAAGCTAACTCTGCCACAAACACACACACATTCCAACATACCTCTTTGTCCCGTTCAATCTCCAGACCCTCCTCCTGCAGCCCCCTTTCAAACTCCTCTCTGATTAAGGCCTTCTCTCCTTCTCCAGGCCCCGACGCCAGGCCTGCCTCCAGCTCCACCTCTGCCAGCTCTGGCTGAGTGTTCCTGCGTGAAGGGGTGGGGCTCAGGGAGGGTAGGTTGCCATTGGAAATGATGGAGTGGCGGGACTGTGAGTGCCGTCTTTTGCAGTGATAGACGAGCACATAGTCCACTCTCCTGCGGCCATCTGCAAAACACAGTCCTCCTCTGGGACAGGGGATGGACTCGTCCTGTTCACACATAAACATATGCTCTTATTATACCTTACATGACAACTGTGCATTCATGTATCAAAAAGAGTAGCTGAAATAAGAGTTTTAAATGAACTCTACATTCACTATGAGAGGGAAAAGGGCCGTATTTGTGCACAATACCTTGTGCATCACATTAGTTTTACATTACTGAAAACAGTGGTTCCAAATATTTGAACAACTTTTTCCAACTGTTTCAGTTACTGTGCCTTTAAGACTAATATATGTAAATCGTCTCTCTTTTGATTGGCTGCCCTGTATTGTGCATCACTCAAAAAGCAGTCCAGGCTGAAACACTCCTTATAACTTCAACATGAATGGGCTGCGCTAAACTGCTTTAGACTGAATAGGTGTAATTAGTTGATTTTCATAATAGCACAAAAACAGTTAATTTAAAATGGGCTGTTTTTGCAGTTTAGTTTTCATTTATGGACTATATGGAATGGGAAGTGAATAGTACACTCTGACAGTGCTTATCTTTTATATCAAACTCTTTTATTTCTTAGAAAATTAAGTTTTTCATGAAATGGATCCTTTAATATGTTTAATTTTTAAAAATAATATAGGGCATTGCATTGACCTGCAAAGGGGGGTGAATGTTAGTGACAGCTTCTTTGATGTTTTGATGTTGCTCCTACGTCTCACTTTTGGGCTTTAACATTTGATTTTAAACCAAAAGGATCCCAAAAAGAGAATAATAGCCTCTAGTTATCTATATATCAGTTTAAATGCCTTTAAATGCTGAATGAGCAATGAAGTTCCACTTTAGTTCTAGGGGGAATTCAGTGCATTTCAATCTAACTATTTTACTCCTACTAAAATCATTCTACATTCTCAGAAATGAAGGTACTAAACTGTCACTGGGGCAGTACCCCTCTTGTCACTGGGGTGGTACCCTCAAGGGGAATCCCTTACATACATAGACTCCACACACCCCGTCTCGTCTCCAGGCTTTATTTTATTGTTCTGTTTTAAAACACTAGGTTATATCTCATAAGGTACAAATATATACTTTTCACCTGGAAAAAACTTATTTAAAGTACATAATTGGACCTTAAAACCTCTGTTGTACCTTAGAGGGTACATTTACATTGTTTGTACCTTGATGAATGAAAAATGTACCTTTATTTCTAAGTGTGTAATAGCTAATTTCAGTGTGTTTGTCTACTCTACCCACCCCTGCCTGTGATATGAAGGAAAAAAAGCTGCTGAATTGCTGTCTTATTGAATTCTTGTCTAAGCTCTAACCTCTATGATAGTCAAGTCTGCTCAGGTGGCAGTACTTTGTTAGTGTAAAGTGAAAGCCTTTAGTGATCTCTTTAATTATGTTAGTTCTCATGACCTTGATGAACAGAGTAAACAAAAACACGCACAGCTTCCTCTGCAGGCTCCCCTGCATCATGTCTGCTGTTGGCTGAGTCCTGGCCAATTTCAGATATGTCACGTGCGAGACTGCGGAGTTTTTCACTGTGAATGGATGAAGATTCACTCATCGCTGTGGCTACGCGCATGCGCTCAGGGGCTCCGTTCCATGTCTCTGTTAAAAAAAATTAAAAACAGATGTGACAGACAGGGAGAGAGAGAGAGAGAGAGAGAGAGAGAGAGAGGGACAGAAAGAGATGAAGTGGCAAAAACAGAGGACGCAATTGACAAAGAGAAAGAGTGAGAAATGATGTGACAGAGAGAAAGAGGATTTGGCAAACAAAGCGACAAAGCAAGAGAGAGAGTTGAAGAGATACAGAGAGAAGAAATATATATGTGCAGAAAAAGAGAAAGAGAGAGAGACAGTGTCACCACGAGAGAGAGAGAGAGAGAGACAGAGTTGAAGAGACAGAGAATGTGACAGAGAGATTGTGACAGAGAGAAAGAGAATGTAAGAGAGAGAATATGACAGAAAAAGAAAATGACAGAGAGAGAGCGAAGGAAAGAAAGAACGAAAGAACGAAAGAAAGAAAGAAAGAAAAAGATGATGTGACAGATACAAACACAGAGAGAATTAGACAGAAAAGAGAGAGATAGAAAGAGGGAGTTAAGGTGACAGAGACTCAGAGGATGTAAATGGAGAGAGACAGAGGATGTGAAAGATGAAGTGAAAGACAGAGGATTTGACAAACAAAGATAGAGACAGAAAGAGAGAGAGAGAGAACAAAGCTATACAGAGAGACAGGGAGAAAGAGATGATGCGACAGAGAAAAGAAAGCGAGAGGAGCAGAGAAGCACAAAGAGACAGGGAGAGAGACAGATAAAGAGAGAGAGAGAGAATCAAAGAGACACAAGGAGAGAGAGAGAGAGTGTGTGACACATACACACAGAATCAAAAAGACAAAAGGAGAGAGAGAGAGACGGTGTGATAGAGAGAGAGCATCAAAGAGACACAAGGAGCGAGAGACGGTGTGATAGAGAGAGAGAGAGAGAGAGAGAGAGAGAGAGAGAGAGAGAGAGAGAGAGAGAGAGAAAGAAAGAAAGAGAGAGAGAAGGAGACAAGGAGAGAGAGACAGTGTGATACACAGAGAGAGAGAGAGACAAGAAGACAATGAGAGAGAGACGGTGTGTGTGTGTGTGTGTGTGAGAGAGAGAGAGAGAGAGAGAGAGAGAGAGAGGGAGAGAGGGAGAGAGAAGACGGTGTGACACGAAGAGAAATAGGGGGGCTAATAACGGCCGTTTCAATTCAGCACCATGGACAGGTCCACAGGGTAATACGTCAAAACAGATCACATGCTCTTCTCCTCATTTACATATCTCATTCCATTACACACACGCACACACACACGAGCACGGGGACACACTCGGACACACACCTGCCTCGCGCACGCACTCTTTAAATATGTCACTCGCGCTGGTAAACAAACGCGGATATGTGACTGTAAGCGCCTTTGCTTCACCTGACAGCGCTCATCACAAACACGCAGCCCGCGCGCACACAGAGCGCCCTGAACCCCTCAGGGGGGAGATACAGTAGAGCGCAGAGAGAAATGGCTGTTTTGCAATACACGATGACTAAAGAGGGGAAAACATGAGCCCCTTTAGCCTGTAACGCTCCTCGCCGCGAGCTGCAGGTCCTGAAATAGCCCAGCTTATAGCGCGCGCTAATTACACCCAGACCCGTTCAGCAGCACTCGGTGAGAGACTCCAGAGTCCACAGATCAGCGCCAACGGACCGGAGTGACCAACAGTCCGGTAAAAGCACCCCAACAAGAGCGCCCTTTTGACGCGCGTGCATAATTCAGACTAAATTAGATGCACTTAGAGCCAATTAGATACAGTTATGACGCGTTCAAACGTATAACGATATTAACGCACCGCTGCTATCAGCTCAGCGCCTCGCGCGCTATAAATAAACCATCTCATTAAAGACGCCGTGCACGCGCAACAGTTGCCCTCGCGCGTGATAAACAAAACGAGCCAATTTGACGGACGTGTGGACGAACGCACGTGACGCCGCCGTCTCCGCTCTTTGCCGAGTAAATAAACAAAGCTGCACTCACCCGAGCTGGACGGAGACCTGTGCAGGGCCATATGTCCGCGCGGACAGAGCGCGAGCCCGGTTAGAGGACGCGCGGCACTGAGCTGCTGGACAATCCGCTCGCGCCCCGCGCAGGCTTAACCCGCTCTGCTGTTACCCATAAATCCGTGGAGGCTCGAGAGGAGGCTTACAGAGCACAGCGCGAGAGGGAGAGAGCAGGGAGAGCGCGAGACTGCTACACCTTCTGGATACACACTCACACACACACTCAGAGAGACGGGCGCGCGCCCGCGAGTACACACACATTCAGTCAGCGACAAAACTATTCACAGAGAGATACACACACACACTCAGAGACACACACACACGTTTTTCTTGCTATACATGTGAGGACGTCCATAGGTTTCTATTGATTTTTATGTTACTGTAGCTAAATAACATTACTCCTAAACCTAAACCTAACCCCAACCTTAACCTCGGTATCCAAAAGGCAATTTTTGTGCTCTTTTAGTTTTCAAATAAAAAAGTAATTGTAGTGAAAACAACACATGCTCAAGTGAGGACCAGCAAAATGTCCTCCAAAAACTTCACTCACAAACAGAAAGACACACACACACATGTTCATATAGAAAACTATTCACTCACAAACAGAAAGACACACACACACATGTTCATATAGAAAACTATTCACTCACAAACAGAAAGGCACACATAAACGCAGACACACACACACACACACATGTTCATATAGAAAACTATTCACTCACAAACAGAAAGACACACACACACATGTTCATATAGAAAACTATTCACTCACAAACAGAAAGGCACACATAAATGCAGACACACACATGCACATACATGTTCATATAGAAAACTATTCACTCACAAACAGAAAGGCACACATAAATGCAGACACACACATGCACATACATGTTCATATAGAAAACTATTCACTCACAAACAGAAAGGCACACATAAATGCAGACACACACATGCACATACATGTTCATATAGAAAACTATTCACTCACAAACAGAAAGACACACACACACACACACACACACACACACATGGGGTCCTCACCAGTATAGCAATACAAGATCAGACACACGTTCGTATAGAAAACTTTTCACTCACAAACAGAAAGACACACACACACACACACACATGTTCATATAGAAATCTATTCACTCACAAACAGAAAAACACACACGCACATGTTCATAGAGAAAACTATTCACACACAAACAGAAAGATGCACACACACAGTCACACACCCACACACACATTCATAGAGAAAACACACAGACACAGACACACACACTCAAAAGCAGACATGCAATACTGTGTAAAAGACCACCTTTTATTTATTTCATTTCCAGTCAAAACAGCCATTAAGTATGACTTATTCATTCTTCAGGAGATATTTCTATACAGATTAGATATAAAATAATCCACATAAGGAAGGGAGGGAAAATAAGTGAAACAAACAGGAGTCTCTAAAACTGGAGTTCAAAAAGTTACTAAAAGATTAAGAGAAAACGGGACTCCAAACAATCATGCAAGACCTGGTAGACCACCAAAACTGTCATCATCAGATAAACAGCACTTAAATCTTTCATCTTTGAGAGATTTGAGAAAAGTAAGCTCCACTCTTGCTTTAGATCTGAAAAAACCCACAGGTGTTTCTGTCCATCCTTCCGCTGTGAGAAGACAACTCAACACTGTGAGTCTGTGAGGACGTGTAGCCTTTAAGAAGACATTACTGAGAAAAAGAAATAAAGAAGAAGAAAATCTGCAAATCAAACAAAAAAGCTGCTGGTGTTCTCAGAACAATGGACTGACCACCCCAGAGTCCAGACCTCAAAATCACTAAATGTGTTTGGGATAGCTTGGATTGTGAGAAGCAGAAAATTAAACCAACTTCTAAGACTGAAATTTGAAGATGCGGAAAAATATCCCTGCAGATTTCTTTGAAAAACTGAAAGAAAGTCTCCTGAAAAGAATGGAAGCTGTAGTAAAGGCAAAGTGCGGACACACTAAATACTAAATAATTGCTATTGTCTTCTGTCGTTGAGGCTTCTGTGTATGTTCTGTTCATATGTTTTCTGCATGTTCAGTCAGCAACAGACATCCAAATCAACACAGTTCAAGCAGAGCTGATCTAATATGCCCATTCAAGTAAATCATCCAGCATTCAGTTAGAGATGTGTTGAATAGCTGTAAGTAAAGCCCTGCAAAGTCAAAGCTCGTTTCTCCTGATGTCAATATGCATCTCTGAAAATATCATTAATATTAATATTTGGGTTATTTGGGTTACTTGTGATTGTTGATTTTACCTCAGAAATTTGGCCAGCACTTTCGCAAATGAAATGTAAAAAGACAAGCTGAATTTCTTTAAGAAAGAGGGAGAGGATGAAAGGATTCAGCTGTGGCATAAAGGCCAAGATCCCATCATCAGCCAAGGATGAGCAGAAATCAGTGCACATAAGGGTGCCTACGTGTGCATGTCTGATCAGGTATTAGCAAGGATTGAGCTGATTGGTGGTGATTTGTTGCTGATTGTTTTAACAGATAAAATTAAGAATCAGGACATGCTTTTTTAAATGAATGTAAAACTTCGACACTAGGATACATTTGGCATGCACACACACTACTCTTTCTTCAGCAGTGTTATAAGTGTGGTGTTGCAATTAATAGACAGTACTGTGTCTTGTACAAAGATTAATTAGCATTGTTGTTGTTATGAATTAGCATAAGTTGTTGGCAATTTCATCTACACTGACATGAATTTGATCAACTGCTTTAATAAAAAAAAGATAATCAGTGCACAGGAACAACTGATTAGAGGGATATAAAATGGAAGATTTCCTGGCCTTTGAGATCTGTAATGAATACTTTGAAATAAGTTTTGTCTCTAGGATATTGTTTAGAGTACAAATCATCTCAAATGACACTTTAGTACAGTAACAAAACACAATTACTTATTTTCCATCCAGAGTATATTTAAGGCAATAAATCTATTTTTAACATTTTAATAATTCATGTTGAGTTTCTAATTATTTT